CAACTGTCAAGGCAGACACTGGCTTGTCGACAAGATCTTTGGCTTCAGCCGTCTCCTCGAGGCCCGTTGCGGCACAAGAGAGAGACGGCTGACATGGAAATGGAGGAGAGATGGGACTCGAATCAACAGAACAAAAGAAGCTGGGCATCGCAGAAAAGACATCTTGCTGGGCAGGATACGATGCAGAGACCTCTGGCCATAGCCTTGGACTCTCTGCTCTCACACTCACGATCTTCCCCGCTCGACTTACGCGGGCGCGAACGAACCCAAATCAGGCCATGCTGATTACCCCACCTGGACACAAGTACGACACTACGGAAACCTGCAAGTCGGGACTGGATGTGAACGGAACGTTGTTACCGGGCTTGGGGGTCATTGTGTGGAATCTGGGGAAAGGGGGGTCGCGCCCGTGGCAGCTTCGGGTGAGGGAGAAACGTGAGCAAGGGACAGGGCGGAAAATGCGACATGTAGCTCGCCCTCCTGCATGAGAGACTCCGCCATCGCCGAAGAAAGACTCGGAGAAGCATTAGATTGCTTGGGCGGGGGACCAAAAGTCGCATGGAAACATCAGCCGGGGTTTCTGGATCTGCTGTGCAGGACAGATAACCTTGGCTTGGTCGTTTTTTTCCAGCGGCAGAGGGTGCAGGAAAAACCTTTTTCTTTTTTTTTCTTTTTTTAGCAAGGGGGGAATATCATGAGCGACCTTTGGCAAACCCTGGAGGTTTTTTGGCCCAGGTCTGGCTTACACGCAGCTCAACTGGTTATTTTGCATTTTACGCTATTAGTTAATTCGAACAAAATTCTGTTCACCAACATTGTGTCTCGTGTGTCTTTTCCCCCTCATGCATAATTGACTTTTTGAAAAGTTCGAAATTTCCGCCCTCACTTACCCCAAGTGTGTCCAAGTATGAGTGTGGAGGTGAGTGAGCAGGCATGTGGGCTGTGTCAGCAGTGAGAATATCCTGCAAGGAGCATTTAGACCGGCGAGACCCTGAACTTGAGTGAAGTTGAGGGGATCTGAGATGCTGGGTTGATGGGCGTGATGGGGGGAACAGAGTTGGGACGCTCGCATGTTCACGCACTTTTGGAAAAGAAACAGGAAAAAGATCTGCCCCTCCATCTTTGGATTTTTCGTTTTTCAGCTTCACCATAGTAAGGGGAAAGGGAGGGGGGGAGGGGAAAAGAAAAGGTGGTGTCAAAGTTGCGGTGTGCTTATTATCCCCTTTAAAAAATATTAAGGCCCCGCGTTTCTACGTTTCTGCATGTTTCTCTATTTTGGGCATCAAGTTTCGACAGGACCGTCCATCCCGGTCTTGGGGAAGCAGTACTATCTAGACCCGTGAAATCTGACAAGCGCAGCTGGCTGCGGGCTGCGGCAGGGAGTCGGGACGGGAGTTGTCTCCTAAGGCGCATGAAGTTGGGCAGGCAGATGGTCAACTTGGCCAGCCTCGAAAACCAAAGCCAATGTCAAAAAGATACAAAAAGTTTTGAAGGGACCAGGACCAGGATCAGGTTCAGACGGGTTGGCGATGGTCTTTGAGGTTTTCCTTTTCCTTCTTCTTAAAGTCAGCGTTGTGCATCCAACGCATGACTCGGCAAAGACACTTACACCATCCAGAGTTCGTCGCTCTAAGGGGGAGCTGTTTCTCATGGTCTCCGAGATCGTTACTCGTGAGGGCGACTGGTCCCTCAGCTGAAAGCGTCTTCAGAGTTGGCAGCTGACTGTATCTGATTTTAGCATTGTTTTCGAGAGGCGACAACAAAAAAAGCTACCCCTGAAGTCGTTTTTGGTACGAATAACCTGCTCAGGATGCTGTCCGTCCTCTTCGGTCTCGGGGCAGAACTTGCGGCAAGGTAAGATGACAACCAACCCTATCGAGGCAATGTAATCGTCATGATTTGGCGCGCGATAGAAAATCGAATTCTTGGGTCTCCCACACCCGCCTAGATCAGCCAACTCTTTCGAGACAAGGGCGAGAGTAAGAATCTTGCGAGAAAGCGAGCCTGTCCGAAGGATGGGCGGCACTGAGCGGGAAGTTCTAGAAAACGGGGGTTTCTAGGGACGATCAGCGGGTATCACTGATCACGGCGTCTGAGCGTTTGCCGGTGGGCACAACGTGATCGACCATCCTGGTCTGGCCGCTGTCGGTCAGTCGTCGCACGCCCAACTTACACTACACATGTCCACCCCAACCCCTACCTGGACCACACCACCACTATGCTTCTCGGAACACGGTCCAGCTCCCAAGTCGGCCCTTTGCTGGCTGGCTGGCAGGCGCTCGCACGGACGGGGAACGTCTGAACGCCGGGGGAATTCTTGTCCTGTCGGATGTCGACAGGCGAGACAGGTGTAACGGGCGGCCAGATGGGTTCAACCGGTCCCGGGGGACGGGGAAATAGAAGCAAGGGAACTTTGGCACGGTTCCAACCATGGCAGTCGGATCTTTGGTTACGACGCGCAGGAGTTTCGCCATTGAGGCGGCGTTAGAAGCGAGCGCGCGACAGAATGAAAAGGGCGTTAAGGGGGGAGAGGCCCATCTCGCAGCGTCTAGAGCTCGGCTACTCAGCTGAAAGAAGGTGGGTGTTTGGAAATGGGTTTCTGTCTAGTTATTTGATATAAAAGATTCAGGTTGGCATCTATCATGTTTGGGGACGCGGGTGGTGCTAACGGGTGCTAGGGATGGTGCCATCCGGCGCTGCTGAGTTGTTTGAGGCTTCACGGAAGGAAGAGTTACGCGTCCCTGTTGGGCCACCGCGCTGAGTGAGTAAAGAGAAAGATGCTGCATATTGAGTAAAAAGGGTCGCAGTCGATAGGTTGTTTGGAGGGGACAAAGTTCGGGCTGAAAGTCTGCTGCTTGAGAGATCGTGGGAGTTGGGCATTTGACTTTACTCGTCAACTCAGTGTCGACAAGAGACTGTTGCAGCTTGGCGGCTCTAGGCTGGCGGCGCATGAAGCGTTGCATGGGGTTGACAAATACAACGCATGAAGAGGGGAGAATTTGCTCCGCGCTTGATACGAAGCAAAATTGCTCTTGTTTTTCGTTGTTTCGCCGTTTTGCTTTTCCTCTTGTGCGGAATGTCTATGCCGACAACGAGAACTTACACTGGCCCGGAAGTGCGATTCTGGAAAGCTGAGTTTGGCGGGCCAAGTCTAGTTTCTTCGCAATGGCAACGTTCCATGTCGCACCCCTTGGTCGGCATTCGGAGACGCAAGAAAGAGAGGGGACGGGAAGGGAAGCCAAGGTGATGCTGAACTGACTTGATGGGATCAACCCAGGAGATCAACGACAACCATAGACAGGCAGGGAGGGTGTGGCTTGCCACTTACAGCTCGCAGGGATACTAGCCTGAGTTGCGGCTGAGTCGCCCAAAGAGGATGGTGGGGTGGTATGGCGGGCATGTCATCTTGCTTGCTGTCCGTGCAAAGATGCGTGCCCTCCCGACAAGACTTTCCCTCCTCGACAAACGTGGTGGTGACCGCAGTGGTGTGGTGCTGGTGGCTGTGCAGGTCCGCAGTGCTCCAACTCCCATCCCACTTTGAAACGAAACATTCTGTGGGGGACACGCGAGGAGCCTGTATTCGTACGGACAGGCCTCTCACTCCCACATTGGTCGGCGTACGAAACCGGGGTCCTGGACGGAATGGGCTCCGGAGGGGTTCCGGAGGAGAGCATGCCTTTGTCTGACATGTCTGCCACTTTCGCCATCAAGCAAGAAGGGGGGCGACCTGCGGATGTGACCGAGACTCAAATCCGCCTAGGTGCCTCGCGGCGTCTTATTGGGTCGCGGTATCGAGACACGATCTGGTGTGGTTTGGTCGAGGACGAGTGTGGGGAAAGGCATTGGATACCGTTGGAGGGGATCCGCGATGCCGAATTTGGGGTCCATTTGAGATTTCTCACTTTGGCAGCCATGCCCTGGAGGAGATTGACAGTTGAAAAGATACTTGGACCAGCCGTTCTGTGAGACAGAATTTTGTCGAGATAGGGAGCTGCTCGTACCATCTACACCGTAGGTGAGGTTGATCATGTGTCTTGCGCACGATAAGAAGAGCGTAAACGCCATGGTGAACTCTGAGGCTTGAGCCCGACACAGTCAGATGTTGAACACCGGCCAGGGCTGGACGAGTGCGCCCGCCCGGCTGCTGTTCGAGACCGGCTCCTTGGCATCAAGTCGAGCGTGGGCGGCTTGAGCCGGGTGACTGTTGGTGAGAGGATGGTCAACTCTCGGGTGTCCATGCCTGCCACCTGCAGGATCTAGATGAATCCTATATCGCATTCCAACAAATTAAACGCCGTTCTTCCGCGAGGATCGACAGGTCTAGGACCATCCTGGTATCGCCCGCATGTATGATTGAGGCGTCGAAGACGCCTGTCAAAGACATAGGTGTGTTGGCACTGAGATCTCTGTTCTCCTTGATCATCGATGCTGAGTGTTTTTCAGCAGCACATTCGTCAAGCTGCAGATTCACAGCTCGGGCACTCCTACTTATCGATCGACGATACAACAGCAGACCAAGCTGACTGTATCAATTGACTATTGTCGATGCGTGGGCAGCTTGCGACGAGATCGCAGACATGGCCACGACTGCACGATCGGATGAGTCCCTCGAAATGATGGTCAGCGCCTGGCTTCGATCGAGTAGTCATCATAGTCTGTCTACCTTTGCTTGAGTTTTCTTTCCACCGCCTCGCCAGCCTTCGACCTGCGTGGCGCGTAAAGGCCAAAATGGTAGATACCGGGGATCATAAAAAAAGCTGCCGCTGGTACTGTAATCAAACTACGTTTAAGCTTAAGTTTTGAGTCCAGGCACTGCCGCCACCGATGTGAATATCTATTGAATACCCGGCAAGTTTCGATCACTGCACAAGCATTCAGTCGAGCTAGCTCCTACCGCCCACAGAATAACTGCTGCAACGTCGAAAAGAAGCCCCTTCGCCGCTGGTACAATATCGATATGTGAACATGCCAAGCCCACCCTGGGCGTTTCTTCATCTCCTTCAAAGCTTCTGGCCATTCTCAAACCATTCCTTGAGAACCTTGATCTCATCATCAGTGAGCGCGGCCTTGTCGGTGCCGTGTAGTGAGATGACGTAGGCCACAAGACTTCCAGACTTGGTGGGTTCGTCGGCCAATCCACGAGTCTCGAGCACAGCGCGGGCCTGTGATGGGTCTTTCACAAAGTCGAAGAAGAGAGAGAGAGAGCTCATGAGAGTCGAGGATGGGGCAGGCGTCATTGTTGCGATTGATGATCTCCTGTGCCAGAGTGTGGCTTTCGATCATCTCGCCGGGAGAGGGACCAGTGTAGGGCGCAGACTCGACAGCGGCGGCCATGATTATTGTTCAGACGTGTAAGTTTCGGTAGGTATGTTACTTTCAGATGCAATGTGTTCCGGCGATGAAGATGAGTCGGTTGTTGGTGAGAAAGCAGACGAAGTTCGGCGTGCCTGGCCGCAGAAGCAACGTGGGGTTTTATGCCGCAAGCGCGTATGCACTGTTTCTTAGTTCCAGGCCATACATCAACTATCAACATTGACAGGCAAGGTCTTCGTTTCGAAGACTGAGCACAACATACTAGGTATGCATGGAACTGAAACCAAGCGATGGCACCAAGGAAAACGAACCAGGCGGTTCAGCAGTGCCTAAATCAGGCAACAGCATTGATGAATTGCGACACGGTAATAGAGACCTGCTAGGATGAGAAATGCGACTGTGCTCCTCATTGGTTGTGTCACAGACTCATCACAACCTCACAACCAATGTAATTGAAGTCCCGTACGAACTCAGATCAATCACGGAGTTTGTAACCAGGGCAACGTCAACCACAACGTTCCCGACCAGAAGTCTCCAGAGAGCATGGCGACATTTACGTGGGGCACTAGCTTGTGTAGTCGTTCACGGAACAGCATACCCTTTTTCTTTCCCGCTGCGATTCGTTGAATGCGGTGAAGAAATTCGATTGCTGCTACCAGCCAGTAATAATGTTGGTTGGTCTGCTACGCCGAAGCGACAAGCGCCGTTGCAGGGTGAATCTTCGAGATGCAGCACACGCAACCTAGACAGCCGATGGACGCCACATTCAAGAGTTCAGACATGGGCAATTTTCGTTCTTGATTTTGACCGAAGCTTCAGCGAGACTCAAAGCAAGCGACCGACCTGACATCGTAGGAGCCGAAGTCATCGCAACCCAGCCGGGATGCCGGCCGGAGACGGATGCGGAGGCGGGGCCGGTGCGAGGCCGGGATCCACCAGTAACGGGCCGAGCTTTCGGGCGACCCACCTGCCAAATCATAGAGGCGGCCGATATCTTCCAACTTGTCACCCTCCTGGTCTGTTCGGCATGACTGGTGAGATGAGAAACAGGTGTATTTCTAGGCTTGCCGGATGACGTTATCAGCTAAAGTCAGACTACAGTACGGGTACGAGCAGACGTACACCACAAGTAGTGGTAAACTTACATAATGAGCAGAGGTAGGATTACGTTACACGTACAGGTGAAAGGAAATTACTAGTAGGCATGCAAAAGCAATTCATAGAAGCTTGGGAAAGTATAATAGAGTTCTATCAGTAAAGACTGGAAGTGGGTTTCCTTTAAGAAGATCTCCTCCCCGTGGGCTCGGTGAAAAGTTACTGAAAAGGACTGCATCATCCGGGACCCGCCCCCACCCCCGCCGGTACAGACTACTCCTATTGTCCGAATAAGGAAACAACACAATGAGGCTCTGCAACCGGCCTGCTAGTATACTTGGCCAATTGTGATGGCGGGCAAGCGAGATCGGCCCGTCGGTCCTTGCCGACGGTCCGACTTACACGTCTATAACGCCCGTTCAGCGTCAGCTTTGCGAGACCGAAGTCTCTTGGTTGCTCTTGGCGAGAATGACGAGCCAGAGGTACGAGAAGACTATGCATCTACGGATATATAACAATGGCGAGCGTTGTATCAACTGCCACTCAGATTATCAGATCACAGCAGGCACCCACACTCATCTTTTGGGAAAGAAGAAAACCAGAGACTCAAGCAAGAAGACCCTCCCATCGAATCCAAAATGGCGACCCTAGACATTGTTTCCATCTTCCAGGCCGTCCTGGACGCAGTGAACAACAAGAAGTGGGATGATGTTCACAACCACCTCCAACCGGTAGTGAGGGCAACCTACAACGAAAACTCAGAAAGCAGAGACGAATTCATCAACCGCCTCACCCTAACCTCCGAGAAGGGCAGCCACCTCAGCGCAGACCAGTGGACCGTCAACGAGGCCGCAAATTCCCTCGGCGCCCGCCTCATCACAACCACAAGCGACGCCCCCGAGGGAACCCCCGCCAAAGTCTGGGACCTCGTCCTCGTCTTCTTCGAGAACGGCAAGATTGCGCGCCTCTACCAGGTCGCGAACCAGCAGAGCCGAGGTGTCGGCCCCGTGCCCGAGGTCGCGCCCAAGACCTCCCAGAACCCAATCTCGGCCGCCGAGATCGAGGCGCTGTATCGCAAGTACATCTACAGCTACAACGACGGCACCGTGCCCACCGTGCTGCCGGCGCTGTGGGCGGAGACGATCTCGATGCACGGGAACATAGTACCGGCGCTAGGAGCCGTGGGGTTCCTCAGCAAGATCCTGTTGCCCGTCATCGCCGGTCTCAAGTACGAGGTTGATGAGAAGAAGCAGCAGATCGCCGTCAGGCTATCTATCTCGGGCGTGCCGCAGAACAAGAATCTGCAGAAGAATGGTCCGGATGGGAAGGTCACGGTCTATGAGCATGCTTTGTACGGATATGAGGAGGGCAAGGTTGCTTGGGCATGGGCCTCGCAGGCTTTCGACATGAGACCTCCTTCGTTGTAGAGCCGTGGTCAGTGGTGCTCACGAGATTGATGAACAACAGTGGTTTGGCTTTTGGTCAAGATCAGATCCAAGCGTTATAATGAAGCAATCAAATAGACAGACATAATCCATCACCGATTAGCTAGTCCTTGATGTGAATGGCAAATCCGACCATACTTGAACCATGACGCACTCCCGACTCTCATATCTAGAGCATCTCACTTTCGGTGCTGTACTTAGATACACCTTTCCTTTATTCTCGGTTATATTGTCTAAGTCCCACCACCTGCTCTCTTTCAAAAGCAACGTCAAGGAAGTAGAACGTTTTCCCACTCTTGAAGCAGAGAACCAGGGAAAGGACTGGCCGACAACCTTGATGAGTGCACGTTGTATCCTAGAGACAGAGGTGAATTCTAGGTGCTGAAAAAAGTCAAAGTCTCGCAACATCTCCGTTGCCACATCCGCCCTGCCGTTGCCCACTGGCCCCTCTTGCTAGCCTACATATAAAGTCAACAGTAGACATGGAACATTAGACCTCAGCTACATGACGGAAATTCCTCCGATCAAGTCCAAGATGCCGAAAGCGAACAAAAAGAAGCTGGCCGCGGCGCAAGCGCCAGCATCGACGTCTTCCAAGTTGACAACCTCATCTATAAACACCGACCCAATTCTCGGATACAAGATCCGAGTTCTCATTCACGATTTCCTCAAAGAAGCCAAGGATCCCGATGCGCAACGACGGATCAACTCAACAACTGAGGCCAACTACATTAGTGGCCCTTACTTCGATCAGGAACAAGCCAAGCAAGTCAGGGAAGCCACTGTAGACGTGGACCTCCCGATCAACCTCACTGCACCTACTCAAGTCAATTACGAAGGCGGCGAAAATGAAGACAGCGACCTCAGAGTCAGGATGAGTGGGTTGACTGTGGAAGAGGCTATCAAGACAGTAATGAATGGATTCTTGGACAAACGCAGGGCCAGCGGAGATGCTAGGCCTTGCGGACCACACGACCTCGCTCCGATATATGCAGCACTTTTCGGCGTACACTTGTCCGAGCTACAGTCCGATAACTTCTTGAGTCGGCTGAGAAGGAGCGGGGTTTGAGGAGGTTACTTACTTCCAGACTTTCGGAGACGGAATTCTCGCCGAAGGCACCTGGGATTTGGTGTATTCAGTGGACGTTGGCGGACAAGGCGGCGGTGACCTCGAACGAGATGCAAGGAGAAAAAGCTCTCTGAGTAGGTATGTGACGGCTTCCCCTACAGCTGACTGAAAATATGCTGATATTGTCTTGTCGTTTAGATGGTAGCACTGTTGCGGGCTTCTAAGGCCCGCACAGATTGAAGTTTCCAACTCGTTTCCCCTCCCGTCAGACCCTGACTAAGTATGCATGCTGTTTCTTTTCCCTCTTCCAACAGTCCACGACATAAGTTGGGCCGTGTCATGCGCCCAACACGATCCAGATTAGAAACAGGGGCGATCAACGCACAAAGACGTGATTGGTCTCACCGTAGCCAAGGACGACAGTGCCCAGCCGTTGGAAGCGAAGCGCCAAATCGCGGGCCAGCGATTAGCTCCCGACTTCGGGAGTCTGCAGGATTACGACCGGTGTAGGGCTTTAGGTGTTCTTTCTTGGGCCATCTATCTGCATGCTGTATGATTCTATCACCAACAGACTCAATCGCGGTTGCCTGGGTTGTGATATGCAAGAGACACACGTTATCATCGGATACAAAACCATGGAAGCCGGGTCGAGGCCCCCTCGCGAGTGTTTCTCCCTACTATCTCGGTAGTTTTGCTACTGTGTAGACCCATTTGTTTGTTTTTGATCCAGTCGCTCGGAACAACCTCTATGTGCACCGGGCCGGCAGTCCAGATGAGCGCCCCTGGAGGAGGTTCCTCGGACAGATCCGACGCCGCTTCCCCTATGAGTACTGCCTCGGACACTAGTGATGAAGGTGTTGAACTTGAAATCGACGACAGTGTAAGTTGTCTATAAACCACTCTATTATAGACGCACCACAGTCAGCTTATACTTGCAAGGAGGACAATGATTCGACCCTTGACGACCGGATGTATGAAGAACTTGGGTCGCCCCACGCGATTATAGCTAACGACGCAGGTCTTCGTACACCAAGTCGGCAACCTCTAGCGCAACAGACTATCCTACAGAACACGGGCGGCGATATCATGCGTTTAGAGCAGGATGTAAGTGTGTTGAATCTCCCGCTGCAACTTATTACTACCTGGGGACCCTGCTGACTATGACACGGCCTACTTTGCTCCCAACGACGAGGTATGCAAATCGTAATACGGGAAGAGAGCTACTTGTACTGACGAGGGGTTCCTGTTTCTGCAAGTATGAACTAGGTCGCTTGGATTATGATCACGAGCTCGTCCTGAAATTCCTCCAATACAAACTCTTTCTAGCCCCGATTGACGAGAAGAAGATGCATCGAGTACTTGATATCGGCACTGGCACAGGTCTCTGTTAGTCTCCAGACACCATCTCCCAGAATATTCAAGCTTATGACTGGCAGGGGCTATTGAGATGGGCGACGCCTTCCCGAACGCGCTGGTTTGTGCTACTAGGATCTGATCGTACGGCCGAAAGCTGAGAGTCTGCAGATCATCGGCAACGACTTGAGCCCCGTCCAACCAAGGCTGTAGGATTTGCCAACTCCTACTACCTCAAAATTCTTCAATGTATGGCTAATAGTTATAAGAGTTCCATCCAATGTTAGGTTTGAGATTGATGATGTAGAAAGTGATTGGCTCTATGAAGACCAATTCGACTTCATCTTCAGCCGCTACATGGCTGGATCTCTTTCCGACTGGCCTACACTTATGAGCAGAGCATACGAGTATGTGACACCGAATGGAAGCGACACGACGTTGGATTTCTGATGTTCTTTCTTTTGCACAGAAATCTTCGGCCAGGTGGATGGGTTGAGTTTCAGGACTATGACTTTGAATTCTCGTCCCTTAACGAAAGCCTACAACCCCATCACAAGACACACCAGTGGGATCGTGACTTTCTGGAAGCAGCCAGGCTCTGTGGTATTGAAGCATGCCCTGGATCGAAGCTAGAGGGTTGGGTGCAGGATGCAGGATTCACTAATATCGTTGCATCGCACGATCCAGGTGCCCCTCGGACCGTGGGCTAGAGACGAGTACTACAAAGAGATCGGCTTGGGTAACTTGATACAGCTCCTAGACGGGCTCGAGGCGTTCACGTTGAGGCTGTTTTGTGGGGTTCTTGGCAGAACAGAGAAAGAGGTGTCGACACTGTTGTCCGAAGTTCGCCAAGAGCTGAGGTCGCAAGCCTTCCACGCCTATGGTGAATTGTGAGTACTGAACTATCAAGGATAAGATACGAAGACCAAATATGGCTGACAAGACCAATAGTCATGTAGTGTATGGACAGAAGCTATAGTAAGAAGTCACGAACTGCATGAAGATCCATTCTGCCTGTGAAAGGTACATGACCAGGCTGTCTTGAATAATATCTGCGGGCTGTGGGCGGCTGAGAGGGGGACGTGATCATTGATATCCATATACCATAATGATTTCAATAGCCTTGTCGTTGAGGCTGGCTGTACGCTGATGTTGAGAGTAAAATTCTAAGCTACTTATCTTACCTCACTGAAATCAATATTAGTGCATATTCCCAGACACCACACAGCCCTACGACATTATCGAGAGGCAGAGCCATGTTGTACTCAGCCTGCTTCGGTTGGCACTGTCCCCTGTCTGCTGTTCGGAAGAATTTCAAAAACGACAACTCATGGTCCATGGAGAGGGGTACGCCTGTTGGTGTATGCATCGCTCCGGATTAGATGGACTTAGTATCCACCGCAAGACCGGGGAGACCGGAGCATACAGTCTTCATTGGTCTCGACTAAACAAAGCCTGACTGCAACCAACAGCGAATGGCCCGCTGCTAGAGCCATTGGCAACGCTCTGATTTGCTTCTAACCCCGGAGATATGCAAGCAAAGCTGATGAATGGCACGTTTGTTTGCACATTCTGCATGGAAGAACACATATCGCGCACCAACATCGAGGTGCCAACGGCCGGGAGCCCGCAGGATGCAGGGAAACCAACAGCGAGTACAAAGCTCGCTGATCGTCTGGCTTGATTTGCCTCCCACGGAGTCTTTCTCCCCGGTGTTCTCCGTTTTAATCATTCTTCATTACCTCCAGGTTTCATTGAATTGCGTCGCTTGACCCGAACTCTTGGGACGAAGGGTCTAACAGACACTTTAAGTAGATCGCGATCCATCATGGCCGGATCACCAAGCGCTCAATCGCCTGTGCCCGCCTCTCCTCCGGCGGCCGCATCCCCCACCAAGTCAAAAACCGCGTCTCCGAACAATCGGAGTCCGTCGCGGTCAAAGACTGCTTCACCAGTGACGCAAAACTCGCCCCCAGGCGGAGTCACAGATGAAGTTACTGACGATATTGAGGTTGACGAAGGACTCAGTGTTGGTAGTCTCTTTGTATGGACATGGACGAATACCGACCTTGCTAACAAAGGGGTCAGGTTAGCGACGGAGCCTCAACGATTGATGATCAGATGTAGACTTCCGCCTCGCCCAATGTTCCCAGACATTAAACTTACAACTTGAGCCAGATCATCCTACACAGCTTCTTTGGCTTCTAGTGTGGTGGACTATCCTGTGGAGCATGGCCGTCGGTATCATGCTTTCCGAGGTGGAGGTCAGTATACTATCGCCGATGTATATCATTCTCATTGGCTAACAAACAGCAGCTTACTATGCTCCCAACGATGAGGTGCTGCCACATTTGATCCAGATCAGCGACGTGACTATACTGACAATGGCATCGAAATAGAATGAGCTGGACCGTCTTGACTTCCTCTCAACCTTGATCTTCAAGGCCATTGGCAAGTTGTACTTAGCCCCAATTGAGCAGAACAAGACCCACCGCATCTTGGATATTGGCACTGGGACTGGAATCTGTAAGTGGCTCCAGTTCTTCCCATCTCTCCCGCTCCGATCAACTGACGAAGAATACAGGGGCTATGGGAATGGGAGACTTATTTCCCAACGCCGAGGTGCGTTTAAGCCTCCAAAAATGAGTTATGGCTCAACTGAAGACCAAGAGCTGACTGAGTGGTTGGAAAGATTCTCGGAAACGACCTGAGCGCAAACCAACCAACTTGGTACGAGGAAAATATTGGCTACATTTGTGGGATAGTTTCTAACGCTTGATAGGGTGCCATCAAACGTCAAATTTGAGGTCGACGATGTCGAAAGCCCTTGGCTGCACTCAACCAAGTTTGACTACATTTTCTGCCGGTCTATGGCCGGTGCTATCGCCGACTGGCCCAAATTGATCAGAAATATTTACAAGTTAGCACTCAAATATCGCGTCGTTAAAGTCTGATACTGACAAGTCGCCACAGCAACACCAACGCCGGAGGCTGGGTCGAATTTCAAGACTGGGACCTCCTTTACCGCTCCGACGATGGCTCCATCACCGATGAGCACGAAAGTCTGAAAATGAACAAGACATTTATCAGCACCTGCAGGCAGATTGGCCGTGAGCCCTGCCCGGGTCCCCTATTCAAGGACTGGGTCACGGAGGCCGGCTTTACCAATATCACCCATGAGACGTACAAGCTACCGATTGGTACTTGGCCCAAGGATCCCCATTATAAGGAGCTCGGCCTCTGCAACCTTGTACAAATCCTGGATGGTTTGGAAGCTTTCAATTTGAGACTCCTTACTGGCGTACTTGGCTGGACGAAGGAGGAGGTTATGGTGATGCTAGCGGCTTGTCGGAATGAGTTGAAGACTGGAGCCTTTCATGCTCGCATGGAATTGTAAGTTTCTTCCTTGGTGCTTCCAACCTTGGTGATTCCCTGTTCCTTGACTGACTGTGAAATCAAATAGCCATGTTGTGTATGCACAGAAACCAGAGGCGGAAGCTTAGCTGGACGCAGCGAATACATGTAACGAACGGGTATAGTGTACCTTAGTCGAAAAGACTCCAATTGAATCTGTCTCAAGCACCATCTAAGTGATCTTTTCTTAAAATAAAACGTGCTTATTCCCGCTATGGAGGCTCGAATTTTGTTGTCTCTTCACCTTCCATTTGGGGGACTCGGCCCTCGGTTTTCTGCCCCAAGCAACAGGGGGGGCGGTAGAAGAAGTGTTCTTTGAGCTGATTCATGCATGAGGTGGCTTGCTGCTTTTCCATCACATTACCCACATGAAGACCGGGGAGGTTGGGGCAGATTCGTTTTATTGGACTCAAACCAACGGGCATGGGTTGCGACAGCCTGACAACCCCCGCTATGAGATCGTTAAGAAGCTGATGATTAGTCTTTGCCCCCTAGACACATGCGTATTTGATACGTTGGTTCTGGGAAATGGAACGTTTGTGCATGCATCAACAACGGGTTCGCAAGCTATAGGGGGCCGCGGAAAGAGGAGAAACCAATTGAGTACAAATTCTCCGTAGTACAACTGTAGCTGTCGAGCGCGCTCTTTCTCAACAACCACTCTTCTCAGTCTTTGCAAGCAACACAGCTTCTGAGCATAACTTTTGGGACCGAGGTTTCGAACGCTGCCCAGATAAATATTCGATATGGCCGGATCACCAAGCGACCCACCCGCATCGGGGTCCCCTGTGCGCACGAAGGCTGCCTCACCTACCAGGTCCAAGACTGCCTCTCCGACCGGACCTGGATCTCCCCAAAGTGGACACGAGGATGAGACAGGTGAAATTGAGGTCGACGACGAGGGCCTTGTCTGTGATCCATAAGTCTACGCGATTCCTATCTTGCTCTAACTTCATTACCAGGGATCCGACACAGCATCGACCATTGATAGTCGTTGGTAAGCATCCGAACTTGCAGAAGCTTATGCTGAAGCTAAAGATTGATTCAGGTCCTCGTATACGGCATCGTTATCTTCAAGCGTCGTTGACTACCCTACGGAGCATGGTCGTCGTTACCACGCTTTTCGCTCTGGAAGTAGGTCTAGCCCTAGCCCAACGTTCTACACTAGACTAAATATAATCAGCGTATTGGGGTCCGAACGATGAGGCACGACTATCCCAATTACTATTCTGATACTTGAGGCAAGAGCTAACTCCCATTCACTCAAAGAGCGAGAGTGACCGTCTTGACTTCAACCACATGCTCATGGTAAAAACCATCGGCGACAAACTTTACTTGGCCCCTTTTGAGAAGGGCAAAATCAACCGAGTTCTCGATATTGGAACCGGTACCGGAGTCTGTAAGTTAAGAGAGTCCACGTGCGGGTAGTACCATGAACTGACATATATCAGGGGCTCTGCAGGTAGCCGAAGAGCTCCCGCACGCTGAGGTGAGCTTCTAAACCCAGACAAGACCAGTGAGGCCGTAATGTCTTTGGACTAACACGGAATCCGGCAGATACTGGGAAACGATTTGAGCGCCATCCAACCGACTTGGTAAGCATATCAGTCTCCCGATCCAACTAGGTTGCCGTGCTTATCGATGGTCAGGGTCCTGCCTAACGTCAAGTTCGAGATTGATGATGTTGAGAGTCCCTGGGTCCACACACGCAAATTCGACTTCGTTTTCAGTAGATACATGACATCCTCCATTGCAGACTGGCCCAAACTGATGAGAAGTGTCTACGAGTAAGTTTTCCAAGAAGGACTTGATAAGTTCAAGTTTCGGATACTGATTCAACTCAGAAACGTGGCTCCGGGCGGCTGGGTTGAGTTCCAGGACTACGACTTGGAGTATAGAAGCGATGATGGCTCACTTACTGAACAGCACTCGACCTGGAAGTGGCTGCATAAGTTCTTCGAGGCCTGCAGAATTGTAGGCCGCGATCCTAACCCGGGACCTCAACTGGAGGGCTGGGTCAGGGAGGCCGGTGATTACGTCAATGTTGTCCACCAAAAGTACAAGATCCCAATCGGGGACTGGCCCAAGGACCCCCACTACAAGGAATGCGGCATGATCAACGTGATGCAAGTTCTTGATGGACTAGATGCCTTTACCTTCAGGCTCTTTACTGGTGTCCTCGGGTGGACGAAGGAGGAAGTGATGGTTCTTCTCGCCGAAGTCCGTCGCGAACTGAAGTCGAAGACTTTCCATGCCTATTTTGAGTTGTGAGTCTTTTGTCCCCGCCATTGCCTACAAGTCTGGATCATGGACTTTCTCTAACAGAATACGGTTGCAGCCACGTGGTATATGCGCAGAAGCCGGAGGCAGAGGAATGAGGTGCGCAAAACGTTGAGATACAGCAGTATCAAGGTCCCATTTCCTTGTTATGACCATAGGTTAGCATTCATAGGAGTTACCGTCTCAAGATTCTATGGAAAACTGTTCGCGACCCTCCACTTTAGACATAGTCACTCCTGATGAGGAAGACTGAGATCCCATCATCGTGCCTTGAAGTTGTTACCCCGGCTTATCGGTGCGTGCGCTAGCGTTCAGGCAGGCCCCGCTTCCGTCATCCGCCGGTCGAAACGGGCCGCTAGTCCGAACGGTTCGGCCCCGCTTGGTGTTGCTTCCGGAGCGGAGCTTACAGTAGATCCTGGCAGTTCGTCCGACCCAACCAGCCATTCATACGGCCGGCGAGGCAGCGCCCCCGGCTAGTGTGAATCCTTCTGGGAAGACGCTGCTAGCCTTTTACTTATGACGTGCGGAGTAGGTTCCATGCGTATGTTTGTCCTTGCGGCGTGAGGCAATGACCAGGTGAGATTCTGACCGGCATTGTATCTTGATCTGAAGGTTGAAGATGCCTAGCTGCGATTTCGTCGTTGACCCCACTCAAATGCAGGTGTCTTTTGGGCGAATGGTGCGATCACTATTAATAAACGAGTTGTCTGCACCATCCGTGTTTCGTCCTGTTGCTATCTCTCCACGTTCAGTCTCGACTCTTTACCGTGATTCGTCTGGATGATAACATGGCTAGTGACTTAACCGCAGCCATACTGACGGCGGTCGCATTACTGACAGTCTTCTTTCTAATATCAAGAATAGCCAAGAGTGATGGATCGACTCCAAAGGCCCTCAAGCTCCCTATCATTGGCGACCTTCATCGCTCACCTTTGGAAAGGCCGCTTCTGAACTGGGATGAATGGGTCAGCGCAAATGGTCCAGTCACAACGACAAAACTCTTTGGACTCGTTCCCATGGTGGTGCTCAATACCGCCGAAGCAGCAGCGGAACTCTTTGGGAGACGCAGCGCGTACTACAGCCACAGACCGAGCTCTGTGAGCATGGAGATGATCACCGGAGCGGGTCCGGGGAAGTCGAGGTTCACTCTGATGCACAACTATGATGCCCACCTAAGGCTACATCACCGAATGCTAAGTCCGAGTCTTGGATCCGTTGCTGCGCCGAAGTTCCAGCCGTTGATGGAGCTGGAGTCGAAGCAGCTTCTACTCGACCTACTGAATGCCACCGAAGGAGGAGGCAAAGATGGTATAGCCATGAGAAGTACAGACATTCACCACCACTTCGAGCGCACACAAGCCAGCGTCATTTTAGGCTTGCACTATGGTATCCGAGTTCCGTCCTACAGCGACGCTCTCTTCAATGAAGTCATAGGCGTGCACGAAAAGGTCACCTACGTCGCCGCCAACCCCAGCCTAGTCGACTTCATCCCGCCCCTCCGACATCTCCCGGCCATTATATCACCCTGGCGACGTGCTGCGGACAGCCTGTTCAAAGCACAGAGCGGACTAAATCTCCGCCTTCTAGAAAGGGGCACGGATTCACCCGGCTGGAACGCGACGAAGCAGGCGCGAGCTGTGGCCGCCAAGTACGCCGAGGCCGGCCCCGTGCCGGAAATAGAACTGGCCTTCACCCTCGCAACGAGCGTTCAAGGCGGTATGGAGACTGGCCCGCGGCAGATGCTCTGGCTCTTGGTCGCTGCGCACGCGAACCCGGATTTCGTGGCGCGATCGCAGGCCATCCTGGATAAACTCGTTGGCAGGAAGCGATTACCACGTTTTGCGGACCGGACGAAGTTGGCTTACATCGATGCTGTGGTGTCGGAAGTCATGCGCTGGCGACCTGTTTCACCGGGAAGTATCCCACGGAGAGCCGAAAAAGAGGATGAGATCTATGGCAAGCGCATCGTTAAGGGGGCAACACTGTTTGCGAATTCTTGGGCCATTGGGCGAGATAAAGAGGCGTTTGGTGAAGAGGTTGGAGACTTGGGAGCTTTTATCCCAGAGAGATGGTTGGACTTGGATGGTAACCTGCGTACTGACTTGCCCCTGCCTGTGTTCGGCCAAGGCAGACGGAGCTGTTTGGGTAAGCGGGTGGCTCTCGACAACGCTTTCATGGTTTTCGCCAGTCTGTTGTGGGCCTTTGAGATAGTACCATTGGAGAAGGTCGATAGCATGGCTATGGGCGTAACCGGCTTCATGACGGCGCCCTCTGAGTTCAAGTTTGGCCTTAAGCCTCGGGGACCGTGGGTGAAGGATGTCATCCGGAGAGAGTGGGATACCGCTGAGACAGACTTGAGCAAGGTCATGGGATCTCGGTCAGATGTCGAGACTTGAAAGAGCCGGTCTTTGAAGAGATAGCAAGGGCGTACAAGCCCTTACGGCCTTGGTTTCTTAATATTTACACCCATTCAGTTAAGTCTAACCATGTTGGTTCCGCAGCAAGCCTTTCCCAAATGTGTAGAGATCAGAGGAACGGTTATCGCTCAGGTGTTTGTTGTGCATTGCAACCGAGCAGTTAATTGCCTTCAATAAAGAACGTAAAGAACAAGCAATCATTGGCCGACGGCGTAGTTGAACATCCACCAAAATCTGAGCCATGGGAATGGCAAAGTAAACTTCAAGGTCTGTGTCTTCGTCTCCTGAATCCCACAACGGTCTTCTCCGCATTCGAGGTCAAGAGATCAGCCAGGTTCATCCTTCTGGAAAACCCGCGACACAAGCTTCCTAAGAGTATGGCTTCGTGCGGCCCCGGGCTGGGCGGTTTGGCTCGGTATGATGTCCGTCAAGCAACGCCAAGCTCTTCTCTCGGGCATAAACTGACTCAAACAGCTAGCAAAACAGTCTGCGAACGAATCGCGTCTTTCGCCTCTATTCACAGTCATTCAGTAGTTTACGAAGCAATATATCACAAGGCCATAATAAGCTGATTGACGATGGTTGCGAGCTCCTATCCGCGGACGATGGAGTTTTGAAGTTTGGCCAGTTAGAGGAGATAATGTATGCAGAACTTGCAGAACTAGGTCAAGATTCGAGCCCGGGCGAAGCACGGGGTTCTCTCTCGTTCAGTGAACATCTGGAATGTCAAATGCAATGAATTCGCTAAGTAATCAAGGGCCCAAATCTAGCCATAGAAGTAACAATGTTGGTGTACTCGATGTCCCTAGCGCCAAAGTAGTCGCTCATGTGCCATGCTCCAATGCCTTGTTCCACCGAACCATTTCAAGTGAGGTTTTGGTAGTCTTTTTAATGCGCGCCTTGCCGCTTTGATCTTTGCCGAGTCTGATCCCCAAACCTGCATCGAGTATGAGATGATGGTTGACGCTTCACGGGGGAGTGATCCGTACTCACGCCTATGAAATTCCAATTCTTGTGTATGCCGGTTTAACCAGAACCGCAGACGCAGCCCTCACGGAGCGCTGGAGCAATGTTGGGGAACGGGAAGCACTGGCGGCCTTGGGCATCGCAGTTCTCGCTCTCGACGCCACAGGCGGTATCAGAGCAAGATCCGGTGTATGGTGCTTGTGCGGCAACGGCGGCCACGAGGGCGAAGACGGTGAAGAAGGTGCCACGCATGGTTGCTGATTTAGATGGGGGTTTGAAGGAGCCTGGCGTTTGGCAGTTGCGGGGAGATTGGATGAGTTCGAGGCGTTTGAATCGGATGAAGTCGAAGCTGAAGACTGTTGTGTGATGATGAGCTAGTGAAGAGATGAGACTGAGACTGTGCGTTCGTTCGTCTCGATTATATACTTCATTCACAACGAGCCCATTTGCCTTCGTCTCCCCTATCCACATCCTATTATTTACGCTTTTGACAATAGCCAGGAGTATCATGTCTATTTTGGAGGTCTGCCAGTTGAGGCTCGACCACGGACGTCTGGCGGTTCAATCGGCTGGTGGCCCGAAAACCTTGGCTGCACCTTGGCAGGTTTGGAGTATTATCGGTTTCCAAGGGCGGTAGAAAGGATGCTGGCGACAATTACAGTAGGCTTAGTTAGCAAGTGATGGGGATCTACTATGAGCGGTGAAAGAGTAAGAGAGCGAGAGAAAGCTTGTGGCTGCCCTCTCGCGCTGGTCTTGGCGATGAACGTTTCAATTATTTCTTGTCCTTCTCTTGGCTCTCTCTCAACCATGGTGCGGGATGCTGTCCGCGTCTCATACGCTGCCTTTATTTAGAAGGACGAGAGCGCCCTACGAAAACAAAGTCGCCAACCCCCCACGATGGCTAGTGGTTTGACGATGGTGAGTTGTTCGCGCGGGTGCCCCCGCATGCGAATGGCTCGAATGGTTCAGCAACTCTTGGGAGTTGTCAAAATAGCAAAAAGGGGGTTGTATCCTTGCCTGGTTGTTGTGTCGGTCGCTCCGCAGTTGTAGGTATTTCTGTACAGTTGCATGGCGAGTCAGTGATCGCCCCGAGAGCCAATGCAACCAGAGGCTTATTTTGAAACTGTCCGACGGGATTAGAATGAAACGGGTCCGGGGTTGAGTACCGTATGGACGAATGAGCACCTACGTCCTGTATATTTGTCGATCCCGCATCCACTTCATCTTGGTGTATCATCTCTTACCCGGCGTTTACATGTGCGATCTAGGCAGTATGTAGAAAGATGGGCTACGCTATCCTCTATTCAAAGTCTCTGTCGAAACAGAGGTAGGCAAGCATACTGCACGGTTTGGAGTGAGTTGGAGCAAAAACAACAAGTTGTATCTGGTTTGACCTAGTCCAATAGGCTTCTCAATTTGAACTCTAATTAATCTCACAAGGGATTCATGTTAGGATGAGGAGCAGCAAACTGATTGAGCGCAGACAATGCCGTGGCAAGCAAATGGCCGGACCGGGCACGGAGCAAGAGGGTGGGTCTCGGGGCCGAGAATCGCTTCCGACCGGCCGGTCGGACCTCCGAGACGGCTCCCGTCTCATTCGTCCGATGTGGAATTTACTCCAGAAGCAATGTGCAGCCACCAACCGGCATGAGAACTCAACCATCGTGAGGATCGTATATCCCCTCACGTTTGTAATACAGAATAATTTGTATACAGCCCGCTTACGATCAAATTTCCTACTGATAGTCGCGTTTTAGGAGCTTTTGGCTGCCTTCGTAATATGATAAGGATCACCTGATCGAATCTGCACGTGACGCTTGCACAGCCACCCATTGGTTTGCTGTCATCCCATCGCTTTCGGAAGCGGCTGCGTCATGGCCATTTGCTTTTCTCACCCCGGCAACATCTCTAAGTCCAGACAGCATTTCTCATCTCTGAAAGACCTAAATCGTATCTTTTTCGCTACCAGAGAACAGCATTCGTCTTTGCGCAATCGCCAATAAAAAGTCACCGACTTCCGACAGCGTAATGGACCAATCTAGCCAAGTTGCCCCATCTGGGCGTGCAGATTCTCCTTCCACATTGAGCGACGCCCAACAGCCGACCCCTTACCAACCCATGGGTGAGCACGAAGTCCTCCCCCATCTCATAGCCATAAAGGTCGAACCTCGTACTAATTCAGCCTCGCCGCGCAAAAGATCCCCAATGCCCGCAGCCCCAGACAGAGCAGATGGAGATGGGCCTTCGCGGCGGTGATGATGGCCGCGGGCCTTGTCCCGGACGCTTCTGCTTCATCATTCCCTGCCCTATTCCATGCAACTTCTGTATTTTCCCTTGCCCTTGCTAAAGCGAGGAGTAAAGCAATTTTATTGTTCGTATTTTGATGGTCTGAGGATGTGGACTTTTTTTCCTTGCCCAAGGGGCACAGTTCCGTGTGGAGAATTGAAATGTCGAGCGATAGCAGCCAAATAGATGATGCTTACTTGCTCGGGCTGATGCTACGCCGCACAAGGGGCGACTTGTTGATAAAGGGACTTTGTTAATACTAAGGTACATTTCTTCAAAAATTTATTCGTTTCTGTTTGATTCATGCGACGCGTCTCGTCTTTGCGCCATCGCGCTTTCAGCGATCTTTTCCATACACCGGCACTGGCAGCATCTCGATGAGTTCCTCATGTGTCAACGACAGGTCGCTGGGCCCAGTCGTCCACGGATGCCGTGATGACTTTGACTTTACCGTCGGATTCGAGCAAGCCGTCTTGGCAATTATTCCGGCAGCCGTGCTGATTTTGTGTTCATTGCCGCGACTGTTTCAATTGCCCCAAAAACAAAGGATAGTTGACGAAACTGTTTTACTATGCCTCAAACTTGTAAGCAACGACAAGACCGGTGACTGTACAGTACCTAATATTCTCACAGTCCGCCCTTGTAGCCTACAGTGGCCTGCAACTTGGCCATCTGATTCTGACATGTCGTGGCACGTACTGGTCGTCACAGTTGGGTCTCGCATCCGATGCACTAAACTTTGTTGCCTCCTTGATAATAATTCTTCTCTCATTTTTGGAGCATGCCCGCTCACCACGGCCGTCGATGCTGCTCGGCGTATACCTCCTAATCACCGTCTTGTTTGACATCGCCCGTACGAGAACTCAATGGCTCTCGGCAGACTCTGCGAATGACTTTCGCCAAGCTCGCCTATCGATCGCGAGTGTCATTCTGAAAGTTGTCGTTCTCATTATCGAGTCCCGGAAGAAAAAACCAGCATCAGCTTCCGAAAAGCAGCAAAGTCCAGAGGCGACTAGCGGTATCATCAGCCTTTCAACCTACTTCTGGGTGAATGACCTCTTTCTCAGAGGCTTCCGCAAGCTTCTCATCCTCGACGACTTGTATGCGCTCGACGAAGCAATGTCAGCCGAAGTCTTGTACGCCAAATTCGGGCCTCTCCTAGAGAATAACAAAGCGCAGGGCCACAGGCATGCTCTATTCAGGGGTCTTACACAGACGCTTGTAGGACCATTCATCCTCTCGATCGTTCCACGACTCTGTCAGATGGGCTTCAAATTCTGTCAGCCCCTCATGATTGAGAGCCTATTGGACTACCTCCAGGAGCCCGTGGGCGCTTCATCACCGAACAAGGGGTACGGGTATATTGGTGCTGCTTTTCTCATCTACGTTGGCATGGCTACGTCCAATTCCATTTACTGGTACTTCCAAGAGCGCTTCGTCCACATGGCAAGAGGTATCTTGGTCTCGGCCGTCTACCGCAAAACAACCGTCATCAGCTTGTCCGCCGCAGACGATTCCGCAGCCTTGACGCTCATGAACGCCGACGTGGAGCGCGTCACGAATGGATTCCAGCCGATCCACGAGTACTGGGCCAACACAGTCGAAGTTGCGCTGGCGTGTTGGCTGCTGCAAAGGCAAATTGGCGCGGCCTTTGTTGCCCCCGTCACTGTCGTTATCGTTTGCGCGGCAGCCTCCATGGTGACCGCCAAGTTCACAGGAAAACGCCAGACATTGTGGATGGAATCTATCCAGCAGCGAGTCGGGGTCACTGCCAAAGCTATCTCGAGCATGAAAGCACTCAAGATCTCGGCCATGTCTGGGCCGATTGAGAGCCTGATCCATAATCTCCGCCTCAAGGAACTCAGCGTAGGTGGAAAATGGCGCCTGATGCTCCTCGCGGCCGTGACAATCGCGTACACGCCCTCTCAGCTCGGCCCCGTTATGGCTTTTGCTGTGACTTCTCAGACTCTCAACGTCAGGCGCATCTTCACTTCCATGGCATACCTCATGCTCTTGGCCGGTCCGTTGGGCAGCCTATTCCAGACCATTCCGCAACTGGTTTCGGCGTTTGCCTGCTTGGGTCGTATTCAGGCGTACCTAGATAAAGACAGCCGCATCGACTACCGCAAAAGGCCCGTAGCCCCGCGTTCTTCAAGTTCGGAAAGTGATACGAAACCCGATGAACTGCATGCTTCGTCGATCGCGGTGAAGCAAGCGTCGTTCGGGTGGGCTGAGGGGAAGTACGTCTTGGACGAGGTCGACGTACTCGTCCCTGCCAACTCCCTCACCATCATCGTAGGGCCTGTAGCTTCCGGCAAGTCGACACTGCTGAAAGGTCTCCTCGGTGAGATCCCATTTCATTTCGGCAACGTGGTTTTCAACGTCAACCATTGCAGGGTAGGCTACTGCGACCAATCTCCATTCCTCTACAACAGCACGATAGAAGCCAATATTATTGGCCACTCCGGACTGGACCCTGAACGATATCGCCAAGTAATCGACGCCACGATGTTGTCTACCGATTTTGCAACCCTACCCAAAGGCGATCGCACCAAAATCGGCAGCAACGGGCTAACCCTGAGTGGTGGGCAGAGACAACGAGTGGCTCTCGCTCGCGCCTTGTACCTTGAATGTGACCTGCTCATCCTGGACGACATTCTGAGCGGCCTCGACGCGACCACCGAAGAGCACGTCTTCAGCCGGGTCTTCGGAAACGCAGGCATCGTTCGCCAGAGGCGCATCACGGCTGTGCTGTGCACGCACTCTGTGCGTCATTTACCACTGGCGGACCACATCATCGCACTCGGTGTCGACTGTACTGTAGTCGAACAGGGATCCTTCGCAGACTTACAGACCAACGGCAAATACGTCCAAAGCCTCAAGATCCAAGAGGCCGAGACTACCCCTGAAGGAAAGAGTGAGGCAGCAAACTAGCCTGAGGAGGCACCCCTAGCGCAAACAGTGACTCAAGTCTCCGACTTGGCGGAAGAACCAGACAAGGCACGTCAACTTGGCGATGTAGCAGTCTACAGGCATTACTTTGGCAGCATGGCGAGATGGGTAATCGCCGTCTTCATCTTCTGGTGCTGCGCCTACGCCTTCTGCATGAACTTCCCCACCGTCTGGCTCAAATTCTGGTCCGAGGACATCACCGCCGAGACACCGAAGCGTTCTGGCGCGTTCTACATGGGCATCTACGCCCTTCTCCAGATCATGTGCCTGGGTTCCCTGATGGTGGTCGTCTTCATAAACACGCAGACCATGATTTCGCAGTCCGGGTCGAGCTTACACCAACGTGCCCTGCGGACGCTCGTCGGCGCGCCTTTGAGGTTCTTTGCGACGACTGACACGGGGACGGTGACGAACCTGTTTGCTCAGGATCTTGCGCTGATTGATAGCGAGCTGCCGATGGCACTGATCAATTTCTCCGTGTTGCTTTTCGCCGCTGTGGGCATGGCTGTCGTTATTGCCGTCTCGTCGCCGTGGTTGGCGATTAGTTACCCCTTTCTTGCGGCGATTCTGTACTTTGTGCAAATGTTTTACCTTCGGACTTCGAGGCAGTTGCGTATTCTGGAGCTCGAATTAAAGAGTCCTCTCTAGTGAGTCGTTTCGAGGTCTTCTTACCTTGGGGCTAAAATGACTAACACTTTCTCAGTTCCCATTTCATTGACACTCTCAAGGGTTTAGCGACGCTGAGAGCTCTTGGTTTCATCTCCGCGGGCATCACAGTCAACAATAACCTCCTCGACACCAGCCAAAGACCAGCGTACCAGCTCGCAATCATCCAGCGCTGGCTGCAGCTAGCACTCCAGCTACTCGTAGCTGGTCTTGCGACCATCGTGGTGACACTGGCGACGCAACTGCGAGCCAGCTCTGGATTCACTGGAGCATCTTTAGTAACTCTCATGTCTTTTGGTGATACCCTGACTACAATCGTCCAGTCGTACACCATGCTAGAAACAAGTATAGGAGCAGTGGCGCGCTTAAAGACGTTTAGCGACACGGTGACGCCGGAGACCGGGCCCGACGAAGATATGATGCCCGAGGAAAGCTGGCCTGAGAAAGGCGCGATCGAGATAAAGGCAGTATCGGCGTCTTATGGAGTCTCCAGGGACCACCTGGGCTGTTCAGGGGGCGAGGAGAAGCCACCTGCCGATCTAGCCATTCGGGATCTACATCTCTCGATCAGTCCCGGCGAGAGGGTAGCGATATGCGGAAGAACAGGGAGCGGAAAATCATCGCTCATTCTCTTGTTACTTCGCCTTATGGAGACCCTGTCAGGAAGCGCGGGTGGTATTGTGGTGGACTCGGTGCCGCTCGACAAGGTCGATCGCGATACTCTGCGGCGCCGCATCATAGCCGTATCGCAGGACGCCATCTTCCTCCCCGACGGCTCGACAGTGAGAGATAACCTCGATCCGTTCGACGAAGCGACCGAGGCGGAGTGTCTCGAGGTCTTAGAGCAAGTTGGATTACTCGCGGGGATACAAGAGCGAGGGGGTATCGGCGCCGAGCTCACCGCGGAGTCTTTCAGCCAGGGGCAGAAGCAGCTGTTCTGTCTGGCTCGGGCGGTCTTGAGGAGGCGGGTGAAGAGACGTGGTGGTACTGAAGGGGGAATCCTTTTGCTTGATGAGGTTTCCTCGAGCGTTGATCGGGCTACGGACCTTGTTATGCAGGAGATTATTCGAAGGGAGTTTGAGGGGTATGCGATTTTCATGGTGTCTCATCGACTGGATATGGTGCTGGATTGTGATACGGTTGTGGTCATGGATAAGGGTAGTGTAGTTGAGAAAGGGGCGCCGCGGGTGTTGAAGGATCGGGCGGGAGGTGTGTTTAGGGAGTTGTGGAATAGTAACAGGACGATGAAGGAGTGATGAATGGTCGGTCTTACTTGGCATGTCCGGCTATATCTATAAATGGTTGATGATGAGGGAATGACGAAGAGCAACAAATATAACATCAGAGGGATCAAGTCTCGTCCCGGGAAAACGTCGAACAAGAGTACCCGATACTGGCAGGCAGTCCACCTCAGACTCAATCAACTCCCCAACTAATACATCATCAAGAGAAACTTCAGAGATCAATATTATTCAAAGCCATGTATTTCCTTCGACAACTATTACCGTACCATTGGCCAGCTCCCTCAATGCTGTGCTGTCAACGTCGGTCGTACATATGCGATGTTGTAACCATTTTTGTCAACATATTCTCTCCTTCCGCACTCTCTGCAGTGATAATGACGCCTTCCCTCTTTAACCACTCATCGGAACAAGCAAACAGGAGGTTCATCAGCTATAAAGCTATCTTCCTCGGCGGCAAGACGTGGCCCATCTCCAGCATGAACGGTGCTTCTGGTCTCGTCCATTGTAACCCAGATTGTTCAGATTGCGAACAAAAGTTGATTAGAACAGCTTCGCTCTAGAATCTCGTGTTTTCGAGACTCGTCGTGGGCTCATATATCGACACCATCCTATTCAGTCATAATACCTCATCCGCCCCCCGTTCCTTTGAGTAATCAAAACAGAATAAGTGCAGACCGCTGGCTAGAAGCAACGGGCCTATTCTTGGGCAGTATACTGGAGATTTGATACTATTATTGGCGTGTACCTTGGATACTCACGTCTAGAGTCCAAAGCCTTGCGATATCTGTAAACTTTGCCAGCAAATGTTACCAGGAAGTCTTGTCAGCAAGATGGGTGCCTTGGTGCAGGAGATCAAACCCACAGGTGCAACAAGATAGACTCGTAGTTTCCATGGGTATGATTTACAACCTACAACCTTCTGGGCAGATAGCCTTTTGCGCGCTCTTGCTCATTTCAGGGTCAGACATTCTAGACTAATTCCGGCCGTGCACACACACACATGGAGAAACACGAGGCATTAGATGAACCTTAATTGTTGCAGCGCTGAGCGGACGGAACTTCCGTTATCAGAGTTTAGCAATTCCCATGAGGCAGAATCCTACCTGTCACTTTCCGCTCAGTCAATCAGGAAACAATGCTTTGAGGATGCAGAACCAATCAAAGCACACATGGAGCATCAGCTTGTCGGGGCTCTTTCGAGTCTTTCCCTGATAACGGCCTGAACAAAGCTTGAGAGTGACAATCAAAAGGGCCAAAACACCTTCTGTGCGTTGATTATTTCCAACATTTCTAGGATACGTACCTACTGTTTTCCCTCGAGGTTATCGATATCGAAAGGTTGAGAGATCCTTGCAAACGTTTCGTCCGGGGGCTATCCTGATCGTCGAGGGACCGCGCCTAGGGATTTGGTGTCTAGCTTGTTCGCGCGGCATCGACGTCATGTTTTGCAAAGGGCCAAACACACCACCAGAAACCGACAATCGCGGGAATTTCTCTTCCTTGTTCCTTCTTGTTTCTTGTCGTCAATTGTCCAGCATGTTGAGTCAGTGAGACAGGCTGAAAGCCTGGAAGAGAGTTGGAGTTCTTGGAGTCAAAGAGGGGGGGGAGGCGTGGAAAATCACTGGCGCCATTGTTTGAATCTCGATTGACCCCAAAGCGATCCCGTGTCAGCCTTCCTAGAGCGGAAGAAGAGCAACCCTCCGGTACGTCATTGGCGCCTTGCTCAGGATTTGCGCACCCTTACCCGAGCCCCCGGGGCCCCGACGGAAGGGTAAGAAGAAGAAGATGTTCAACATGGAAAAGGGGGCGAGGCTCTCTCTCTCTCTCTCTCTCTCTCTCTTTCTAAACTTCCCGGCCGGTGCGACCGGCGTCGGGTAAGATAGCGCGGGCCAGCCGGGCATCATGCCGGTGGCAGGGTTCATGTTGGACAGCACTTGGAGGGTTTGAGTTCGAATTTGGGAATTCGGGGGTGACTGGCTGCGCGATTGGTGTCTCCGCGGGGAAAATAGTTACTAGCATGGAGCTGGCGCTTCCGTCTCACGCACATTCCTTCCCCTTCCCGCGCGGACGATCAGTGAAAATCCCCCTTGAACGTCGCGGAAGTTGGGAAGCGTTTTGGGAACGCAAGACCTCTCGCCCTTACATCAGAGCCTGGGGGAAGAATGGGTTGGGCAGCAGATCGCCCGGGCGGCGCAGTGTACGCGAAGGAAAGGGTTGTTGCACGGATCGACGACGGCGGCGGCAGCAGGTTGGCAACACCATCTTGACATGGAGCGGTCGGTGACTTGCTCTTCGCTGTCGTGGTCGTGGTCGTGGTCGTCGTCGTTGGCATTGTTGTCGGATTGAGAGGGAGGGGGTGTTATCCGGTTCAGAACTTCAGGTTACTGTCGTCCCGTTCGTTGTCCAGCAATCTCTCCCTCCTGTCTCTCAATTGCCCTATTCGGGGAACCGGGTTGAACGTTCAGATTATTGACGGATGAACCTCCGCCATGCCGGAAACTTGAAAGCGATAGATAGCAACTTCAAACGCTCTTTTGGGCGGCATCAAATCCCCGGCCGGGATAACGTGGCATGAAAAAAGCAAAGCAAAGCAGTAACAGCGAATGCGCCAGCTGTACTCCGTACGCAGTGTGCTGCTGCGGTCTGTCTGCGATTCGCTGTAAAAGGTTGGAATGTCACTAGGCGGTGAGCGAGCCGTCACCGACTGCGCCGACGAGGGATGCCGGCAGAGTCGACGTCACATGTCGAGCGCTACGGCAGCCTGCAGAGCCAACCAGGTTAAAATGGATTTTTCTACTGAAGTAACGGCAGGTATGAAATCAATAATAGGGATATTACTTATCATAGGTAATCTAAGGGCTTTAATTAATTGAAGGGTTAAATACGGGTCTTTTCTGGATTATTATTTTAATAATCGAGTTTCTTATAATAATTGTTATTTATATAATTAAATCTATATATTTGGCACAATAGCTTTAAAAGGTAGGTAGTAATATTTTTATAAAAGAATAAAAGATGAATATTCATATAGAAGCAAGAATATATGAATATAGGTGTAGTTAAGCGTATATAAAAGAGATTAATAAATATAAAGAGAGTATATAGTTGTATTACTATATAAGAAGTTACTTGCTTAACAAAAGATATAAGTAGGTAAAAGATGCCCTTATATAGGCATGAAATGTCCCACTAAAATTTTCCATTGCTTATTAATTATGATTTTATTAATTACATTATAATTAATAAGTATTTACGTAAGTGAATGCGTAACTATAATATGTAATATCTTTCAAGTAAATTCCAGCACATTTTATTACCTTCCAGTGCCGTCTTTCGCTCACGTAAGCTTACATAAACAATTTTGCTTACGTAATCAAAATATATTAATCTATAACTCTTATAAATTAATATGATATATAATATGCTTACGTAATATGAATAATAAAGCAAATAATAAGGTAAAAGATTTACATTTTCAATAGTAATTAAACGGAAGTAATTACGTAAATAAATAAAAGATATTAACTATAAATAATTAAACGTAAATAATTATATAAAGTAGATAATTAAAAGGTATATAAGGTAAAATATAATATAATTATTTATATAGAATTAAAATTAAAATAATAATAGTATTATTATTCTTAAATAAAAAAGTAAAATAATAGACGCTTATATAATATGATTCCTTATTATAACTAATTAAAATAATCCTTTAGTTATAAGTTGAAGGTATGCCTATACCTACCGTACTTATTAACTTTTATTTTGACCTGGTTAGCTCTGCAGGCTGCCGTAGAGCGCCCTGTATTGCGCCAGCTGCTTATTCGCTCGCCAGGCGTTCGCCAGCCCGCGAACGCGCTTCGACAGCGAAGTGAGGTGGTGAGGAAAGTGAAGGACCCGGAATCGGAGCTTGTTCCCTGCACGCCCCGAGGTTTTTTGGTGGCCTTGCACGCCCTACGTCTTTGGCCTGAGGCAAGAGTGCGTCACCATGGATTGAGTAAGCGACCAATCAGAAGCTCGCGATAACGGCGCAGACACGACAGCCAATGAGAGATGAGGACCCTGCATCGATTGATGAATGGCAGGGATGTTGAAGCATGGCATGCAGCAAGGATACCTAAATGGGGTAAGCGCGTCTGTGCTCGCTCTTGTAAACAAAAGTGGTTCATTATCTCGATTCGCTCCTGCCCTCTCCTTGCACGACAAGGTACGTACCGCAACCTCACCACCACGGGCACGCAGTCAGCCTCCCAGCGAGACGGTTCTATCCTCAACTTTGTCACCTTGTCTTTTTGTGGCCCGACTCGAACGACCTCTCGTAGATTTGCATGGCATTTCTTTCGCTCTGCCTCTACGAAACCGCCCCCCCGGACGGCCGGACGGAAGAATAGGCCTCACAATTCACATCTTACGATTGCCATCGTCTGCTTGGCTGCCCGCCCTCCTGGGCGTGAGGATCACTGCCGATGCGACCCCAATCCAAAACTCACCGACAATCCACAACGCCCATAGCCGGTCCCGTCCCCTCGGATAGCCTCACCTGATTCTGTTATCGATGAAACCAACATTGCCCTTGGAGCTTCCTGCTTGACATATCTCCGGTTGATCAACCCCCCTGGCTTTTCAAAAGGACCCTCTGCCATCGGGAAGAGAGAGATGAGGCTCGTTTAACGACGACATGTCTCATTTGAACCTCAATCCGGGGAAGACCACGTCGCTCACACGCGAGCCATTGACCTGTAGGGATCATCTTTGATGGCGGCGAAACGCCTGCCCTGGGATCCTGGACTGACTATTTTCTCCCGGCCACCAACCGTGCCATTGGGCAAAGGGGTACGGACAGCCACCGGGCAGCGATAAGTCTCAGGGAGAATTCCTTTTTTTCCCTCATGAATCTGTGTCTACGGATACCCCAATATTCCAAGCCTATCGCTTGCTTCGCAGTTGGAGTATCCACCATTACCTGCAAAAAGTCTATCGAATCTTGATGTTGCCGGCCGCGAACAGGACAGAGTTGGCAGTGGACCGACTCAGTCACCCTATCATCTTACAGGGATAAACAGGTACTCAGCAACTGAAATGTCGGTGTCTTTCTTTTCTGCCGTTGGCTGGCTGGCGTCGTCGTCACGGCCATCATCGTCGTCGTCGCCCTCGTGGTGCCACGGAAACAAGTGGCGCAGGTTTGACAGAGAGCGCATTCTGGTCTTTGTCGCTCGCGTCTCATATCCTCCGCTCCGTCAGCAATGCAACCGCGGCCTCGTCGTCGTGGAGCGTTTCGCCTCCCCGTCAAAGGCATGGTCGGTTTGTCGGTGCCGGCATTGAGCCTCGGCCGGACGTTGCTGTCAGAAGAGGAAGACGCCCGAAGCCAACAGCCAGAAAACCACCGAGGTGCAGTGGACGGACGGGAGAGGCTGTGGAGTCGGCCAGATTCCGGGGACTCTTCACGTCTCCTGCGTCCTAGCGCTCGGCGACAGCGAACGAACAGACTGGCGTCGCGAGGCTGTGGCAAAGAAGAAGGAGAAGAGGGGTGGGCAGCGGGAGCTGGAGCTGGAGCTGCATTGGCTTCCCCCATTGTCAATGCTGCGCAGCCGTTTTGCCTGCTGGGATCCCCGCCACACTTGCACTGGACACCGCGGCCCTATCCACAGCTCGGGCGAGGCGGCAGGCCGTTCAGCGGCTCAGCCTGTTGTCTCGATGGCAATATCTCTCAGCACCACAGAAATTCGACCGCAAACGTTGAAGCGCCGTCTTGGGCGGGCCCTCTGAGCAACCTATTTGCAAATGCCAAGCCAAAGCGGTTCCGTAACGGCCACTGTCTCCAGGCTTCTGGATGTGTTCTGGAGCCGAGCATCGTGGGAGCGAGAGTGGAAGAGCTCCACCTGAGCGGTTCTCTTGCTGAAGTTTCTGGATCCTCTTCCTGCACCATGTTCTCAATTTGGCTCAGTTGCCCATCTGACCTCTGCTTCAAAGAAAGCTTCGCTTCGCGTTGCTTTGGGTTTCGTCTCCGGACGCTGCACGGATCCAGATACAGATACAGGGCCCATTGACCCCTCAATCTCCATCAGAGTGTGGCATCTCGCTGCTGAAGCTCCGGGGCTTCCTCGCAGACAATAGGCGCGGTGGGGTGTCGACGTCGACCTCTGTCGATTTCTCTCACTTGTCAAGTTTTCGGAGCAGATCTTTCATCTGTGGCTGGATTGGGTTTTACTCTTCCAGGAATTGATGGACGTTGGCCGAAATCAACGAGAATCGGAGGTTGCACTGCCTGCGTCATATTCAGTTGTTGAAATGACTCGGATTTGGAGACAACTTCTCCACGGACCCTAACAGCACACTGCGAGTTACAGAGTACATCTCGGAGTCTTTGCGAACGTTGGAGGAGTGAATTCAGGCCACGAAACAACGGGGGGCCAATGAGACAAACTCCCGTCCCTCTCTCACTCGGCCGACACGCCAGATCGGCCTGATGGGCCACTGGAAATCCGAACCATAGCGAACCTGACGTATTGGGTTGGAAATTGAATGATTTGTGGTCCCGGAAGACGTAGTCTTGATGGCAGAGCCTGTCGAGATCAACAAACTGGGTAGAGGCTAGAGCAGGACACTCCTAGCGTTCGTCATCAAGATGCAGGCGCTTGCGACTTGCGCACTGCGGACAAATTTGGCATGCCACTCAAGTCTCAACGGCCTCCTGTCACTTTTGCAAGCGTTGGACGGCGGTCGGGAGCCACAAAGCTGGCGGCGAATTGCAGCGACACCGCAAACGCGACTGCCAGACTCTGCCATGTGGTTGATCACCTCCGCAAATAGCACACCGACGTTGTGCCACACACCCCGCAGCAACCCCGTTGGCAACTGACGGCACACTTGCTGTGGTTGCTGCAGCTCCAAGACAGACAGACGACACGTCGTCTTCAGCCTGGCAAAGTGGACGGTGCATCAATCATCACGGAGGCTGAAGCATGGTAATTTCAGAAGTGGTGTTGGAGGCTGGAGCGAAGCCACCCTCGCCCACAAGCTATAAACCACAGTTTGAATGACGGACACCTTCGACCGTGCCAACCAGGCGAACAACAAGCAACAAGCCTCGACTGGGGAGGCTGGAGATCGGAGAAGGAGACAGCGAGTCACGGCGATTGGAAATGAACAGCGTTCGTCTGGTCCAGTCGACCAGTGCCAGTGGAGGATGAGTCCCCACAATGTGGAGAGGGAGAGAGAAACAGAGAGACCCCGGCCAGATGGCCGAATGCAGCAATTGAGCAGATGGGCGGTGGGTTTTGGCGCCTTTTCCCGTTGTTCAGACTTCAGCGTTTCCCCCGTCACGACCGCTCTCGACGTCTGCTAAAAGTCTGAAGAAGAACAAGGGCGACTCCAGGCGGTACGCTTCGCAGCGGTCTAGCATTATTCGTACCTGTGGCCCAGGCCAACTTCACGCCTCGTGAGCTGATTCATTGGACAACCAAGCAACTCAAGCAGCAGGGGTTAGCGTTTGCATGCCGCATCAGGCTCGAGTTCGAGACAATCCCAAGAGTCGAGAGTAGTCGAAATGCAACTCCTGTTGCTGGGCCTGGGTCTGGTTTCTGGGTCACGGCCGACTAACATGCAGCAAATCTGACCTGTCCATCATCACCAAGAGGGGCACTCAGACCAGGCGTTCCGACGTCGCACAGGACCATTGGGTCCCGCCTATCGCGGTGCACACGCATAAGGTATCCTGCAGGATGGACGTCTGGATGGATGCGCGCACGCATCCACGCATTCACGCATCGGGAGGGGAGGGGAGGGGAGGAGGGCGGATCGCCGCCAAAGAAGGATTCCTGTCGGGAACAGTATCACCGCATGGAAATGTGCTCAAGAGCACAACCAGCATCAACCTACTCATCACATCAAAGCTACCAGACACAAGCAAATTACTAAATGAACGCAGCCGCAAGGACATCTCCGGACAGCACTATACTCAAGAACAGAAATGGCAGTTCGATGTTTTGCGTACGTACGAGCAATCACAAGATCGAGAGTTCCATGTCCCTGTGAGTTCTCGGTTCATTCCCCCCTGCTTCACGCTGGGCGAACGGCGAGCCGCCCCATCCATGGAAGAAGTGGAGGAAGGATCCCCGAATCCCGATATGCGTTGACGAGCCCGCCTGGTCGATGCGAGCGTGAAAGCGATACCGGCGGCAGCCGGCAAAAAAAGAAAAAAAAAAGAAAAAAAAGGTACGAAGTACACACACCAGAGTCCAGATCGGTCTCTGTCCGACGGCCCCTGGCAATGTGTATTTCGGGCCACGGCGGTGACGATGCAGCAACCGCAGTGTGGAAGAGGAGCCGCATCGTGAAGCGGCAATAAACATGAACCTTCTTGGACCAACCCAAGAGCAGCTATTACGTTGAGAAAATTTAACTTACCCACCCTTCGTGTAGGTAGTTGCCGTCGTCACCTAGGCTCTAGCTGCCGGCACTTACAAGCAGACGCCAAAAACGGCCATCGTCCAGAGAAGAGCCAAGGCGATATTGCGGTCTTTCTCCGGAGTGTCAAAAATGGCTGGAGAACTGGAGTAGTTCGTAACTTGGTACCAGCCAGGCAATAAAGTGACGAGGCGGGAGCGCGACGTGAAGTGGGTTTTTGGAGGGCCATCGTGTCTCAAAGGTTCACCCCGACAGCTTTCTCACCCACCGCTAATTTACGGGCTACAGGCGCTACAGAAGCATTATTGCTTTTTTCTCTATCCCGTGTTTTTTTCTTTTGTTTTTTCTGCTCTCTGCAATACGGAGTACAGACACTCGTCTTCGAGACCCTTGGGACTGGGTAACCTAGTCACTTACTTGGGAAGCTGGGGCAGTTGAAAGCCCGTGATCTCGAATGACACGAGCTTGGCCCGTCTAGAAGCTCTGCAAAAGGGCCAAGAGTTCCTATGAACTAAACCTTAGAGGAAGGTACAGAGGCCGTTTGTAAGGATAGGTTCGGTATCCCGGGGGTATTAGCGGCGGCTTGACTGCGACAAGAAGAAGGAGACTGAGTTGAAGACACGCGAGCAGCCCCGTACGTCAAGGAGGTTCCCAGCGATCTTCATTCAACGACGTGGGCAGCGCGGGCTAGCGGCGTGGATACAGGGCATTCGCCTTACGTACAGAATAGCCGCTTCCAATTTCAGGGTCCTTTTTCCCTTTCTCGAATCTTGTAAGCAAAGCAACCTCGGACCTTGCTTTCTCGACTGGGTATGGCATGGCATGGGGGGTGGTTGATGGTCACGGACAAGACGAGACGAAGGGAACAATAAGCCGGAGGAGCGCACAGAAGCTGAAGCGAGCAACAGAGAGACAATGCCGGGGGGGCGTGCTGAAAATGGAGCGAAGAAAGAAGGCGAGGAGGAGGAGGAGGAGGAGGAGGACTGGTGGAGGCTAGGGGAGGAAAGGAGAGGAAACCGCGGGAGGCTTGGAGGGCACTTTCGGAGGAGGGAGTTTGAGAGCCACTGTGGAAACACATTCTTCCACGAGCAGAGCCAAAGCCAGAGCCCCAGAGCCGTGAGAGCCAAAGGCACGGGAGGCTATCCGTTCTACGGTGGCAGTTGGGACGAGACAAGGATCTGGTGGCTCCCCGGGGTATCGTCCTGAGTTGGACAAGGGTTCGGACCTCTTTACAGCCAACCACGACCCGGGTAGAAGGCCGCTGCCCACCCGGCGACAGGACCAGGACGGTGGCTAAGCCGCTTCCAGGCTAGGAGACGCTTGGCCTACTCTGGCCTTTGGGCTTCTTCTTTTTTGGCTGTGGCTCTGGCTCTTTTGGCGGTATTTTACTTGGGAAGGGCCTTCCGGGGGAGGTGGAACCACGGCGCGGAATTGGGAGGGGGGAAAAGGACTGGGAGTCTGAGAGAGAGAGAGAGAGAGAGAGAGAGAGAGAGAGAGAGAGAGAGAGAGAGAGAGAGAGAGAGAGAGAGAGAGAGAGAGAGACTCCGGGGATTCCTTGCAGCGCGAAAGGGCGGTCGCCGCCGTCGCCGCGATGATCGTGGCCGCCGCCTTTGCGCCTCACGTTTCTGCGGTACGACACCCTGGGACCGCGCTCCCTTGACTGACTACTAACCAGGTGGTGTGTGGGTGGCCAGAGCTGCTCTGGATGTGCTTCTTTTTGAAGTTTCTCACGAGGACGGCAGTGAGTATTGTAGGTTTATACGTGTACTGTTTGGGTCACGATAATGGTTTTGGCTTGAAGGTTGTATGTGTTGGAGTTGAGGTAAATAAAAACTTTAAACTCAGCAACGGGTGGGTGTATAAGTTGGTAGCGAAACCAGAGAAACGGCGAGGCAAAGCGTTGTGGGCAGAAGAAAGTGACGATGGACCACCTTTGGAGGAGAGAGTACGGAGTACATACTGCGTACGCACAGAGGAAGGAAAGCCATGCCGAGAGAAGACAGATAGAAAGAGACAGAAAGAGTGGTAGAGGGTGTGTGTCCTGTTTACGGCTTTCATCTCTCACACCCACCACGTCTCTTGAAGCAGATAGGTACGGATAGAGGCGAGAGTGACGACGAGAATGAGAGAGAGAGAAAGATTGACTGAGAGAACGAGAGAAAGTGAGTGAGAGACACGCCCCCCTCCCATTCCTCTCTTTCTCTCTCTCTGTCCCGTCTACCACTGTGGATGATCTGGCAAGTGAAGAAGAGGGCGGGCAACTCCTTCCGCCAATTGCCGCAGGAATAAATCTAATAGGGAACCCCCCTTCCCTTTCCACCCACCGCCTATACGCAGTACTTCGTACGCGTAGGCACTATACTGGGGTACGTACTACCTACAGCGCACCCCCCTCCATGACTGAATCGCCCTCAAGGCTGCTGGTCCCTCATTCCCACGCCCCCCTTTACCCCCCCCCCCCCCCCCCCCATTCCGCACCCCCGAGTCTCGTCCCATCCATTTAGACCCCAAGCATCCCGCCCAAACTACTTCACCAATCCGCTCCCCTCCATCGCAACGCACGCATCTTTATTTTTGCTGCGATTGCCTCCTCTTCCACCACTCCCGATCAGGTCATCTTCACCTCACTTACACCTCACATTCACAAGCAAAAAGACAAAGTACGACCTCGTTCAGTGGCACAGCGCATCCTTATCTCCGCACCGAAAACCAACGCGATTACAACCACAAATATACCCATCCCTCCACCGATCCTCTTCATCACGCTTCGATCCAACGGTTTACACCAGGTTTAATACGGAGCATTTCCGAATAAACGCGACGCCACAACCACGTCTCGTTCTCTTATTCTAATACAAAACACTCCGTCGCAACAAATCCTCGTTGCTTCCTATCGCCGACTCTCACGAGAAATCAACCACGCGCTTCGTCGAACCCCAGCAATCGAGCGCCGCCAATACCTAGAACGTATTGCACCCTTCACCGCCAAGCTTCACTTACACACCAGCAATAACCTACCAACCAATCCCACCACGGTTTCGACACAATGGCAACCGACCTCATAATGCCTACCCTCGCCGAGCAGCGCGGCCCCTCCTTCTACCCCCAGGATCGCCCTCACTTCACGCACACTCGATCCCAGTCTTTCCAAACCGTGCCGCAACCCCAGCCCTTCCGCAACCGCACATCACCCTTGAGCACTCCTCACGAGGGCTCTCCCACCTCGCCCAAGTCGTGCCTCACCGAGTCGATTCGCCCCGTCTACGTACCCGCCGTCCTCCGCCCGAACCAGCACCACTCCAAGAAGCCGCGCGCCCCCAAGGTCGAGGACCTGGACGGCGAGGATCTGCTCTGCTTGCGCCGCGCCAACAGCAGCTTCATCAGCCTCCCCGGCTTCAGCGTTCTCGGAGCCAAGCTGTCGCGCCGCTCTACTGGCGACAGTGGCAAGGTTATTGACCTTGAGCTGGACCCTGAGCTCTTCCCCGACGTCGCTGGCGAACCCACCCGCAAGCACTGGAAGGCATGTTAGCTCTTGCGACATTCTCAATTATTTGCCTCGAATTATAGAACTAACACAAATCCAATAGCCTGATTCCGAGTCCATCATGTGCGACGACCCGACTTGCAAGCGCAAGTTCAACGCCCTGAACCGCCGCCATCACTGCCGCCGTTGTGGCAACATCTTCTGCGGCGCCCACTCTGCCGACGTCATCCCTCTAGATGAGGACTGCAACTACAACCCCCGAGGAGCCCTCGCTCGCGCCTGCTTCCACTGCTTCACCGAATTTAAGGTATGGAAGAGCCGTAACGGCAGCCGCAGCGGTAGCGACCAGAGCTCCGACTCCTCTGGCACCCCGTCGAGCCCCATCGTCGCGAGCCCCATTGCCCCGATGATGCCCGGCATGCTCCCGCCTACAAAGGGCCCCGAGGTGGCTGCCAGCGTCCCTCGCGACTGGAACTGGAGCACTTTTTAAATGCACACTATGCATCGGAGACAAAAAAGAAAGTACAAGGGTATCATCACACCCTGCGGATTACGACTCACGGCCTTAATGAAGAGCGAAACCATAGAATCATAGACTTACTCACACGACGGTGGCGATTTTCACCAACCGCCCCGACGATACCAGACATGGAAAAAACACAACACACACAACAAACCTCTTCGACACACATCGATACCCACTAATGGACTGTACTATGCGTCACCCATTATCACTTTCATCTACAATAGAACGCCTCATCGGTTTTCGAGCCCAGCCGAATTGGCTTGGACTCTGGTTTGCATTTACAGCGTGGCGTTGGAACGGATACTCAAAGACTCGGATTTGGCTTTTTGCCAAACTCCCCCATATCATCGCATATGGAAAAGGGGTTGTTTTACGGGAAAGCGATACACACCGGGCTCTTAATTTTTCACAACACTCCAGTTTGTATGGAGTTTAGCGGCATACCCCTCTGAAGGTTCTATACCCTGATGTGACGGCCACATGCTTTTCGCCCCCGCGTACTCGGATCTCCATCCGGGGGTATGACTTATCTTACACCTGAGATGGAAGGGAAAAGAGACGAGAGGGCGGAGCAAGTCGGCCGAACGTCTTCATGGGATCGGCGTTGCGTGTATTTAGAGTTGCCGTCACCGTATTGGTTGACGGATTGGAGACCCGAGAGAGGAGGGACGGGGAAGGGGAGGAAACAACCCGGACGGGGCGGGCGTTGCAGCCAACCTTGTTTGCGCCTGCGGCCGAGTCCAGCCACTCTCACCCTCTTGAGGTCTCGAAAGAAGAAATACAAACAATTGCAAACAAACTCTCCCATGATCCAAACCTTGCCTTATCTGTGCCTGATAATATGTGTGGTGTATGATGTTTGCCTGGGGGCGTGAATATTGGAGTTTTCTTGGGTGGCTTACCGGTTGGCACTTGATGGTTTCCGCGTGTATACGGCGTAGACCCGGAAGGCATGCGGAACCTTGCTTCTATAAAACCGTTTGAGTGAGCCTACTGGTGGATGAGAACAACACACATCTTGCCCCTGGTACCCGTTGGCCCAAGAGGCTATTGCTCGACGGTGTACATGTCTGGTAAATCAGCAGGCCTCGGCCATTCTAGTCTCAAGGTCTTGTCATATATAGTTTCCCACGGAGACGAGAATCAAGGTGTTTGTCATTCGGAGTGGGAATGGTCTTTTGGGTATACACTGCTGAATACGACACGAGCGTTGACAAGTGGTGTTGTCAAGGTCTTGTGAGTCCGAATAGCTGGATAACAAGAAACCCGTGGCTTGCATAGTTACTTCTGGTAGACCTAGCACACACATCAAGTATGATGAGACGATTAGCTGTCAAGCTCGCGAATCCAAGTGGCCTCTTGTCTAGGGACTCTACAGCTAGAGAAAAGACGAGTGAGATTCTATAGTCATCGCCAGTAGGCATGTGACAGAAAGCTCCAACTTCTTCCTTACGGGCTCGCGCCGCAACGACTAGGTTCAACGTTTCCTATACACGGTGTAACCCTTTTGTCAGGACATGGCAGCTGTTGCTTACACGTTCATCAAAAGGTCATGATGTCCTTCTTTTTCGATAGGAGACTTGGGAGGGTTTTTCTTAATTCCTTTTACGATGCTTGACTCACCGCTCAAACGGTCAGATGTCGTTGAGCTGTGTGTGGAGTGGAATCGGTCAGCATGAGGTAGGTCGTGTGCGGTATAAGGCAGGTCAGGTCAGGTCAGGTCAGGGTCGTTTGGTGGTGGCAGTGAGCGGTCGGTGGTTGTGCTGAGTGGTGGTGGTGGTCATCGTTCTTGAGCCGAGGGTAGCCTAGCGTCGACATCGACGTCGGACCCTACACGGATGCATTCCTTTCCTCCTCTCTCTCAGATCTTGTTGTCTCTTTGCCATCTGACTGCTCACATTTCACGTGTCTTTCTTCATATACTATTTGACTCGTTTCCATCGACCAGGCACTCCTATCTTAAATGTATATTTCCACCCTCTCCTTGAGGATTTAGATTCGCCTCCTATAAGACTGCTGCAAAGGAAGGGCGGGATTTGACTAAAACTGGGAAGACTACCTTAGGCTAGGCTGGGCAACACGATGATGTATGGGCGGGTATTCGAAGTGGAGGCGACTTAGTAAACCCCCCCAAAATTCCTAAGGAGCCTCACGAGAAAGTAGGTGAGCAAGGCCAGATGGAAATCAAGGTCACGGTGAGCAAAGAAGAAGAGGAGGTGAGGCCAAACATATCTACCTAGTCTCCGCGCGCCTGGTGCGGTTGCGATTTAGCTCGAGGGTGAGCTTGGGGAGGAGCTCGAGCTTAGGAGACTAGCCCAGCTAGGCCTTCACGCGGAGAGAGAGAGAGAGAGAGAGGGGCGTGTATGTACATTTGCATACGTGTGTATGGTAGTATCTAGGCACGTAGGTGAGCGTATACGTGTATGTACGCGAATGATTCATCGCCGTAAGCTTCATGGTGATTCGTCTATCCGCCTCTCCGCCTTGTGCTACAGAATCGAGCCAGGCTTGCTAAGCAAGTCTTAGCAAAGGGGGGCTGTTAGCCAATATAGCTCTGCAGGAGCGTTATATAGGCAGGCTTGTGGCGGCAGAAACAAAGTTTTGAAGCATTGAAAGCGCGTTCACCTTGTTGGCCTTCATGCTACTTACAACCCGATTTACCACTTGTGGTATACTAAACAGGCTGATTCATCTTTGTGGCGATACGAAGCACATGTGCGTGCAATATTACGACAAGTGGTGTTGGGAATAGTTTTATTCATGTGCGGAAAGAGATGATGAGCCAAGTGTATAACAACGCCCAGAGCCCAGGGCGGCTGTGGCCGTACGAGAGAGAGACACGCCAGATAGTCTCACAAAGTTGGACGAACGCGGCGACATCTCGAAAACCGATCTGCAAAGGCTACCTTAGGCTTTAACGAATACCTATGCCACCCCACGAATCCACAATTCCACACCAGGTGTTTCTTTTTTCCCCCATCCAAGGGCCGAGACATTCCCGTCTCAATTGGCGGCGTTGTGCCCAAGTGGGACGAAACGTTCCCCCAAGACAATAAGAGGAAACTAGGTACTTGACATTCATATGCAATCGTCGACATGGCGTTTCGTGTCGATACTTCTCGAGGTGTCCTTGCGCCCGTTGGCATCGGGTATGTTTTCGAATTCGTGTTGCAAACTGCAGTGGTGACTCGACCGGCGTAGGCACGCAAGAACTCGCTCATTCTCAAGCTTGCTCGAAGCAAGAGAATAGAGACCATACCGTGACGAAGATGAAGTCATCTCCGATTCATATTCCCCCGCCATGATATGCTGCTAGCTCTTGTTTGCCATGTCGCAGGTTAGACGGACATGCTTCCAGCAACATCGACTTCTACCCACCCCCCCCCCCCCCCCCCCCCCCGACCCAGACACCTCAAAGTCCGTCCTGTTCCTTACTTGAGAGAGTCGTGGTGGCTTAGACGCTTTGACAGAACCAGAAAGGTTGTCGAGGACTCATCACTCCTTTCTACCCTGTCGGCCTGTTGTGAGGTTGAAGCAAACGACTGTTGTCGCGTGACCTGGGCGCATGGTTGACTCAAAACACTCGGATCTTCAAAGTGAGTCACTACACTTTCCCCAGAAAAGCCAGAGACAGTAGGCAGTCACGATCAAGAGATCGGCAAGGTGGATCTGCGGGTGAAGAGAAGGAAAAGAGGCTGAAGACGGCACGCATTCGGTACGCCCACCCCCCCTTCCGACCGCATCGGAGTGAGCTCCGATTTGGCCCCACCCGCATCCGGAAGACGACGAAAAACTGCGGAAAAGATGGTCCGGCGGATCGGACCCGACAGCTCGGGTCCAAACCCCACAATTCACCGCCGCCTCGTCGTCAACACGAGGTGGCTTTTTCACATCGCCGCTTTCCGTTTCCGGAGCGTGTCGTTAACCATCTGCCTCGATACCCCCGGATGTGAATCGACGACGAGCTGAGCTAAGGTATACATACCACTCACGTATAACTAAAATGACCACGATATGGTCTTGGCTCTGCCGTATTGTTCCAGATTGGAGGGTACAAACACCCTTTTTGAACCAAGATCGGTACGCATCAAAGTGGAATAAGTAAACTTGATATTGATGATGACTATACATACTTATACCGGATGGATGACAACCGGCTCGCCCTATCTACCCTGCGCGCGAAATGCAAGACACTAGACGGTCACGACTAGATAACGAGCGCTCCGGGTGATGCAAATGCTTTACCCCCAATCATGTTTTCCCAGCTCAAAACGCCGTTGAATCAAACGCCATGCCGCCTCCACGAGAACCTCTCTCTCAGGCTTCTCTTCCAGCCGTGTTTCCCCTGTTCCGTTCTTTTTTTTCCCATTACGTCCTTGATCAGGACCGATCCATGCGTGCCAGCTTTCCCTAGTGCTTGGCCTTGCCGTTGCCAGCGCGCTTGGGGCTGCCCTCGACGTTGTACGAGGCAGAACCATTGTAGATCTCGCGGTTGACCTCGCGAGCGGCGTCCCAGCCAGCCTTCTCCGCCAAAGTGACATTGCTCTCGCGGCGGGCCTTGCCCTTGCCCTTGGGCGCGGCGGTGCTGCGGCGGATGTAGCTGCGGATGAAGAACATGACGAACAGGTAGGTAAGCGGCGCCAGGTACAGGACGTTGAGCCAGATGGCAAAGGTCTCGCCGCTGGTGGTGACGCAGGGCTGGGTGACGAAGATGGTCTCGGCAACGAAGCCGGGCTGAGGGGGAGCAGCAGCGGCGGCGGCGGCGACGGAGACGGAGACGGCGGCAGCCTCCTCAGCGACCTTGGCAGAAGCGCCAAAGACCATATCCTTCAGAGCCTCAAAGGCGCCAGTTGCGGCAGTGGCAACGGTCTCGGCAGCAGTGCTGGTGGATGACTGGGTGATGGCATCGGCACCCTTCTTGGCAGTGTGAACAGTCACGGGGACGGTGTAAGACACGAAAGAGTGGGCCATGGCGTATGTAGCTCCGACAAGGAACTGGGTGATCTGGAGAGTGGTGAGGGTTCGCTTGATGGCCATGGGGACGCGGATGTTGAAAGCGGTGATGGTGTAGTAGGTGTACTAGGCGACTGTTAGCAACACTTCAATTGAGCGAGAAAGGCGCAAAACTTACCATCATGGCGTGGATGAAGGAGTTAACCAGGACGAACATCCAGATGGGGGCGGACATGTAGCGCATACCAGCCCACATGCACATCATGGCACCGGCGTGGTGGTAGGTCTGGAGGGTGGAGCTGAGCTTGCCCTTGGCGAGAATGATGAAGGTGTCGAGAACCTCGTAGAACTTGCTCAGGTAAAAGATCCAGCCGTAGAAGGCGAGTCCCTCGTTCCAGATTCTGCCAGTGGCCTCACGGCTGGGGCGTCCATCAAAGCCAAGAGCGTTGTTGCCGGTCAAGCTGGACCAGTAACCGACAGTCTCGTTGTAGACAGTGGCGGCGCCGAAACCTCCGTTGCCGTTGAGCTGGCAGAAGCTGTCGGCAGTGGCAGCCAGACCATTGGGGCCAAAGGGGCTCACGACGCTCCTGCGCATGCCGCCGAGCATGCCCCAGAAAGTCCAGGCCGAGTAGACGGCGAGGAAGACATTGTGCAAGACAACGAAAGCGAAGAAGGGCTTGGTCTTGCTGATTCCCCAAGGCTTACGGTTGGTCGAGTTGTTGTACTTGTTCAGGAGCTTGACGGTGACTGCGTACAGTGCGGCGATGGTGATGGGCACCCTGGGGTCGAGGGCAGCGGTGAAGATGTGGTCGGGAATTTCGACGGGGGGCGCGGCGGAGATGGAACCGGGGAAAGGTGGGGGGATGGCCATATGCGCGCCGTCGGGCGGGAAAGTGAAGAGGGAGGCGGACGGGAGCTCGCCGAGCACGGTGACGCCGACCATGGTGGGGGTTAATTGACCAATTGAGTTGGGGCTTGGTTTTTTGGAAAAAGTTGCGGTCCCGCCAATGTTAATTGCTCGGGCGTTGGGGAATTTGCTGAGTCGCGGCAATTGGAGTGACAAGCTAAGCAAGCTAGACACACACACACAACAACGCACGCACGTTCGAAAGTCGTTTGTGACAGTAATGTCTCGGCACGAAGACTGACAGCTGTAGTGCTAACACACTCGGGTATTGGCTCGGTGGTGGAAGAGACGGTAGGTAGTCGGTTCGATCGTCGAGCGACTGGTATGCGGTTCGGTCCGGAAGAGGTGGTGGACGAACGTGGGAGAGAAGAGAGGACAAGAGAGAGAGAGAGAGAGAGAGAGAGAGATGGAAACTCTTTTTTTCTCTCAGACGGAGTGGCACAGAGTGGTCTGGCGAAAGAGAGGGCTCGAGACAGAGTCCAAGACAACGTTCCTGTCCAACGAAGGGCTGTCGAAGGAGACGCGAGTGCCGGGTGAGCTTGGGAGAGAAGAAGGGAATAGAGAAGGAAGAAGGGACAACAAACGACAAGGTCAATGCGAAGGGACCCTCGAGGCCTTAATATGGGGAAGGGGAAGGTTGAAATTCTGGATGAGAGAGAGAGTGACCCAGAGACCAGAGAGAGAGAGAGAGAGAGGTGTGGATAAATGTGCTGAGACTAAGACCAGCGGCTCCTCCCTTCCCACCTTTTTCCCTTGCCTTGCCTTACGGATACCGTGCCTTGCCTTCCCCTTCATCAACCCCCTCCACCCCGGCACACCAAGTACCAAGTATATATGTAGCTCCGGGTTAAGTGATGGATCTGGCGGGGAGTGTCTTCATCAGGGCTCACTCGGCACTTAGTGTGTACGGAGTAGGGAGAGAGTGTGGAAAGAAGTTTGTCTTTTTTTGCTCGGGCTTTAGTCATAAGCAATGCTGCTGGGGCCAAGGCGCAACGGCAACGGAACGGATGAGATGCGAGGCGAGACGATGTGATGCAAGTCAAGACCACACAAAGTGCACGCACGTCAAGTTTCTGCTTAGTTGAAAAGCAAAAGGCACCCGCACAACGGGAGGTGTCAGGTGCGGCACGGCCAACGGCAACGGCAACGGCAAGGCGGCTGTCTGTCTCTGCCCCAGACCACGGAGTGACGATGGCTATCCGTACTCTCTTGCTTGGTGGGAGATGAGGTATCTGATGTCGTGGTGTCTTGCCTTGCCTTGTCATGTCTCGTCCTGCTCGCACTAGCTTCTCAATGCTATGCGACGTTGAAGCACGTACTTTGTCACTTTCATGTACCTTTCCACACATAACCATGCCCCCTCACGACTCTTCAAGCAGCAGACAGGAAGAATAAAAGTCTGGGAGAATCCAAGTAGTTCACGTAGGTGTCAATCGGTGAATCTGGAAAGCATGAGATCCAAGGTGCCTTCCTCCCCTCCTGCGAAGGAATACATCATGTAAGGTTTCTGAGGCAAGGTACCAAAGTACCTGACAACAACGGACGGATCAAACCCCCAAAATATGCCGGGAAAATGCAGGCGCACATGGCCCCTCGCCGCCTTCCTGAAGTCGCAAGTCTCTCGTGCGCGCTTGCCCGGCTTGTTGGGTGGCCGCGGGAGGTAGTAGGTACTACTCAATGTGGATTCCACCACTGACATCCGCAGCCGTCGATTCGACACGGCAGGTCCTGCCAAGCTCTTAAAGGCACATGTTCTTTCCGTTCTTCCTCGCCAGTGATGACAGTGACCAGCTGTCTGGAGACAAAAGACCGGGGCATACTCCATACAGAGTAGGTATGTATGTACCTCCTAGTGCCGGTGGATACTTGCTGGGTACACCAACCTTGAACATTGTTGAGAGGCACATGAATAACAGCTCGAAGCTTGACAACGGACGAAAGGCACTGCAAACCATCACCGGTTCATGTTAAGGCAAACGGCCTCGACCACATTGGCACCACTGGATGGATGGATGGATGGATGGATGGATGGATGGATGGATGGATGGGGGTGGGTTCGGTTCGGTTCCATCTTCCCATCCAAGCTCAACCTGCTCTAAAATGACCAAATTCCTCAGTTCTTGCCTCGGCTTCTTTCGACATCATCCTTGTTCCGTCGTTAAAGCCCATCCTGGCACCTCAAGCAAGCATGGGGGGGGGGGATTTGCAGGATGGGCCCGAGCAACGCCAAAGATACAAGCTACCAAGACCAATGGCGGGGGGGGAAACCAACAGCTTAATCGAGCCTTGAAGAAGACGACGAGTCGACGACCACTCTTGCAAATTTGCGACTGACTAGGCGGCGATATGGCAACGCCGAAATGCGGCTGCGAACGGGTTTACACGCCCCGGAGCAAATGTCCCAGAAGGGTTCAACCGATTAAGCATCGCACGTTGAACGAGAGAGAAAAAAAGTCTTTGCGCCGCGGCAGCCTGTATCCGTACGTCTGTACTCCGTACGATACCTCGCAGCCTCTCACTCACCGATGTGCGCAGTTCGTCAGGCGCTTTGAAACGGTTGAAAAGCTGCGGCATGGATCTTGCTTGGGGACGTTGCCGGAACCCATTGCCCAGCCCAGAGTCCCAGACATCTGTCTTTCCGACAACGGCAATGGCGCATTGGGAGCTTTGGACACCAGCTCCAACTCTATTTTCGGGATATGGCCACGGCTTTCTCTCGCCGGCCCAATCTCGACACCTCTTTTGGTATTATCAGAACTCGCAGTGGCACTCACTGACTTGTGCCCAGTCAGTGCCCTTGGGTCACGCTACGTCGGACGTTATGCGATGGCTACGAGAGAGATCACCATGAGATCAATGTTGGGCAAGGCCTCAAGGACAACCGACTCTTACAAAACCCCATCGGGGGCTCCGGACTCCTGAAGTCCTGATCAGGGCTGCAACTGATAATCACGAGTCTGGTCAAGTCTGCGCAACGCAATTCTCATCCTGGAGACTTGCAGCCGGGTTGTCAGGGGCCCGTGGCCATCGCCGTCCTTCTGGAAGCCCAGGCTGACACCCCTTGCAACTTGCCCCTGGTCCGTTGTGGGTGGTTAGTGGGGGATGCGACAGGTACTCTCCGTTGTTGGACGCAGTTCCTGATAACGTCAGCGTGGGCTTTTGGTGTCACACACTAACGCGTATGAAGTAGTCCACGTCACGAATCATCAAGTGTCCATCCGCCGTGGAGCATGGCTACCCGACCTTCGTCCTTTTTGTTGGGGGAACGCTAAGCCCAATTCTGTCAATCTTCTCTTCATCGTATCGAAGTTTTTTTTTCTTCCCTCTTTTTGATTTCCACCTTTCTCGATTACGGACGGTCTTGTTGAAGGCAAGGACCCTCTTTCTCCCATTATCTAATCATCATGAAGTCGCTGAATGACCATCGTTTGGCATGTGAGCGACAAGGGGCCATGATCTTCGCCATCCCCCCGTGCTTCTCAATGCGGTACGCGACCAAGATTCCGTCATCTGTTGATGATGGTATTGTCACACGAGTTCGGAGCAGACGGGCTACTCGGCAGGAATGGACAAGAGTGTATTGCTTTATGATGCCAAAGCTTGCTCGTACTAATTAGCAGTACATGTTGAAGTCTCTTAAGGAGCGTCAACGTACACAGACATGACATAATGCGTCGGCGGTAGCACTCACACGACAGTCTCTTGTGTAATACCTCTGTACGCTGTACATGTTATCAACCAAGCACTTACAACAAAGTCGTCTCCCATGCTCTCTGTCTTCGTACGGATACTTACTTTTGCCTACCGCAGTTGCAACACGGAAATCAGCCGACCAGGAAGAGCTTGCTGGCTTACGCGCCTTGTTCGCCGTCAGTCAACAATTCTTCGCAGATCGACTCTCACATGCATTTTCCAAGTCGTTCTCGTTTCCTTTCCCCAACAAATTCGGCTTCAAGGGCAAATCCCGGCCCCAGCTTCCCCTTTGAACCCTCTTGGCCGCCAGACCGCCCATCGCCAGATGACACCCAGCCCCCCTTGCACGGATGGATAGACCCGCCGCTGGACCCTGAAAAGTGTCCACGTCAGGTTTAGCCGCGGCCTGTAGCTGCAGGTTTGAGGGGGAGCCAATCTTGCATTTTTGGCCACCATACCCACCGGGCCACGTCCGCCTGCTGTCAGTGTTAGCTCGATTCGCCGCTTACATGTCCGCTCGCCCGGGCTCGTAGACCCCCGGCGAAGTTGATGGTGCCAAGCGGCAGACCCGATGCGCCACCGGCAGTCGGACCCGGATGCCCCAGGACCGGACCGCGCCGTTCTCTCTAGCGCCGGACCGGAAACTGATGCCTTGGCTCATGCGTCGGCGCAGCACACGGCGCCGGTCGTCCGCAAGTTGTCAGCCATGGATTACAGCGGCTGTGCTTGAGACGGAAGAGGCGGCGGGCCGCCCAATGCCGGGTCCGTGACGACGGGCCTGGTTCCTACAAAACGTACAACTTGTGCAACATTCGATTCTGGCGATGTCACTCGCGATGCTCCGGATCAAGATCGTGGTCATGCCAAAGGATCGTTCGATGCAGCTTCCAACAAACAAGTTCATGACAAGGACAGCTGGGAAACATATGCGTTTTCTTGCCCGTTTCAATCAGTCCATGCGAGCCGAGGCTCAATGCTTCCCCGGCCGAGTCGATGAGACGCATCATCGATCTGCCCCACAATCTAAGAATCTCACCCCAAGCCACGGTAACGTACGATCTGCAGCAGACAACCCAGCATCATTCCTGTCGGCGTCGCTGTGCACTTTCAAGCTTAACGGGCGAGTCCGGCAACCTGTCCATCATCTGGGGCCATGGTGGCTGAATTATCGACAAACATAAGCTCGCGGCTGTGTCGTTTCAAAACCAAGACGCTTGAGATGGTCTAGCATGAGGCAACACGTGCAGCAGCCGCGGCTCTATTCGTTCGACAGTGGGATGCCGCATCGGGCGTCTCTTTGCTCCCACTTCAGTATTGCTTCATGCAGTGGGATACCGTGAATATGGCGTCGAAAAGGGACTTTTGTTTGGTGATGACTGATGAAGAAACCATCGGATTCCGATGAGGCCCCGTCGCCATCGAGCCTAAGTCCCCGTTCCCCGCCTCAAGCAGCTTCTCTCAACTCTCCCCATTCCCGCACTACGCCACTCGCGCCCGGGTTGAGAGGGTTACATGCGCCCAAGTGCCGCTCAGTAGCGCCGTACCCCGCCAATGCAGAGAGAAAGCTGCACATTTATGGTGTTGACAGCTTTGTGTTGGCCAGGTCCGGTAGGGGAAATCATAGGTCCGAGACGCCTCTTTGATGGATTCTGCAACCACAAACAAAGAGACGGTTCAGAGCTAATCATGGTGTCCAATCTTTAGCCGCAAAGCTGGCGGTTGGCTGAGTTTTTGACCACTCCAATAGCATACCGGATCGGGAGTAGGGTCCCATCTGCCTGAGGAGATAGCTAGACAGAACGAAGGAGAGGGTGAGAGTCAGAGAGAGGAGATGGCTATGGAGAGATCCATTGAGATGCTTCGTCGCACAGACCCCGCATCCATGGCAAACACGAACCCCTGCAGCACCACCATGCGAGCAGCAGGGGGTTGCTAACGACGACTCGTTTTCCCGTTGCCTTCCCACACACACATCCTGACATCAGTCGAGCATGAGCTTCCGAGGTGCCTTTTCATCGCTCATGTGTCAATTGGAACTATAGCTAACTCCAAAGCTGCCCCTCATCCGACCTTGCGTAACTTTGTTGTTGTCATTGTTCTTCTACCCCTTCTCATCTAAGCTATTTTCACGTTGTATCGCGTTGTACCACCGACCCGTTCCCCTTTGATTACTATTCTCATCTCTCTGTATTTACTTACCATCACGCTTCAAACCGCTCCATCATGGCTACTCTGCCAAAGACAATTCCTAGCACCGCCGTCGAGCTTCAGCTTCCGGCGTTGCCGACCACCGATTTTTGGAACGAGACTCAATGGACCGTTCTGATGTCCTTGCTCGAGGCGGTCCTCCCGCCCATCTCGCGACCAGCCACTCTCACAGACACGACGAGCCAGATCCGAGTGTCCGATGCCGAATATGCGGCCGCGCTCCAACTCGCCCAGAACACCATGAAGAAACCGCCTTCGGAGGAAAAGTTCCAGGAGTACATGGCGCACAACCCCGCAAAGGAACCCAAATTTATCGAGAGCATCACCAGGACACTTGCGGCCCTGCCGTCCGGCGCGCAACGTCAGCTCGGCGGCGCGATGGGCGCTCTTGGGTAAGTGATGATGATTTGTGAACGCGAGCACGACGCTTCACTTTTGATGTTCGCCGTGAACCGCAACTGACCAAAATGACAGCACGCGCGCCGGCACGCTGTTTCTCACCGGTTACTGGACTCCAGTCCACCTTCAACCGCTAGAAGTTCGTGAGCAGATTTTGAAGGCTTGGCAGACTTCCAGGCTCCCCACAATCAGGGTACTATCAAAGTCAATATGTCTCCTGGCGCAAAAGGCCGCCGTGCAGACCAACCCTTTGTTCATAGAGTTGACGGACTACACCAACATGCCGGACTTCCAGACGCACGGCGAGGGTTTCGATTTCAACTTTATGCAATTTGAGTCGGCCGGTTCGCCAGCCGTCGTGGAGACCGACGTTGTCATCGTCGGATCGGGCTGCGGAGGAGCCGTCGCTGCCAAGGTCCTGGCCGAGGCAGGTCACAAGGTTCTCGTTGTCGACAAGTCGTACTACTACTCTCCGAGTCAGCTCCCCATGTCGCAGGATGCCGGCTGCTCGTTCCTGTACGAGAACGGCGGCTTCATTACCAGCGACGACAACTCACTTAACATGGTCGCCGGAAGCTGCTGGGGCGGCGGCGGCACCGTCAACTGGAGCGTCAGTCTCCAGACGCAAGGGTTCGTCCGCAAGGAGTGGTCGGAGCAGCGCGGCCTGCCCTTCTTCACCTCGCCCCAATTCCAGAACTGCCTCGATAAGGTCTGCGACTTCATGGGCGTCAGCGCCGACAAGGTCCGTCATAACCACCGCAACCAGGTGCTGCTGGACGGGTCCCGGAAGCTCGGGTGGCATGCTACCACGGCCCCGCAGAACACGGGCGGAACGGAGCACTACTGCGGGCAGTGCCATCTCGGATGTGGGTCGATGGAGAAGCAGGGTCCCACTGTCAGCTGGCTGCCGGCGGCGGCGGGATCCGGGGCCAAGTTTATGGAGGGCTTCGAGGTTGAGAAGGTTACTTTTGACGAGTCCAGCGGGTCCAGGCGAGCCACGGGTGTGGTTGGAAAATGGGTGTCGCGGGGTGCTAATGGGAGCACCAGCGCGCCTTTGGAGCAGCGGACCACACGACAGGTTGTTATCAAGGCCAAGAAGGTCATCATGTCGGCTGGATCGGTTTCGAGTCCCTTGGTGCTGTCGAGGAGCGGTCTGACGGTGAGTAGTCGATGTTACCCGATGGCGCGCTTCTTCGTCCGCTTGACTGACATAACGTCTAGAACCGACACCTCGGACGCAATCTCTACGTGCACCCCTGCAATTTTGTGGGTGGTTACTGGAAGGAAGACTGCAAGCCATGGGAGGGTGAGTGACTCAACAACGCGTCATATGTCCTTGTGTCCTGGTTACTAACGTGAAGTGCACATAGGCGGTATCATCACGAGTTACTGCTCCTCGTTTGAGGATCTCGACAAGGCCGGCCACGGTGTGAAGCTTGAGCCAACCTGCATGATTGTACGTCCCAGCTCCAAACCTTTGCAAGCCAAATATGTCCACTAACACCTTTCACAGCCCTACGCAATCCTGTCCAGCATGCCCTGGCACTCTGGCCTCCAGGCCAAGCTCAGCGAGCTCCGCTTCCGCCACTTTGGCGCCTTCATCTCCCTCACCCGCGACCGCGACCCGGGCCGCGTGTACCCGGACCCCGTCTCAGGCCGCCCCCGCATCGACTACGTCGTCTCGGACTTTGACCGCGCAAACACCCTCGAGGGCGTCGTCGCCCTCTGCAAGATCTGCTACGTCGAGGGCGCGACGGAGATCCACGCCGGTCTGCCGGGCCTCGAGCCGTTCGTCAAGGAGGACCACGCCGAGCTTCCCGAGAAGGAAGCTGCGGCCGCTGCGTCATCGGCTTCGGAAGACAGCGGCGACGAGGCGATCCTGGACGGCGTCAACGATCCCAAGTTCGTTGCGTGGCTGGATAAGTTGCGCCGGGTGGGTAACGCGCCGCCCGTGGCGATCTTTTCGTCTGCGCATCAGATGGGCACGTGTCGGATGGCGCCTAACGAGGATGAGGGCGTGGTGGGACCCAAGGGCCATGTTTGGGGTACGGAGAATTTGTTTGTTGCGGACGCGAGTGTGTTCCCTAGCGCGAGCGGAGTGAATCCTATGATTACGAACATGGCGATTGCGGATTGGATTGCGATGTGTGTTGGGAAGGAGATTAAGGCTGAGTATTCGTAGAGTTGTGGGGAGTTTGAGGACGAAGAGAATGTGTAATGGGAGAGAGGGAGGGGAGAGGTAGAGGAAGACTGAAGTGAGATTGTATAAAGATGGAAGAGAAAGAGAGAAAGAGAGAGTGGCGGAGTACATTTTATTGTAGCTATACCCAACTCCATAGCAAATTGTCACATTTTGGTGTCCTAGTTCACCGCATTCTGGTACGAAACGTTACTAAAAGGTGACCGCTTGCTTATACGATACAAGATTTGAGCAACAGCGTCGCGCGAATTGTCTTGACATTGATTTGGTTAAGAAACGTATAAAAAGAAAATGGAGCCCGGCTATGATGATTGTGCCGCCGAGCTATCTTACCTCTCGCCACCGTTGCCTCTTTCTGCTGCAGTTGAAAAGTATATATTTTCATCTCTACAATACAACAATTGATCAATCTGCACTGCTCCTTGGCAAGTGCGCGACAGACCTCTCTGTGTGCCCGCTCTCCGACGCGGACAATGCATATCTTAGGTAGTCAGCTATAAGTAGATTCAAGGCAACATGGTGAACTCCAGCACACAAAGATCTTGCAGCGTGGTGAACTGCCTTCTGGCAGCACCCACATCTTAGAGGGCACGCTGCTTCTATCTATATTGTGCAATACATACGTTTTGAGAGCGAGGTACTTGGTAGTGAGTGATATAGACTACGAGACCTGGTTTTCTCTTTTTATCACTCCTTTAACGGAGTATATTCATTGATGTAGGGAGTAAAGGGGGAGTTTGTGCCGTTGACTTGTTTGTTACTTCCGCCTTGGATGTCACCTGATTGTGGTTGCTATGACCCCTTGGGGCTGTGGTCTTGTTCTTGCTACGCGCAGTGTTCTTCTTTCGAAGGGGGAGTGAAGTTTGAGGTAGGTGGCCAGGTGTGAACTGATATGGTTCTTCGAGGCCTGGTTTCTACCTTGGTGCTCGAGGCAGTATTTATTTGGCGAGGCACCTGGATTCAGGATACTCTTTCAAATTATTGGTGGATAAAGGAGTTTATTCTTCTGCTTGAACTCGCTTTCTGGATGCCATCTGGGGTGTTTTTATGATTGACTTGGGATTGCCACTTGCTATTTTGCTCTTACTATCTGGGGGTACCTTGGTCTGGCTCCAAATGGGATTTGTCCCGAGATGATCTGCTCTACGACAAAATTCAGCAACAGCGAGCAACATCTTCTACTCCTTTCCTATACAACTTTGCGAGTATCCAACTGTCAACTTCAACCCCCTTTCAGCCATATCAAACGATAGAAGATCTTCACAAACAAGCAAACATCCCCTCAAGGCATCTCCCACCGCCCACTCTTCCCTCCATCCTTCAACACAACTCTCAACCCGCCAATAACCATCCCCTTATCAACAGCCTTACACATATCATACACCGTCAACGCCGCCGCCCCAGCAGCCGTCAAAGCCTCCATCTCGACCCCCGTCTTGCCCTCACACTCGACCGTCGCCTCGACACAAATCACCGTCTCATTTTCGGCGTTGCTAGCCGGCTCGACCTCGACGCTGATATGGGAGAGCAGGATCGGGTGGCACAGCGGGATGATGTCGGGGGTGCGCTTGGCGGCCATGATGCCTGCGATGCGCGCTGTGCCGAGGACGTCGCCCTTTTTCATCTGGGAGGCGCGGATGAGGTTGATGGGGGAGGGGGAGGAGAAGGTTATTGTGCAGGCTGCTTTGGCGATGCGGGCTGTGGGGGGTTTGGTGGCGATGGAGATCATGTGGGCTGAGCCTGTGGGGGAGATGTGTGTTAGGGATGATTTGGGGGTTTGTGTCTTGTTTTCTTTGTTGTTGTTGCTAGCCTTGCTATCGTCGAAGGAGTCGTCGTTGCGGCGGGTGGTGGTTGAGGAGAAGAGTCTGAGTTGGGAGTTGTGATGTGTTGAGGCGAGGAGGTGGATGGGTACCCCTGGCGCGCCTAGAGGACGGCGTGAAGGTGCCGGGTTCAAGCTGATGGGCGTGCTCATGAACATTGGTTTTGAGAACCTGGCAGAAGAGAGCGGACGGGAAGGTTGGAGCGGTCGAGAATCTAGATAAACTAATGATTCAGCCTTCCATTCATATACACATACATGTATTCGTTTCGTGTAAAATCCCCCCTTGAGTATGCCATTCGACCATCCCCTTTGGTATCCAACGCCGGCCCAATGCAAAAAAAAATCCAAACAGGCAATCTTTCCCTCAAAACCAGTAGACCAAGAGTGTAGGAGAGAAAAGGGGGCCGCGGTTACCCACCTATCAAGATCATCGGCCTGTTCTTCATATGCTCCAGTTCCCCGATACCCGCGTGCTTCTCCTTCTTCCGCTTGACAGCCATGCCGATGACGTCCAGGAGCTCCGCCTCGTTGAGCGCCGCGCCCAGCGGTTTCTCGGCGTCCGCCAGCCCCTGCCGGCGGTCCATCTCAATCTGCTTCATCGCCTCGAGCGCCGCCTCGTCAATGGGCTCGCCATTGTTGGACTTTCGCAGGATATCCCGCAGCGAGACCTCAGTGTTGCCAAACAAACAGACCTTGAGGTTCCCATCGCTCGTGATGCGCAGCCGGTTGCACGTCCCGCAAAAGTTGTGCGTCATGCTCGTGATGAAGCCGATCTTGCCCGCGAACCCGGGGACGTGCCACGTCTTGCTCGTGTCGTTCTTGTGGTCTTCGACCTTGGCCAGGGTGGGGTACGTCTCGCGGATGACGTCGAGCATCTCGGCGTAGCCCAGCATCTTGCCCTTGTTCCACTTGTTGCCGTCAAAGGGCATGTACTCGATGAAGCGGACCTCGACGTCCTTTTCGCGCGTCATCTCGACAAAGGGGGCGATTTCGGCGTCGTTGCGGCCGCGCATGACGACGCAGTTGATTTTGAACTTGATGCCGGCGCCGGCCTTGTTGAGGGCAAAGATGCGGTCGATGCTCTTCTTGACGGCGTCGAAGCCGTTGCGCCGGGTCATGATTTGGAACATGTGCGGGTCCAGGGTGTCGAGGCTCAGGTTGACGCCGGTGAGGCCGGCCTCGACCATGCTGTCGAGCTTGCGGTGGATGGAGAGGCCGTTGGTGGTCAGGCACAGCTCCCGGAGGCCGTGGGGCCGGAGGGCGCCGATCTGGTGCATGAGCGGGACGATGTCGCGGCGCACCGTGGGCTCCCCGCCCGTCAGACGGATCTTGGTTACCCCCTGGGAGACGAAGACGGAGGAGAGGAGGACGATTTCCGGGGTGGTGAGGAGTTCTTTCGTCGGGGAGAGCGGCACGCCTTCTTCGGGCATGCAGTAGAGGCAGCGAAGGTTACAACGTTCCGTGACGGATATGCGGAGGTAGTCGTGCTGGCGGTGGAAGGTATCGGTGAGGAAGTCGGAGAAGGGCTTCGCATCCTTGATGAGACTCCGGCGGGTGGTGAGTGGCTGGTGTTGGGAGCTCGGTGTGACTTGGGCTGCAGCGGCAGCCGCGTTCAGACACCTCGTCTGCGTCTGCGTGTGAGATATGCATGCCGACTGTGATGGTCTGCATCGCTGTGATAGTTGGCCGCTGCTGCGCAAGGCAGTGCGAGGCCATGATATGCTGTGTCTCATGCCGCTCTATCTCAGTATAAGGAAATGTGAGTGAGAGGCGATGGGTGAGATGAGCCTGAGAAAAGAGACAAGAGGAACAATCACACGCTGCTCATTCCCATGGTTGATACGACACTGACATGTGATGATGATTGTTGGTGAGATGAAAAGGAGGCTATGAGATGGATGAAATTCGGATTAGTTCAAGAGTGAAGAGTGAAATTGCTATCACGACGATGAGATATGTGATACTGTGAGTCAGCAGAAGCGTGGCGATTACCTATTTGTGAGTGAGGTAAGCACGTTGATAGACAACACTAATGCGACTTCTCTGCACCAAAAGTGAGACTAAGTGGGGGGGGAAAGAGCCGCTCAGTGCCGCTGAAGGGCGTATGCACAAGCGCAAGCACAGGTCACCGGGGCCGACGGAGGTGGGCGAAGGATGTCTGGACTCTGGCGGGGTTCGGCGGCGATTGAGGTGTTGGCAGGTGCTGGCGAAATAGCGCAGTGTTGATTGGTTCCCGGCGTCCTCTCCCACCGTCGTCCAGCCGGCAACTTCCATGGAGCCGGAGACAGCCCGGCCACTGCGACCACAGGCGAGAGAGCCCAGCGCTAGTCCCAAACAGGAAGCAATGTAAACAACCGCGACGCAGACAGGCAACCTTGTTTCCTTCCATTGCAACAACGGCTTTTCTTCAAGACTCCACTCCACCACTGCCGAGACTCAGGAACGCTTGCCCAATTCATCTTCACCTAAGGCAAAAAAGAAACCCTGCTTCGCAGAAACACCCGTTTATTGATACTTCCCAAAGGAATACTCGGGAGACTTCACTTACCTTGTCTCAGACTTTCCTAAACAAGCCAGGCTCGTCTTTGGGTACCTGACGTAAAGTACCGTACCTGGGCTTCTTATCACACTCGCGCCTCCCAACACACACAATTCCCAACCTCATGCATCATGCACTTTTCAAGGATCTTCAAATGTAAGGCTCTCAACATCTTCTCGTCCATTCTTTGCTCAAGGCTTATCATCGACAGCATCGCCGCATTGCGCGTCAAGTCCTGATGGTAACCTAATTGCAACCTTGTCGCCCACCAGTGTCAGTGTACGATCTGTCGAAACCCTGGAGAACATTCATAGCGTCAAGCTGTCGTCCAATCTCGGCCCTGTCTACGCTTTACGATGGTCACCTTCTTCAAGACGCATTCTCGCTTGCTTCTCGGATCAGGTTCTCATCTACTCGGCTTCGGGTCCAGGCTATCGTGGCGTCATACGAAACCCCGCAACCCCCAATCTGAAGCCCACCTTTGTCCAGTTCGGCGCTTCCGATACCGAGATCTTCATGTGCTCGTCCTACGGCCTCAAGTTCTCCATCTTCGACCTCGCCACCTCGAGAACCATCGAGATTAGCAACCCAAAGTTCCACCAAGCTAGTGTAGCTTCTCGTGGCTTTGCGCTTCGTCCCGGCTCAGGACATTTGGCCATCCTCACACGTGTCGCTGGTAAAGATATTGCCAGTATCCACCGCCCCAAGACACGACAAGTCCTTCGCTCTTGGCAGCCCGATACTGTCGATGCTCAGGGCCTGACCTGGACCCCAGACGGCCGCTGGCTTCTCATGTGGGAGTCTGCAGCTCAAGGACACAAGATCCTGTTTTACACGCCCGACGGCCACCTCTTCAAGACGTGGTCTGGACCCTCGCCATGGACGGTTGACGAGAAGCATTACGAACTCGGCGCGGGGGTAAAGCACTGCCAAGCAAGTCCAGACGGCTCTCGCATTGCAGTGTGCGACCACACCCGTAGCGTATGCGTTCTAGAAACCAAGTCTGCTGCTGAGTCGATGAGACTCGAGCATCCTGCAACCATCGTCCCGAGGGATACCGTTCAGGTGGGTGACACAACCTACCTTTGAGCAATAACTTTGGCGTAGATTAACACAGTGAGGATAGATCTGGCAAGAGGAAATCGCCACGACCCAATCAGGTTCACAGCACTCCTTTTCGCGCGCGACCCAGTCCGTATCTGCCCCGGCCCGAGCGAGCAACGGCACTGTCGATACTAAGCCAGCCCGCACCTTATCCGTCTTTGATGCGTCATCCAGTCTCTTGGCTACCACCTTGGAGGACTGGCCAAGCACTGTTTGGGTCTGGGATCTGGCGTCATCTGAACTGCGCGCCGTTCTCATCTTTCACAGCCAAATTTCTGCCCTCTCCTGGCACCCAAAACAGCGCGAAGTGCTCATGGTTACGTGTGAGGGAGACAATTACGCAGGTTTGGTATTCGTCTGGGACCCCTTGTCCGACGGCCCGAAGACGGTTCACTTTAGAGGGCAGCTACCCGATGCCAAGGTGTTGGGAAAGCCTCAAGCATCATGGCTCGACTGGACTGGAGATTCTGCCGTTCTCCTACTGGGAGATAACAAGCATCATCTCATGGCATCACTTACAGACGCTGAGGACTCCGGAGCCCCATGGCAAGACGCGCAGCGCAATGATTTGACAATGACCACTGGCAAGGATGAGACGCAAATGGAGGCGCCTGTACTGGACGATTTCGACGAGGACCTGTCCGGTCTAGACATGTCCGAAGTAGACGGTACCTTCTCATTCAAAAGGACTTGATCGATTACAGCGCCACCACTTTGGTTCTAGACGGCTGCACCAGAAGCTTCCCCGACCAACCATCCGGAGACAGACCCCAAACCTGTGGATGTCGCGCAGATTTCATTGGTTTCCCAGCTACCCGCGGCTGCACGCTGTTGCAGCCGAGCGCGATGATGGATATAGCATCCGCGCCGACCTGATACAGAAAGGGGTGGTCATTACCAAGCTCCAAGGATGCCACTGCCGCAGCCACATTGTGCAAACTGCCCTCGCGAGGAAAGGCTGCTAGTGGTAAGCGTTTGCATCTCTCACGGACAGCCGCGACATGACTACAAGGACAGGGCCTCAAACGAAATCGTGCAAAACTTTTGACCGCTGCTCTGCTTGTCGCTCCAACTATGGTAGTTACCGGCGCTTCCCCAAGGAATTGTCTGTCATTCTGACAGGTTGACGTGGCTTACCAGCACCGCGCTTAGTGGATGTTGTCTTCCGCGGCCTCTCTCTCAACTGTCGCCAATTTGTATCGACCACCCGTAGTCCCAGGCATCACAATGTGTTGGAGGTGCATGCTACATACAGCGGCGCAGCATCGCACCAACTTATTGCAGGGATCTGTCTATAATGGAACTTTCTCAGTCCGAGCCTGCTCCCCTCGAGCCTATCACTTAAACCTGCCATTGGCTATAGATGATCAAGGGCAAAGGTTCAGAATGCATTCGGATTTTGATGAGCATTTTGAGCTGTTCATGGACGATCTGAGAGACCGATGGTCCCTGATCGTTGCTCTCAATGGTGTCCCTAGCTCCCTCTCCGGATCGGGACGAGTCAGTCGAAAAGGGAAGCCTTTTTGGCTATCACCAAAAGAAATGTAACCCTGTTCGTTCGTTCTTTTGGCCTCGACGCAAAGTCAAGGGAGAAAATCTGTCTGTTGCCGAGCCGCAGCTTACATCGAAGCCTCCAATGACCAGGTTCACGGCACATACTTTCGGATGACTCGATAATGATAGCAACCCGTCTTACTCGACCCGACAATGGCCAAAGAGCTTATGCGCGCGATAGGTGACTGTGCCCAAAACAAACTTGCATCAAGCTGGACCCCACATGGTGGCTGTCATTTTACGATGCGTTGCAAGGGAGAAGCTCAGTGGCACGATCTAACGAGCTGCATTTCACCTCTTGCGTTGCGACGTTCTTTGGCGCTGATGCACTGCGGGTAGTCGGCACCAGATCGTTTCTGACCCCATCTGACCATTCGGCCGATTCACCAGCGGATGTGTTGGTTGGCACAGACAAGGAACCCCGAAGCGCAGAGCATGGGTTCGGATACCCAAGCCAGGACGACTACTTCCAACGAAGATGGAATGTCTGCCTGCCAAGTACCGGTTCAGACTGGGATAACCCGGGGGCAGCACTAGCAGGAAACTCCCTTTCCTCGATCTAAGGGCCAGAATTTCTCTTCATTGGCCATCTGATGACCTGGTTTCTCAGTGGTTTCCTCCACGAGGAAACGTGGATGATAGAGAGAACGAACCCAATATAAAAGACGAATTCCATTGTTCTCTCCTCACCACCGCAAAACATCATCTCTTCCCTTTGTTTGTCCGAGTCGATTCGAGGACGGCCAAGGCTTTGTGATTCATCACTGGATCTTGTGTCCCACGAGATCCTGTCACTGCTTGATTCTTCACACCGTCACACAACCACCAGTCAGGTCAAGACGTTTGGCGTCCAACGTTGGACAGAGTCCGTGTCAGAAGTTGCTTCCCGTCATCCCGCGTCAACATGCAACCGCAAATGGTCCCTCCCGGTCTGGAAACCGGAACCTTTTACATACCCATAGCAAACGTTCGTGACACCGGCTACGCCGCAAATGAATCGATATCCTGACAGACGAAACAGCTGCCTTTCGACACAAACTGGAGGCAATTCAAGGATTGGCTCCGCGAAGGTTGTGTTGTTGATCATGTTCAAATCTTTGGGCCCAGTACCTCTGGCTGGATTAGGGTGATGGGCCAACACAATTTCCACGGTGCATGTGGTGGGTGTACCCGGCCGGCTGGCAACGTCAAGCCATTCGCTAACATATATTCGAGATCGCCTGAAAGAGGGCGTGTTTCACGGCAGGCGGATCATGTTTGACGATCGCAACATATCAAGTCCCATCATGATCAAAGACGTCGAGGTGAACGAAAACTCAGCATCTACGCAAGCGAGATCGCAAAGACACGAATCAGCGTTAGACTATCAGCGAGCTGGTCCCTACCCGTATGATTCCTATCCAGGAACATCATATCCTCAGGTAGGACCATCGGCAAGAGAGGGTTCATTGAAGATAGGCTTACTGACATACTGTATCCTGCAGTGGGATCCGAATACCTTTAATCCTAGTCAAGGAGATTACAACACTCAGCAGCCAGTCGCGTGGTACGACGGTCACAGTGGAATGTACCCTACTTCCCCTGGCCAAACCGTCATTACTGAACAAAGAAGGATTGTTGTCAGTCGTATCGGTCGCAACACTTCGGATGACCAGATCAGGGCTTTTATCCAGCAAAGTACATCGAGCAAATCAGAGCTTCAAAGAATTGATATCCCTCGCGGCTCCAACAACCAAAGAAAAGGCGGCCATGCATTTGCGACGTTCCGGACGCCAGATACCGCACTAAGCGCTGTCAAGGCACTCAACGGAAAGTCTTTGAGCGGCCACGAGATCGAGGCACGTCTGACCAACGAAGGAATCACCGAAGGACAACCACAAAATCCGGTTTCTCGTCCAAAGAAGAGCGGCGACCCGTCAAAAAAGAAGAGGTCAAGCGGGAAGCCCACGTCACTGACGACGACCAGCTCGAGTAGTAGTCGGCCATCTGGCGAATCGTCGTCTTCTCGTCAACCGCAAGCAATAGTTGTCGATGGTAGCAAATACCGTTCTAAGTCAGGGTCCAAGGAGAGAGAAGGATGACAGAAAGGCATTCATTCAGCCAGTGCTGCCACCCGGTGCTGCCACCCAGTGAATACGCACCAGACGACGTGTTTCCAGGCGCTTGATGCGAGGCGCCTCTATTGAGATGGAAATTTCATGGTTTACTCTTGCAATCGCAAGACCCCTCCTGTGCTAGCTAGGACTCCCGGACTTTCTTTCGGGTCACGATGTTTGACGAAGCAGGCATTGTGGATGTTGTCACCATCCGCTCATTGCCCGATGGAGTTTAGAATCCATCACCAATAATGTAATTGGACAGGAATCGGACAATTTTGACGATTTAATCGAATCGACCACTCCAAGTCTCCCGATTGGACGTATGAGGCAAACATGGGCGACTCGATGCATGTTGATTAAATCCCGTGATGGCCGAGACGAATCTGCGAGCGAACGGACAGCGTGTACGGCTCAGACGCAGCCTCGGGCCAAGCAACATCGATAGAGCCAACGCAGTCGTTGCATCCTGCATCCTGCATCCTGCGCTAGACACAGCGACTGATGAAGTTTGGGGGCTCTGGTTGGTTGGATACCGAGATTGGAGCCCCAGATCAGCGAGTGACAAGCACGCGTCCAGATGCGGAAGAAGGCTCGTTGTCAACAGTCAAATCTCCCACCGACTAATCTTGTTCACCGGATCAACTACCTCACTTGAGTATCAGCTTGTCAACAGTCAAATCTCCCACCGACTAATCTTGTTCACCGGATCAACTACCTCGCTTGAGTATCAGCTTGGTCGACACTTGGTCAAGATACAAGAGATGAGAGCTTAGGCGTTATGCCGGAGTCGGTTCTTAGATTGCTACGAGGCCCGAGTTGCGGCAGGCAATGCATCCAGAGGCGGCTGAGATGCTCGATGACATACTCGTACGCCCCTCGCCTGTGAACGGACTATAGAACCCCTCTGATTTGAGCCGACACCAGCCTAGTGTCAGTAGAATTGGCCACAGGTATTATGCGGCTATCCGCCATGTCAAGGCCGCATCCATCGGGTACGCTGCCAAAGTGTGGAGGGGCCTGTTTGGAAGCGGGCTAACGTCTTCTACAGCCGTTAGGCCGACCGAAGCCTTTGTCTCACCTGCACGATCTATAACTACTCCTGGCTCGTCCCGTGAGGCGATTGCAAAGTGGAAGGAAGAAAAAAAGAAAAGGAAAGCAAGAATGCTGTGGAGGAAAAGCGACATGGAGTGAAGAGAGCGGAGAGCTATGCATATGCCGCCCGACTGTACGTACAAACGCCCGTAATATGCGGTCGTAATCACGGACTTGTGGACGCTTCGAATCCGGCGACGACGTCCGCCTCCCCGACAACAAGTCTTCGGCCCCTCCGGGTAATGGAAGGGATACATTTGGGAAAGGAACTGGAGAATGACGAACTGTCAGAATCTGATTCAACGAGAATATCGATCCATCACCTCCTTCTCCTCGCCGTGGCACACCAGCGAATGCAATACCGACCGAGATCGCGCCGCCGCCGCCAATTTTCCACAAACCCACATTTGATTCACGGCAGCTCCCGGAAGGTAGTGGTGGTGGCACTGCTGCTGGTGGGATGCTGAGAAGAGCCAATGGTATGCCCATCTGCTCTGTCCTTGGCTCAGCAAGCAAACATGCGTTTGCTTTTCTGCATTACGGACCACCTGTTCATCTCTACAACAATGCAAGAAGGAGATCCCAGCACACCGTCTTTGGCCTCTGTTGGCATTGGAAATGCCGAGTGCTGGTGCTGGTAATGCCCACTTGTATGAGATGTGATAAGCATCAAGGGATCCCACACTCTCTCCCCTCACTTCCCCTCTACCCCGGTTTCTGTCTTGTCTCTTGGATGGTCCTTGGACGAACAGCCACGTCGCCAATACCCGCCGTGCGCTTGCGCATGGCTACATACTGCGTATTCCTTCAGACCACTTTATCGGTACGGATACAAGCCTAGCCGGTGCTTCTGGCCCCATGCTAGGCCAAAGAAAGAGAAATCCATAATGGTGGCATTGGCCTCGTCACATCAACACGTCAAGCTTGGACGAGGGTTCATGCAACTACCTGTGTATGTCTGCCATTGCCTTGGCCTCGGCTTCGGCTTCGAGACAAGCGAGCCCGGCTGGAGAGATGGTATAGCAAACATCCAACATCTACCGATACATCCGGTTCTCTGAGGACGGAGAAGTTCATGAGCACATATTTTGGCAGTTAATCAGATCCATACGCCCGAGTTCAGAGGAAAGGAGCCGTTTACGTCGAAGGTACACTTCGATACGTATCCCCAAAGTCCAAATTCCCATCTATCCGTACATCCATCCACTCCTTACCCGCCTGCTTCTCCTATGATCCGTTCTCCTCACCCCCGGTACAGGAAAGATGAATCAAACCGATGATATGTCCCCGGTCTCATGCCGATGAAATCGATGGCACGGCGCGGCTTGGAGGGTGTGGGTGGGCGGCACGCGGTTACTTACCTGCATTTGCGCTGGGTTTTTAACCCCCTGCAAAAAAAGCTGTACAGTTACTGCATGGCGATACGGATTGCATTGCTACCTTGGCATGCCTTCTGCTTCGTCTATATCTAGGTATTTTATGTAAGGTTGCTCTGCACGAAAACGGTGGCTTTTACGGGGACGCGTCTCTGCATCCGTAAGGAGAGCAAACGATCAACGGAATCTGGGATTGGATTCCAGAAAAGAAAGAGGAACAAGATTTGGGAAAGAGCCCCATCAGAGAAGTTTACGAGTCTCGGCCGAAGCATGGTTCTTTACACGAAAAGCCACACTTCTTGAATTCTTGATTCTGGACTCCCAATGGGGGAAGCCCTGTAATGTGACGCCATGTCCTCCCTCACCATCCTCTCTCTTCCTGCACGTAAATCATCACCCCCCTCCTTCTCGAAGTAAAAAAGAAAAAGCAATATCAGCTCGTTTGAGAAGCCCAGACCGGATGAGAATCTCAAATCCCCTTTCGAATCTTCCACGCCGGATGAAAAAAGTACGGGAACCGACATCATACTTTCTTTTCCAAGCCCGCGGTCACGCAAGATCCGAGTTGACGGGATGCGTTTTAATCCCTGGCCCCCCCTTTCTGGCTAGCGACATCCCATCATCCAGTACTCCGTAGTCCTGACATATCGCAACGAATGGGAATTCAGCATCCCCTAGGAGAGTGAACGGAAAAAACACGAATTCGGTTCATAGTCTTTGCCGGCATGATTCTTGCTCTTTTGTAACATCTACTTTTGAAAAACCTCTCCATCTGTTTTTGGGTCTCCTGCAGGTAAGTGTACCCGGCAGCAACAGTCGCATCTTGTCTAATGCCATCTTCCTCCAATGTCACCCCTCCAATGCCACCCCTCCAACGTCGCATTACCTCTCACGTTGCTCCTCTTACTACTCGCATATACCTCTGCAACTTTTTCCCCGTCACGGACCATGGAAAAAAGTGACCATAAAAACTTGATCACATATCACCCTCCAAAGTCCATCTTCAACGCGATGCTCGGCTGACCCGTCGCCCCGCTCGCGGCCTGTTCCGTAGGCCCCTGCTGCCGTCCCCACCGGATAACCTCCTCAAGGAAGGCCTTTTGCCCGTCGCTCATGCTCGCCACGACGGTGCGGAACGCGTTCTGGTCAATGGCCGCCAGCTCCAGCAGCCGCGCCGAGGTGTCTCTATAGCAGTCTTCGCCCTCTGAGGAGGCGCGCGCGAGACAGGTGGGCAGGACGAGCGCCATGGCGACGGGGACGCGGTCCCGGGGTACCACGCCGACGTACTGGCTCAGCGAGTGCGCAATCATGGAGCGGGCGTTCTCCGGGTCCTCTGGCGCCGTGTTGGTCACGAATGCGACGAGGCGCGGGAGGAGGTAGCGCGCAATGGTGTGGTCTGCCGGTGTAGGGTTGCCCTGCAGGAGCAGCGACCTGATGCAGTTGGCAGCGATCTTGGCCGTCTGTATCAAAGGGTTAGTCACGTATATCGAAACATTGAGGGAAGTTTCAGATGACTACATACCATGCGATCCGTCAGGCAATCAACCACCTCATCGAGGTATCTTGCCACAAGAGCATCGTTCGCCGCCAGGTGGTTCGTGCCGCCCGTGAACAGGATGGTGCTCGCGAGCAAACAGTTCTTGACGCAGGTGAGGGATGTAGGCACCTCTCGCTTCTGTGCGTTGAGGTAAATCGAAAGGAACCGGCGTAGGCAGCCCTGCAGCTGGACATCCGTGGGCGACGGCCCGCTACCGTCCTCGCCGCTGCTCGCCCTGCGGGATTTTGTCATGCTCGCGACGAAGCGCTTGAGGGTGGGTAGGGACTGCGGAACGATGACTTCCTGACATCCGGGAGTTGAAAGGATGGTGGCCAGGATGTGGATAATGCAGGCGTGAAGATCGGTCTTGATGATGGAGGGGAAGACCTCGGCAGCGTCAACGAGCGCATTCAGGGATGAGCGGATGAGGAGCACGGCTTCCTCCGTCATTTGGTGGCGGCCCGGCTGATTTACCTCTGTGAGGTTGGGAAGCAGCCCAGCGAGGACCAGGACGATGATGCGTGTGAGCTCGAAAAGCTGGTCAATGTCGTCTGATAGATCGCCGTCATCGCCAGAGTCCTTCTTGCGTGCCGATGGGTGAGAGACGCAGAGTGCCCTCGCGATCTCTACAATGACGCCTTGCACGTCGAGTCCTTCCGTCAAGACCAGTCTATCGAGCAGATCCATAGTCTCCGAGAAGATTGCCTCTCTGTAAATCGCATGGCCGGATACACTCGGGTGGAGGATCTTCTTGAGGGCCTGCAAAATAGCCAGGTTCTGCTCTTGAGTAGCCAACGAGTCACTTTGGCCAGGGCGCGTGGCTAGGGCCTCGAATGCGATTCCAAAAAGGACGAAGAAGAACGCAACAGGCTCGTCGCGGTAGTTGATGTCAGGACCCTTGGTGTGGCCGTTCGTGCTCAGCCCCTCAGACGCCTTCCCATCGAGAGCATCAAACACAAACTCGCTGTCTTGCTCAATCAAGCTCGCAATAGCGTCGACGAGCTTGAGCCATGATTCTTGGTAAAACTTGAGCAACGTCTCTCTGTTCAGGGCCGCGTAGATAGTATCGAGACTGCCTGATAGCGAGGGGGGTCCGAGTGTCATTGAAATGTCAGGCTCGAAGCGCAAGCGGGCAAACTCTCGCAGCGACTCCAGCCACAGCGGCGTCAATGTTCCAATGTGAGGCTTCAGCACGTTGAGCAGGTACTTCTGCTCCGAGCTGGCAACTTGTAGCTCTGCCCAGGCCGAGAAGACGGACATCTTGACCATGACTTGCGCATTGGAGCTGAGACCCTTCAGCTCGCCAATGCCAGCATTCTCGTTCTCTCTGGAGAAGTTCTCCAAAGCAGACACCAGAGTCTTGAGGATACGACCCATTCTATCAACATCCGTAACGATGCCTGTGGCGATGAAGCCGGCACAGACGTTGACGGCTTCAGACGCCAGCTCAGGGGACGAGTCCGCGGCAAAAGCGGGCGTGAGCGCGGAACTGATCTGAGCCTGGTACTGCTCGAGAAGCATGGCTTCATCAAAGTCCGGGTCGGGTGTCCGTCCAAACATCTTGAGGACTGCCCCAATGATCTTGAGACCCCACACGCGCAGCTCCAGGACACTAGACGTGGACGCGGAGAAGGCCATGCGGACAACATCACCGATCCTATTCTGAAGCGCCACCTGCGCAGCGGACTCGCCGTTCGTCATCACATCCTTCGCAATCAAGACAAACATGTCGTTGATGCAGCTGATGGCGAATGTCGTAACTTGCCATCGAAGAGGCTCGACTTCAGCCCCGGCCTTGTTGTCTTGATCATCCTTGGCGGTGCCTGCAAAGCCAGCCACTTCCTCGTCCTGTAGGTCCGGCAATCCGCCCGACTTCTTGGTCCCGACGTCTGACTCTTCCTTGGCCTTGGCCCTGGTCATCTTGAGCACAGTCTGAAATCTTTGAAGCCACAGACCAGTGTCAGTCAAACAAGTCTGTCGCATCCAGTTCCTCAGGATGTTTCTGATACCATCGTGTGTCGGCGCAGTATCAAGAACCAGCCACAAGTGATCTTCGAAGCCCTTCTCGGCAGCGTTGATCACGTCATTGGGGTTTCTCTTCATGATGTTGTACAGGCCATCGACGGCGACGTCCCGCAAGATCGGATACTCTGATCTGAGGTACTTCTGGAGCAACTTGACATAGTCATCAAAGTGCATATATCCCGGCGCGTAAAGCGACAGGTGCTCGAAACAACTCAGAGTGGCACGCTGCACCAGCAAGTCATCCTCCTCCTGAAGTTGATTGATAAGGTCAAGGATAAGCTCCCTCGACTTGGTCGAGTCTTGCAGATCAGGACCCAGGACGTTGATGAGAGAGTCGACGCATCGCGTGATGGCGGCAGGGGTAGAGAGTTCCATTTCGAGGTTCATCGTAATAGCAGACGAGATTTCCGGGTGGTGCGTATCAGAGACGTAAAGCTGTGCCAGCATTCCGAGCGTGCTAGGCACATACCCAGCAAAGCTCAATCCGGCAGCATCTGAAGCCAGGGCGAGTGCCTCCAAGGCCCAGAAATGGACGGTAGGATGAGGATCGTTGCAGAGAGACATGAGAATGCCGAGAATAGTCTTCAAATGGTAGCCCGCCGCCATGCCACCAACCTTGGTTTGGATGGATCCGAGTGCCATGGCACAGCCAGCGCGAGCACTCGGCTCTCGGTTACTGACGATGGTGTCGACAAGGTACTTGATCTCGTGGTTGGTGAAGGCATTACCACAGGCATTGCAAAGCCTAGCAACTGCAGCATATCCAACGCTCCGGACATACTGATCTCCGTCAATGACAAAATCCCGCAGCATGTCCTGGAGAAGCCTCTCCACGGCCAGATTGGTGACGTTGCCAGGCGAAGATTGAGTCTCCTTCACAGCCACACGTAATGTCGACAAGATGGCAACTGAGACATTGACATTCATGGCTGCCTTCCTTCCAGGGTCTCTCAGCAGAGGACCAGCCGACATGAAGGTCCTGACCTGCTCAAGAACGCTCTCTTGTACTTTGGGGGGCGTGAGCGGGAATACGAACGCGAAAAGCTGGATAGCCATGTTGATGACCTCCGTGGCTGGTGGATCTGGGTTCGTCGGCTCCGAGGCGGTGTCGCCGACGTATAAAAGAGATGCGTCATGTTCTAAGGTACCACAGACTGGCGACAGCAATAATCTGTCAATAGCCTCTTCTGGAGTATCCTGTTCAAGCGGCGTTCCCTCTAATTGAGTTGTCCTGCTGGCCAGGCAGGCCCTTGATCTTGAACCCGGAAATGAGACCTGTGATACCGAACCCAGAGTTGTCGCCAACATCCCAAACAGTCTCGAACGTGGCTGCGGCATTCGCGATCGATGCACTGAGAGAGTTGACCGAATAGTTTTCCGGGTCCGCAAACAGCGATATCGCGATTGTGAGAAGGTTGGATTGTAAAAGGGCCTCGCTGCCTCCAGCAGGGCTGAGGTTGACCAACTTGATGTAGCATTGCAGAACTCGACGTTGCACCATCATATCGAGATCGTGAAGCTGCAATGCCGGCGTCAGCCTCTGCGCCACGTCGTCGGTGGTCTTCCTCGCAGGCAGCGTTCGCAAGAATGCGGACGTGTTTTGGAGCATCGTTGCTATGCGCTTGGAGACATCGACGGTCAACAAGCGGTTATTGAACTGTAGGAACGAGAGGATAGATCCCAGAGCGCATTCTCTGACGTGAGTCAAGAAAGAAGCCTCCAGGAAACTCCGGTGCGCAGTGTTGTCTTTCGACAACGGCTTCGGGAGCGCATTCTTCCACAGAAGAAGTAATTGAGAAAGATGAATCTTGACAAAGTTCGGTCCGAGCGACATCAAGCCGCCGATGAGGATCCAGGCGACCTGGATTTGAGTACTCGAGACCCTCAACTCAGACTGCCCGCTCGACTTCAGCAAGTTAGTAGCCATGGTGAGGACACGGCTGTTAATGTCAACGGAACCATGCAGAGGTCGCGCGGGGCTGGCACTTAGTGTTGCCGCCAAACCGTGGGCAAATCCTACGCATCGCCGAGGAGAGTTTCGGCCACTCGTCAGAAGAGCTAGCTCTCTGCTCAAACTATTCATGCAAACCGACAAGCAGGGCAGGAGCTGCTGTGGGCAAGCCAACACAAAAGCCTTCATGCATGCTGAAGCGTGCACCTGGACTGAGTAGCTGGGGTGCTGGAGAACCTGCAAGAGACCGTCGCGGCAAGACTCGGCAAAGTTGTTCGCAGCGGATCCCAAGTTGTTGATGAGCGCTGCCACGGCGCCGAGGGCGGCGATGAGGGTATGTTTCGACGGCTCGGGCCGCTCCGTCAGGGCTTGAGGGTAGTTCTTAAGGATGTCGTTGACAATCGACTTGGCCGCCGCAGTCTGACCAGACTCACCCAGAATTTTCTTTCCAATGATATCCTGGAGGATTGTATCAACAATGCGCCTCGAGATGAGAAGACGATAACGGTTGTTGAGAATGTTGGGTTGTCCCAAAATGTCAATGGTCAAGCTCTCGAGGATCCTGAGGTAATTCGCCTCCACCGTCTTCTCGCCGAGCTTTCTGAGCACCTTGCCGTAGCACACGCCAATGGCGGCTCTCGCCCTGTTGGGCGTCGGCATCTTGGCATACTGCGTCGATAAGATCTTGAGAATCTCCGTCAGAGACAGCGCAAGATCCTGCGTCCTCTTTCCACCGGGAGCAGGGCTGCCAGGCCGCGACGTCGGTAGCTCGTCCTCGTCAGCAACCATGCTGGCCGCTGTGCCCGTGCGCTTGATGGGCTTCTTGGAAAACCTCTTGGACGCCTTTGATGTCACGGGAGCGCCTTCCGCCACTCCAGTCTCTGAATAACCGCGCACCATGGCCTCAGCCAGCGCTTCCGCGGCGGCGTGCCTCACTTGCGACGACGAAGAGTCAGTGACCTTCCATATGGCAGCCTGCAGCTTCTCAAAGTCGCTAGAGTTCTCAAAGTACGGTGTGTGCCGAACCAAGGCTCTCAGGCACCGACAAGCCGAAACGATGACGAGCGAGCCCTTGTCGCTAGTAGCGAAGCTGCGCGACTGCTTAAAGATATCCCTGGCGACATTCTCGTCTACACTCCCCTCCACCATCTTCACAAGCTTGGCCAGGGACACAAAGACGGCAGCACGGAGGCCGGCATTGTTGGACGACGACTTGAGCAGCTTGATGAGCGTGGCGCAGGCCAGTTGGTGAAGGCCGATGGCGCTGTCGCCAGCGGACACATATACGTCTCCCAGACAGGCGACAGCGGCGTGCTTTGTGCGCGGACCGGCATCGGCCTTGGACTTGGCGCCCGAGATGATGCCAATCAGATCGTTGATGGTCTCGAAGAGGAGCTTCCTATCGCCATGGCCAAAGATGTGGGCGAGGCACTTTCCCAGGTTGTTCCTGACGACTCGGCTTGGCTGCGGCGAGGGGAGGTTGATGATTTGGAAGATCTCTTTCTTGAGGTAGAACTGCTGGGCGGTGCAGTCGTCGGCGGGGAGGCTGAGGACGTGCTTGGAGAGGGTCGAGACAAAGGTCAGGAGAAAGAGCTCCTGTTGTTCGGCCGGGAGGGACTGCAGCTTCGGGACGTCGAGCTCGGGGGTCGATGTCGCGGACGAATCTACCGCGGTAGCTGTCGCTGCGGCCGGGGGCGGTTGTGGTGGTGGTCCCGATGCAGCTGTCGATGGCCTCGGCGAGGCAGCTGCTTGCGCGTGGTCCCCGTTGGAGCCATTGGGGGCTCCTGTCGACGACATTGGGGACGACGGAGAGATTGTGTGTGTGAGGTTACGCCGTCGAGCGCACACACGTGGGTGGTTCTGGTGTTTTGTATCAATGGATATTGTTGTTCCCTTTTCGTCGGATGTGTTGTCGAAGGGTGGGATGGGTTATTGGGGAGAGGTTGAGGGACAGGACAGGCACGCGGTCAGGTACGGGATGGTCTAAGGTAAAGTGAGCCCCATGGAATTAGGGGCGGCTACCCCCCCCCCCCACGGCGGGTCTGTCCCAAGCTCTCTCCATAGGGGGGGAACAAGAGCCATGACATATCGCTTCGAGGCGCCAGCTGTGGCTCAGCCATACCACCTCAAAAGTTGTCAACTGTGAAAGTCAAGGGTCTAACCAATAATCAGCCACACATCAGACGTTCCGGATGGTCCCACTTAAATTTCGAGGAAGCTCCGAGCTCCCAACCGCTCCCGCCGTCCGTGTGGCAGAAAGTGTGTCCCGGGCAGAAAGAAACATGACATGAACCGACATGAACCAGAAGAGCCATTGACAGCCCCGAATTCCGACCCGGAGAACAACCCACCGGCGCAATCCTCACCGAGACCTCTCTGTCATCAATCATGCGCCCGTTCGCCTCCGGCCCCGTCTGGACCATCGCATCGCGCATCGCCGTCGCCGTCCCTCAAATCCCCGTTCCCAGACCTCGAGCTCAGCCCACCACAACTTCTTTCTGCTGCCAATGCCTACGTCCGCTCTCAACGACGCCCGCCGTACTGAGCGGGCACAACAAGTGGTCCAAGATCAAGCACAAAAAGGGCGCTGCCGACGCGCAAAAGAATAACATGCGCAGCCAGCACTCAAAGACGATTGCCCTCTACTCCAGGCGTGCGTCCCCCATCGCATCACCGGCCCTCGCATCGCACACAAGCTTACCAATCCCACGTAGTACACGGAACCGAGAACAATCCCCAGCTCGTCACAGCAGTCGCGAATGCGAAGAAAGGTTGGTTACCTCATAACAAGCAGCCCGCATTCATCCACCATCAGGGAAACACACACACACACACACACAAACAGATGGCTAACCTGGGAAACCCCCCCAAAAAGACGGCGTCCCCAAAGCCGTAATCGACTCCGCCATCGCCCGAGGCCAAGGCCGCTCCGCCTCAGGCGCCTCCCTCGAACCCCTCACCCTCGAAGCCATCCTCCCGCCCGGCGTCGCCCTCATAATCGAAGTCGAGACCGAAAGCAAAGCCCGCTCCCTCCAAGACCTCAAAGTCCTCGTTAAGAAACACAAAGGCGCCGCCAACGCCACCACCTTCTTCTTCACCCGCCTAGGCCGCGTCGTCTTTGCCGCAAAAGAAGGCCCTTCTCCCGTGACCGTCGACGACATCATGGACGACGCCATCGAGTGCGGCGCAGAGGACCTCGAGGCCGACGAGGAGGGCAACCTCGTCGTCTGGACGCAGCCCAACATGACAAACGCCGTCGTCAACGGCGTAGGCCCCAAATTCGAGCTCGAGCTGCTCAGCTCCGAAATCATCTGGAACGCCAACGAGGATACAAAGGTCAAGATTGACGAGGGGCTCGAGGCCACGACGCTGAGCGAGCTCTTGGCTGCGCTGCAGGAGTTTCCCGAGGTGCAGGCTGTGTACGGTAACCCCACGCGGGGAGACATCCCCGAGGAGCAGTGGTCCGGCATTGAGGAGAACCTCGACTCGTAGATGTTGGGTGCATATACACACCTGACCCTTGGGTGTTGATGTACATTTTGTTGTAGGATACCATATTTTTTTGTGTACAACATGTAGAAAAGAACCACATAATACAAGCAAGGATAGAATGCTCAGAGGGGCGTTGTTTGGGGTCCAACCCGAGAATCCAAATCAACCCCCAAGGAATGATATCCGTTCCGCCCAAAAACTCCGCGTCAATCGCATGACAAATTTCCCAAGCCAAGTACGTTCTTCTTTTGACAGCCCAAAAACGCCCATATGATACAGCGCGAATCTCCTCTCGGTTCTCGCAAGGCAGTCAGTCCCCCGGTAGTCGTCCTTCTCAAAGTTTCAAGTCACGGCGAGAATCCAGATCGAATGTGCCTTCGCCTTTTTCCCCTCATTCACTTGAGCCGTACATCGAACCCCCCTCATGACTGCTCCGCATTCGAAGGCGGGTTCTGCGCAGCCTCCCTAGCCTCCCTCTCCCTCTTGACCTCGTCAAACGCCCGCTGCCTCTTGGCCAGACGAATATACTCGCTCTTGATCTCGTCGCGATCAAACGGGATCTTGTGGGAGTGCTCGGCCTTTGGCCAGAATTCGGGCACCGCGAATCGGTTGTCGAGGTTCGTGCCAAAGTAGTACATGACGCCGATGGGGAACATGACATACATGCCAAACTATTTGGTGGTGGCGCCATAGTCAGTAAAAGAATCAAATGCCATGAAGTTCTGCGACTGAAGACTGGGGGTTTTCCTGCAGAATTTCAAGCTCGTACCTTGAAAACTTCGAGATTGAGGCCGCCCATTGTGACTGTGATTGCGCTGTGCTTGTGGGAGAGGCGGTGGTGGTGGTGGTGGTGGTGGTTGTGCGATTGGAGTCGATGACGATGGTAAGAGTGGTTGGACGACTTGCAGGGTCGATGGATGGGAGCTCTTTGGCGCGCCCCAGCTGCACCACCTGAGAATCATCTGCAGCAGGATTGGATGCGCCCGGGATTGGGCGGGAGACCCGGAGTCTCGGCGCAGGTTTTTTCCACACGTTCAACTCGGGTCCGGGCTTTGATGTGGGTCCCAACAGCCCGATCTGACAGAGCCCGAGAGAAACACCACCGCCGTTAACCGTAACGAGGGTTGAGACGGCAATCCACACTTCAACGTTTCACCATTCCAAGCAGTGCGGATATTTCCAGTCTCTTTCAAAAGCCCGTGGGCATTGGATTTGTTGTTTATAAACTACCTTACCATGATGCGGGTATGCCATGTACGAATGATGCCTGTGCCACCGGCCCAGACCTTCCAAAACCGTCCTGCCAAAGGCCTCGGCATGCCACTCCCTCCTAGTTGCCCAGCCATAATGCATCTAAACGCCGAAGAATAGTCTATGTACAGACTTCCGGAACTCTACAATTGGCCCATACCCGTAACATATACATAAACAGGGGAAAGGGGGGTTGAGCGCTGTGACGCGCTGCACTTATTGAGGTCGCTGCGCTGCCGCCCGTCTCTGGCTCTGTGCTTCCTCCATCATCATTCGTTCCGTCAGACTTCGAGGAGTTCCCGAGAACAATGCCTGCCCGACACTGGCACGGTAGCTGCTGAGATCCCCATCGTCAACGCCGCTGCGACCGTCCAGTCCTCCAATAAAGCTGCTGACATCGCCGAGCGAGGCTGCCCGTTGGTATACGTCGGGGTTCTTAACCACAGGCATGATAACAGGGCGGCCTCTGAAAGACCCAACCGAACCTGAAATGAGATGCGCCGGAATCGCTGGCTCAACCGGCTTCGGGATGAACACAGCAGGCGAGGTCGAGTATAGGGTCTGGGTGACTGGCTCATTCGATGCAGTTTCCTCCTCTTCCTCTTCTTCTTCCTCCTCCTCCTGTATCGGAGCTGGTCGGGCTCGAGGCTTTGGTGGCGCACTAAGCCCTTCGAAATGGAACATGTCCTCGTCGTCCTCGTCCTCTGGCTCATCGCTTTGTGTCACCAGCTTGTCATCGTTGTGCGACCCGGACTTGTCTCGAGTAGGGCTGTAAGGCGCGGTGGCCGTTCTTGTTGGTGAGCGCGATAACGGTGAAAGAATCGCTTTCTTGTTGGCAAAGGATTTCGGCTTTGCCATGGCGAGGAAGCCGTCATCTGAAGAACTGCCATCACTGTCCTCCTCATCATCATCCCTCCGGCTGACTCTCTCTGGGGAAACAGGACGCAATGGCTCTGGGGCTCGTTTGCGCTCCACTAAAGTGGTTTTTGGTGGTGATTGAGGTTTCGGCAGAGTTCCAACACTATCGCTCGGTTGCAATGACGTTTCTGAATCTGATGTTGCCATACTTCCATTTTCCTTATCCTGGGCTTCGGCATTTACAACAGTCCAAACCGTGTTAGCATCCAAAGGAGCGCGAGAAAGGGCGCGAAGTGCTTGTGAAGAAGAGACTTTCTTTGGCGGCGGGCCGCTGTCGTCCTCGTCTGGACCCAGCAAGGATTCGACACTCATTGACTCATCTTCCGACGGAGGGGGTGATTTCGAGTTGGCAAGGGTGTGCGACTGTACGAGGGACGGCTCCGATGACTGGGGCGAGGCTGTAGGCAGCACCTCCCCTCCTTCGAACTCGAAGCGCACTCGCCTAGGGCTGGCGGGTGGCTTGATTCCACTCGAACTTCTTCGCAAGGCGCTGCGGCGCACCTTGGACTCGCTCTGCTCCGAAGCTCCAGAAGACGTCGTGTCATCAGTCGCCCGGCGTTCGTGGTTCGGCCTCTCGGGCGTCTGAGTCGCAGCAACCGACACCTGGATCGCAGGCTGCTCATGAGTCTGACTGGACTTTCGACGACCCATGTCGTCTTGAATAGCAGCAGAGTTTGAAATTGGCGGTGGGATCGGCAACTGATTTGATGCTGGTGTAGGCGCCTCGTGTGAGCTGTCCAGCAGGGGCAGATAGCTTGGGGTGAAGAGACCGTGGAAACCCCTATCCCTTTCCCGGTCATAAACGCTGTCGGGGGAGGTTAGGGCAGCAGTGCCGGCATGGGGAAGGACGGATGGGGGCGTGAACGTGGACGTGGACGACGGCGGCGGAGGTTCGCGGGGGTTGCCGGGGTTGCTGTGGCCTTCGGTGAGGTTTTCGGTGTCTTGGGTGGACTGTGGTGGCGGCGGTGAGTCAGGCAGGCCTATGTCTCGCAGGGGAGTATTGAGACTCTGGCCGAGGGCAGGACGCAGAGCTGGGTAGTTGTCGAAGGAAGCGGCAACTTGACGATCAACCTCGGCCTTTGTGTGTTGTGGGATGTTTTGGAGCAGTTGGTGGGAGTATCTATGGAACTCGAGGGCCATGTCTTGGCGGTAGGCTGCAACCTTGTGGTCGAGGTCGGCTAGCTTCTGATGCAGGTCTCCGATGAGCCTCGTCGCATCGTCCATGTCGACCATGTCGCTCAAGGCCGGCAGAGGCAGAGGCAGAGGCAGAGGCTGCAAGACGGAGAATGCCAGTGACAGCGGTAGCGGCGACTAGGGGATAGACGGATAGACAGACGAGGGTCAGGAATCGGGGCGTGGAGGTGGGCCAATGGGTTCCTGGGCGTGGGCATGACGCAAGGCGTCTGGGTCGAGGTTGCGGCGAAATGGTCGGCGGCGTCCAATGTTTGTTCGGGATGGGCGATTTACGGTTGCGTCCAGACCATAGGCACAGAGGCACAGGCGCACAGGCGCAAAGGGTGTTGACAGAGACACACTGGGGTGGGCGACAGCGGGAGTCGAGAAAGAGGTTCAGGTTGCAGATGAACGCGTTTGGGGAATGTTTCTCTGTGTGCGAATGTGTGTGGTTGTGTGGTGTGTGTGTGTGCGTCCAGTGTGTGTGTGTCTCTCTTCCCCGCGGAGAGATGATCAATGGGAAAGTCGGGGGCCCGGGGAGGGGTGTGTGTATTGTGGACTCGAATCAGGCCAGAATCTGAGGTAAATAGAAAAGATTAGATAAAAAACTGCCAGGAGCGGACGAGACAACAACCTGGACTGGACAAGCACACAGGTCAATCCAAGCGAGACCCCAAAGGTAAGACAGAAATGGAGAAACTGGTGCCTCGTCTGCGGGAGTTTGTGCAGAAAGACACGAGAGATGAGTTGTGCGTGGGGAGTCAAGCGCTTGGGTGCGCTTGTTGTATGTGGTGTGTGATGTGTGGTGTGTGGTGTGTGTGTGTGTGGTCGGTCCAAGTGGCCGAATGATGTGCGATGTGGGTTAATTCTTTTGGGCGGTGCAGAAGCAGAAGGCCAGGAGCAGGATCCGGGACCGCAAATCAACAAGTATCTCTGTGGTGGTTGTGGCGGGAATATGTACTTGAGAGGCCTAGAACACCCTCAAAGATGGTGTCCCCGATCCCCGCCGTCTGGATTTTGGGTCGGGTCGGATGCGTGGTTCACCATCGAGAGAAAAAAGACGTGGGACTTGGCCTTTTTGGGAGGTTCCGCCCCTCTGTCTCCCCCGTCTCTCTGCAATGGAAAGCCAAATGGAATCTTTGGGGGGGGGGCGCGCGCGGGCTTCCGATTCTTGGAATCTCGGGGTGGGCGGCAGGTACGTACCGGCATTGCCAAGTAGACAGGGGTGAATAAGGCAGGTAGCCCCCCCTCTCCCTTCCCCTTGCCCTCCGTGCCTCCCACGCCTGCCTCGTCCCTTCCCAGTGCCAGTTCTCCCTCCCAATTGGAAAGAGTCAAGCCTCACAGTCGCTCTTGTCTCTCGAGAGCTCAAGGGCCTAAAAACCCTCAAGAGGGCTGTCTGCCAGGGGTTTGCTTTTTCTCGGTGCTTTCGGTGGGCGCGGATCCTGGCGCCATGCCGCCTTCCAATTCTAGGGTGTGATTGCCAGGCGCATAGTTTTCGGCATGCCATCTCACGAGTCGCATGGGGGTCATCGGCAAGGGTACTTGGGCATCTACACTACAAATGCTCCGTATACTACTCCGTACAGCAATGACAGCCATAACATCGAGAACAGTCCCGTCCAACAGAAGCATCCAGGTCAGCGCCAGCAACAACTACTACTACTACTACTACTACCTTACCTGCCGCGCCTCAGTCATGGCATACGCCCGGTAAACAAAGGTGGCAACGGTCTGCGCCTGCTCCCGTATTATGCAATACTATCCCACGCATCGTTCGACCCTCGACGTTGGACGTTGGACGCCCCATGTCATTCGGGTATCAACGGCGCTCTCCTCACCGAACCACACATCGAATTGCTTCTTGAAGACAGGCACGTGGCTATTTTCCCCCAGAACATGTCTAATTTGCTCATTGATTTTTCTCTTTTCTCTTCTCGAACCATGCAACTTCCATTACCTGCATTAGGAGTCGGAACCCGGCAAGTGCGGGCACTTTGTGGTGGTACCTTACCGGTAGCCCGCAACTAACAGTGACCTGAGAGCTGAACTTCTGAACGGCCGAACGAATGCCTGGACCAACTCCATCAATTCCATCCACCGTCGGCCACCCCGTCCCTTCTCGCTGCATTCTGGCACCCTAGCACTCATATGCATATGGAAATCTCTTCATGTGCTTTTCCATCACTCAGTCACTCAGCCATGCCATGAGCTGTCTCTCTAGACTCTTTGCCAGTCACCCAGCCCTCACTTGCCCGACAGACTCGCCTTCTCGCTGCGTCCGGCTATGAAAAAGTCGCATTAGGTTCCCATAGAGATTCAAACTTCCAGAACCGCCGATCCCCGTCCAACATCAGACTTGGACTGCTCTCAGCTCCACAATGGCACTGCGCTGGCAATGACATTGGCACCCTGACCTGACAATCCATCAAGAAGGCCAAAAAAAACCCAACTCAACCCCCAGCCTGGCAGCCACTGTTGTAACGATTGCTGCAACCCTCAAGCTAACGAACGATCTCGGCACCCGGCAACGCCTTGTTCACTGAACACTCTCAGGCTCGCAGTCAATCAAAACCTCTCACAGCTCGCCGTGGATTGCGGCCATGAATGCGCATGATGGGCAGTCATGAACTGCGGGTCGTTCCATGACACTTACACGCGCTTACAGGCCACCCTCTCGAGACGGCCGCTCACAAACTCACAAACACAAATCGCAAGTTGCCAAACCGTTCCAGCAAAACATATCATACAGCATCCCCGAGAACGATGTCTTTAGGCTCTAGCTTTCGCTGATAACGCGGGGTCTGTTTTGGTTGAAGTTATGTTTGACTATCTTGCCTCTTCTTCTTCAGACGAGAAGCCGCGCAACCCCCCTCCAACACAAAAGACGAGCGGGCTTAAAGGATGCCATGCAACGTGCACTGGCAAGCTATATCGTTGTACAACTCGAAAGGTGAGAGGGGGAGCATATCAACGTCAAAGGTCCCCCAACAAAGAAAGACCCCACGACGGAACAAGGTCGTCAGCATGGATGGGGTGGGAAACTGGGAAGCATAGAATTTGACTTTCCGACATACTTTCCTAGACGCCTCCGCCCGTAGATAAGGTGGCATTCTTTGGGTGATGTGGTGTGCCGCCTGCCGCCCTGCCCAGGTTTCGTTGGCCAACAAGTGGTGCCAAGTGGTTGCCTCGGGCAAGGGAACGCTCCCACGTCGAACCCCCCCCCCTCGTGCCACCACCTCCGCCGGACCTTGGCCTTCTTTCCCTGACCGAGTCCGGCTCTTGGGGTGTCACGAGGCCGTCCACCCCCGCGGCGCATGACTGGCCGCTCCTCTCACCGGTCCCGGAACCCCGTGACCTCTTCCCTCCATGCCTCCACGGGGACATCGGGCTCCACGAGTAGTCACGGGATCCCCCAAAGCTGAAAAAAATAGACTTTGAGGTTCTTCCACTTTCGGCCCGCTTGTTCCCAGCACGTTTTTACGGTTCGCCTTGCTTTTCGGGCTTATTGATGGCTCGCATTTCTCAACAGATGGTCCCACTCATCCCATCCCTGCCTGTGTTCTTGTTCAATTTATTTTACGCAGGCGGTGATGCAATGCTTTCTCGCTTACACGGCGAATGTACGTACTTTCGCTGCTCGCATTGATATTGCGCATCTTATGTACGTAGTGGGGGCGGCAGGGGGGTGGAAAAGGCCATGAGCCTTGATCACACCGAGCAATATGCCACTTGATATCCGAGTGCAACGTACAAGTGGCGGTTGCTTATGGCGGTGTATCTCCAAGAGAACGAGTAACTAAAACACCAATGGGAAAGCCCAACGCCACACAATACTTCTCTCGAGCATAGGGACAACCAACCAAGGAGACACAATTTCCCAGTGCCGGGTGTGAGCAGTCATGTTTTCTCCTTTGGCCAGACTCCGTTCTGTTTTGCTCTGCCCTGCACTTCCCATCAACACATGTATGCCGCCTACCTGCTGCAGAGAGGAAAAGGTCCCGTCGGGGCGTTCTAGAACGGAGAGTTTTCTAAACGGGATGCCACTGCTGTCACCGCTGCACGGTGCGGTCATACCTGCCGTGCTACGTACTGCAACCGCCGTGTCCAACGGCTTGCCTGCAAGGGTTATCCGGGCACACGGCCTCTTCGGCCGCCGGGCGCTCGGATCCGACCGAGTCTTCTTTGGCGCTCTGGCGATGTAAATGGGTTGATCTATTGGCTTTTGTCGATTCCTCCCAGGAGAATGAGGAGGTAACGAGGTGTTTTGCATATTGCTGTATGCCCGAGGTAGGTTTCTATAGTTGTGCTTGGCTTGGCATAGGAGCATCTAGTTTGAGACCGAGGGCAAGTGTTTGCGCACAGTAACGCCGGCTGTAGCTACGCTCAAGTGGGAAAAGGTACTTTTTCCTGTTGGGACTTTGATGGCTTTCACAATAGATGGAGGGGAAACTACTTGTCAGCTGAAAAGGCCAAGGACGGGTCAAGACGAGCTCGCATGTAAGTGACCGCTGCTCATCCTCACAATCCAACGATTGAGAAGCAACTGCAAACCGTCAAATTAGTTGTCATTGCCGCCCGATCAATGTGCTTCATCACCTCTGCGCAGTGTTCCCTTGTTCATACATTCATTTGCTATCAGAATCCTATCTCAGTGCCTAGGTGCAATTTCCCTGTGACTATTCAGAATCTTCATACCCCAACTCAACGTGCTTTGATATAGTAGGAGCAAGTACCATCAGCAGCCAGTTCGAATATCCATATCCCGCATTCCACACGGACCAGAGACAGATTCCAATATCACAATTCTTGCAAGTTCCCTTGTCCCGTCATCAATCGCTCATGCCTTCGTCCGGCCGGTACTCATCGTCACTGCCATCTCCCACGTCGATCTCAAGATCGATCGGCTCAGGGGCGACTGCTTCCTCCTTTGCAGGAGTCAGGGCGTCATTCAGCTTCATGTAGAACTCATGAAGTACGGGGCTCAGAACCTTTCGGGCGCGGTTGTCAGCCGTGGTAGCCACCTCTCCAATCAGGCCGATGTAGTCCTCCTGCATGGCGTTCACAACCCTATTCGTGTCGTCGCGGATCGCCTTTTCAAGGGCGCTAAGCATTGCATTGGCGGCTTTCTCCACATCTCCGGCGGCGGTCTTGAACATGATAGACTTCTGGGATCCAACCTTCTCCCTCATGAGATCCTTCATGAGGATGAAAGATCTGGTTCCTGCTGGGTTGAGCTTGGTTAGCTCCATGCCTCTATGCCTTCGAGGGTTCTCAACACTCACCTCTCAAGTCGACGCAGCCTTGGTAGGCTTCAATCATGGCTTCCCGAAAAACGGGACCGAAGAGACGATTGGCGTCCTTTTGGGCGCTCTGTACCAGCTTTTGATGCTCCTTGGCGATAGGGGCGAGCTTCTCCTTCTGTGCAGCCAAAATCACGACAAGGAACCCATTTACTAAGTCGTTGTTCCCGACAAGAAATCGCCTGTCTTTCATGCGCTCGTGGAACGACTCAATCAGCTGCTTGCAAGAAGCGGCAAGTGTCGTAAGTTTCTCAGGCAAGCGGCCATTGAAGGCCGAGTCCTAATCATTAGCAGTATAATTCTTCATAGGCTTGAGAAGATCTGCTGCATATTAGATTTCCTCAAAGCAGGATGTTCATGACACACAGGGCTTACCCTCGTCGAAGTCGTGGGCGCCTGCCGCACCTCTGAATACGCCACTGCTTTACTTTAGAGCTACGCTTTCCGAAAGGGGATGTTGTGAGGCAGGACTTGCTAGCGACGGCAGGTAGCCTTGTAGGTTCTATAGCGAAGACCTCCGGCATCATGTTTCGCGCCCCAGCCTTCGGCAGTAGCAACGGCTTCTTGATAATGCCTCCTTCCCAAAAAGCACCATACCAATACCCTGAGGATTCCTTCCTTCCCTAACGAATTCAAATCCCCTTTGCTTTCTTTTCAAGTGCACCTCGCCTCCAAACTCAAATCCCACTCCTCTCTCTTCTTTACACATCACTTGAGAACAGAAAACTTGATCAGTCCACCAAGGTAAGCCGTCTCCGCAGAATAATATTTCACAGATTGATTTACGCTTTTTGGTTTCGGAGATACCCTTGATAATTACCATTTAAAGATTCTCAGCATGTCTTCCCCGAAGAAAAAACTTCATCGACGCAAGTCATTACTTGATCTATTCGACGTTGACATCCCCCGAGCTTCTATCACCGCACCCTCAAGCCCCGAAGAACGAACAATCATGCGTCACAATCTTCGCTCCATTATATCCAAAGGCTGGCCGGTTCGAGCATCTGAGGATGATCATCAGAGGGAGTAGATGATGTTGCACCTGAGAAATACGGTGGAATTTATCGGGATGTCGCGGTCGGAGCTGGCTCAACTATGTTCACGGTTCCGCAATTCGTACCGCGCAAGATGAAAGAGTTCTGCGAGAACCTCAAAGCAGACATCAAACTCGCCGAAAGACGTGGCGTCATAGATCCTTTTCCTATCGCTCCTAAGTACTCACTCGAATTTGTCCAAATTCACCCCTCCAGAGACGGCAACGGCAGAACCTGCCGTATGATTTTGAATGCAATTCTCTGCAGATATGCAGGAATCATTGTTCCGATCGGAGAGCAGGGAGAAGAGAGGAGCGAGTATATGACGATAAAGCGGAATGCCAGCGAGAACATGGAAGGGCACGGCCCTTACGCCCTCTTCGTGCTCACAAGAGCTGTTACACGCCTCCGAGAACTCAAGAAGAAAATGGCGGGCAGGGGAAAAAAGAATTGATAAGGGCAGTTCATATCCATTTCATGGATTCAGTCACGCTGGGAGGGTTGAAGTCTCAAAAAGTTATGAGATAGAAAGTTACTGCATCGTTTGAGATGTGCCACCTTACTCGACTAAGGAGGAAAACATTGCCCTCGAATGCATACCTAGCTGATAGTCTAGCTCATTGCATTCAAAGTTACCTAGTTCTTTCATATCCTCGAGAAACTGTGAAACGTGAAGCGTATTTCTTATGTCTGATTGTGTACCTCAAATACGTGTATCTTACTGGCGGGAGCTAGCAATCTTGTATCATTAACCACCTAGTTTTGGGCTTCAAGAGTCCTCAGATCGTTCTGCCTGCGCTCAATTTCAGCTTTAAGTCCTCTCCTTCGCTCTTATTCCTTCTCCATGGAATCCACGATGCCAAGACTCGGGGCGGCTTCATCCAGGGATACATCGTCGGCTCTGCTACAGACGAACGTGATGTTGTTGTAAGCTCCGTCATACTTAAGTTGCTGTGTGCAATGATCTTCAACAAGAGTCTTGGCCGTCTTATCATCAACTGTGCGGGTGATGAGGGCGACCACCCACAGTCTTGAGCAATCTTTGAGGTACTTGGTGGCAACGGTAGCGCGAGTAGCATTGGTGTGGCGACCTCGGGGCTACGCTGACGTTAATGAGAAACTTGCCTCGGGAAACCAACGATACGTATCAAATCCACAATGACCATGCCGGTAGATACCACTTCTGACTTCAGAAAACCCGGCACGACCTTGATCAGAGGCCAGTACGCCATCTCCGGCTCCTGAGGTTCAGCATCCTCGACTTCTGCGCCAGACACGTTACGCTTACTCTCTGGATCTACGAAAACCTGGATCTTGGTGTAGAAAGAAGCGCATTCCGCTTCTTTCACCACCTTTGTCTTATCACTCACCTCTCGCACCTTTCCGGAGTTTGCAAGAACTTCGGGGGTGGCAAATCTGAGCTGCTTGTCAGAATGCTTCGGATAGACAGCCTTCAAGACAGAATATGCAATGCCAGCATCACTGTCCGCATTCCTGATATCCACAGAAAGCATCCCCCTGTTGTCAAGGATGTCGCGGTGGAGGGCAGCGACCACGGCAGTCCACTCAGCCTGGGTAATGAAATCGATCTCGGCGCGATAATCCATGTTCGGGTTATCGGAGTCGTTCCACGATATTTCCATGATCACAGCTGTGCATGCACGCATGCAGTTGGTAGGAACAACTCGCTCCTCGTCCAAAACTGCATTGATGGGGGAGCTCTTTTCAGAACCGGTGTCTCCAAGAACGCCGATGACGAATCGCGGCATCTTGTGGTCTCTTACTTTTGTATTAGCTTTTCGATGTTGTCGCGCCACTGCTTCACGCGCTTCAGATCCAAGATGCTGGTCAAGGCCGAATGCATATCACTCAAGAGGTGGGTTATATTGGCGTTCACCTCGCGAAGCTCGGTAGCATCCAAACTCTTCTTGGCATCGTTGAGCCTCTGATGAGCCAAAGCACTCATAGAATTCGCGGCAAGATCATCGTTCTCTATCTTTACCACTGATGGGCGGAACGCTTCGTTTTTGATGACTGAGTCGGTAGTCTGCGAGTCCATCTGAGTTAGCAACACGCAATATAAAGTGAAACTAGCACGAACTGATTTGTAGGCCAGAGTTCTTTAGCATTTCTCGCCCCAAAAAGGGGAAACCCCAAGGTGTGCCTCGTCTTGTTTGCGGGAAAGTTCGTCTGCAAAGTGGCGTATGCAACGAGTGAGCGAGCGAGAGAGAGAGAGAGAGAGAGAGAGAGAGAGAGAGAGAGAGAGAGAGAGAGAGAGAGAGAGAGAGAGAGAGAGAGAGAGAGAGAGAGAGGCGCAATTTCTCACAAGACTCTCAACCAGAGGAGAGAGAAGAAGATGCAGAGGGCAATATTTGAAATCAGTAAAGCCACAGGCAAGGAAACCCCCGGTTTCCTCTGCTGGTCCTCGACAGAACAAGGTGGAACTTATCAGACCGAGGCAATGAAAGCCTTTCACAGGTGTTGAAAACAGGAATGTCTTGATGTGAGCTTTGGTAGAAGAGTGAGATGCTGAAGCCAGGTGAGACTGCGATGACTGTGTTGTGAAGGATGGAGTGATGGACGAAGAGGGGAAAGAGATGTGGTGGGCGGCATGAGAGGAAAGTAATAAGAGCCCGGAAAACTTTAGAGGCACGAGCTCTCTCTTCGAATGGTATTACTAGAAGCGAGGCTGGCGCTACTGCTTATTTGATTTCAGAATGTGACGGAAGGCGAATCTGTCTTCCAACTGCTCCACCTTGCGTTGTGGTGATTCGGTGCACCAGTCGGGGCTTCTGCTCCAGCGCCCATGTGGTATTTGGAAGAGGAGGATTCCCATATGAACATGATAGAGGCGGGTCGTCATAAAGACTTGCACGCATAGGCTTTGTTCCTCCAGTCCCTGATTTGCTGGCGTCGGCCATGGCTAAGACATGAAGAGGGCCATCCTGCCGGAAAGCAAAAAATATCTACTGCCTAGGTAGACCGATGTACGGATTAGATAAGAAAAATAAGAAGCCTAAAAGGCTTGCGTTAACAATCGAGATAGTAAATGGCAGAGTACAGGCCATTTTTATTCTTGCCTCGATTCCCTCATTTACAAATCCGATGTGGCATACATGCCATGTAACAAGGTACCTAGGCTCAGACGCGGTCGGAGGGGTAGGTCATGGTAGGGAAGAATCTTGGACACGCGGCGGAAGGCGTCAACTGCATAATCGCTGAGGTATGCGCATGTCGATAAAGCGGAAGGCTAGAGAAAACATGGATGGGCATGGCCTATACGCTCTCTTCGTGCTTACCAGAGCCGTTACACGCCTGCGAGAACTGAAGGGAAATAATGGCGGGTAAGGGGAAAAGAACCTAGACTGTGTGACTGAGGGGGACCCAAATCTATTTCATGGATTATTTACGCTGGGAGGGTTGGAGTTTCAAAAAATGCCCTCGAACGTATACTCAGCTACAGTATAACTCCTGCAGTCAAGTTTATCTAGTTGTTTCATGTCATTAAAGAACTGTTAAACCTGAAGCGTGTTACTTCAGTCGTGTGCCTTGTGTCTGGTGTACCAGCAGATGCTTCAATGAGTGTCAACCCAGATAGATCAGCTCTACCCTAGGGTTTCTCTCAACAGGGCTCGCATATAGGTATTAAAACGCAAAATGAAAGGTGATGGAATCGATAAGATTTTTAGAAGATTTCGAGGCATAGCTAATCGGCTGCCCCGGTGAATGGTTTCGCTTTTCATTTTCGCAGAGAAGTCCTTCATCGGCCATCGTAACATATTTGGCCCGAGACAGTCAAACGTACTGCTTCAACAGGCTCAGTCTATGAGACATGGGTGTGAAGCAGCAACAGTGGTGGGATCAATGCAGCCAATGCTTCATGATAGCACGATGTGTCGTTGGACTTGGGCCGCTCACCTCGGTGAAGGAAGTCCGGAGGTGGGGCCGGAGGTACCAGGGGTCCAACCCTGACCGCCTTCTTTATTCGCTAACCCGCCTCCTAGTCGAATCGTGGAAGCTCCAAACACCTCAGTGCTTTAGCTCAGCTTCCCAGCCCTGTCCAACGCGCCTTCTTCCCAAGACCGAACTTGATTATCGCAAACTCTCCTACACGCAATCCCCGCCATCGTACACATCCCACGAGAATCACAAAACAACACACCGAAAGCGAACACAGTAACAATGTCGACAATCACAACCACGGCCCTGCAATCGGGCCACGCGCCCATCATCCCCCTCTCCTTCAACTCAAACCAACCAGACACGATCCGCCTCTACCCGCTCTCCAACTACACCTTTGGCGTCAAGGAAACCCAGCCCGAGGAAGACCCGTCCGTCATCGCCCGCCTCAAGCGCCTCGAGGAGCACTACACCCAGCACGGCATGCGCCGCACCTGCGAGGGCATCCTCGTCTGCCACGAGCACAACCACCCGCACATCCTCATGCTGCAAATCGCAAACGCCTTCTTCAAGCTCCCCGGAGACTACCTCCGCCCCGAGGACGATGAGGTCGAAGGCTTCAAGGCCCGCCTCGACGAGCGCCTCGCCCCCGTCGGCCGCATCGGCGAGGGCGAAGAGCCCGCCGACTGGCAGGTCGGCGATTGTCTGGCCCAGTGGTGGCGGCCCAACTTTGAGACCTTCATGTACCCCTTTGTCCCGGCGCATGTGACTCGGCCAAAGGAATGCAAGAAGCTGTACTTTATCCAGTTGCCCAAGAGCAGTACGTTTACGAAACCCTTGACAATATCAACAACAACACTCTTTGCTAATCCGTGTCCCACAACAGAGGTGCTTAGCGTCCCTAAGAACATGAAGCTCCTCGCAGTCCCCCTGTTCGAGCTCTACGACAACACGGCAAGATACGGCCCCCAGCTGTCCGCGATTCCCCATCTCCTCAGCCGATACAACTTTGAGTTCGTCGACGAAAACGGTAACATCGTCGCTGCCACGCCCGGCGCGAGCGCACCGGAAGGATACGTCCCGAGAATCAAAGTGTTGGCGAGCGGCGACGACACGGACATGCAAGAGGCTAAGGGAGATGAAGAGGAGAACGGCGAGCAGCAGCAGCAGCAGCAGCAGCAGTAAAGTAAGAGCTGCGAGTTGCGAGTTTCGCGAAATGTGGTACGCAGAAGGGGGGATGGGAGCTTCTCACGAAAAGGGATCAGGGGCGAGGCGTTTTGGCGTAGGTCACAAAAGTGCCATAAGTAGACCGGTGGGACTGTACAATAGGGTTGACTCGATATTTGCATCGATACCAAATAGACTGGTATTCGCTGTTTCAATGGGGAATCGACGATTTTTTTCCTTTCTTTCTCATTCTATCTACTACATCTAAGAAACTCACGCCTTGGGCTCTCCCTGGATGGTGGCCACGAGGCGGCGCTGGTGCTTGCTGGCCCTGAACTCCAGGTACCAGATGCCTTGCCATGTTCCGGTGGCCTGAGTGATGTAAGTGAGCTGTAATCGGGCATTCGACCTTTTGCGATTGGACCTACCAACTTGCCATCCTTGATCGGGATAGTAACACTCGCGCCAACGAGAGCGCTCTTGATATGAGCCTAAGAGGAAGAACGACGTGAGCCACTTACAATCAACCGCCAGAGGGACAAAACGGAAACCCCCCCCCCAAAAAAAAACTCACCGGCATATCATCAGGACCCTCGGCGCTGTGGCGATACAGCTCCTGACCCTTGGGCCCAGCCTCGGGCGCGATGCGGTCCAGCGCATCGCTCATGTCGGCGCGGACGTCGTCGTCCCAGTTCTCGTTGAGGCTGAGGGCGCAGCTCGTGTGCTGGACAAACAGGTGCAGGATGCCGACCTTGTAGTTCTTCAGCTCGGGCAGGGCGCCGACGATCTCGTCTGTGATGAGGTAGGAGCCGCGCGAGCGGGCGGGCAGGGAGAACTGCTTTTGGAACCAGGAGCCCGTCATGGTTGTGGTTGTTGGTGGTGGGGTATGACGTGGGGTTGGTGAGCTGCTGCTACTGCTGCTTGTCGAAAATGCGTAGCCTAGGGCTGTGAGGGGCAGGTTCCAGAGAAAGTGAAATAGGTTTGGAAAGAGGCAGATGATGATGAAGCAGAGGATGAGGAGGGTCGTCGTTTGTGAGGTCTGGTTGCGGTTGTTGTGAGGTGTCGGAGACATTGCTGGCAGATCTTGGAGGTGGAAAATGATGCGGGCGCGCGCTGGTCTCCAATCTGGTGGGGCAGGTTTGATGGATAAAGTGAGGTCAGATTACCTTGAGGAAGCAGCAGATTGGACGATTCTCCCGGTAGGTAAAGTACGCAAAGACGCAGGAGTACCTACCACCTTACAAAAGGTATGAGACCTCGGACCCGTGAGTTAGGCAAGTTGCCATCTTTGAATCCATTGACAACAATTTCCTGTCTTCTGTAATGATTGTATTTAATCTACCCCCTCGAGATTGATGTTTGCCTACAGAAGCTGGCGGTGCATATCATGGTAAGATCCAAGCCAAATCTCACTTCCTCCAGTGCACGATAACGAATGTCAATTGTATCACATCGACCTCATGCAACCTTTTCATGTGTCTTTCAAATCAATCCCCCTACAAAACTAAAAGGTCATGAGTTTTGGTTTCAACCCGTGATGCCATCTCATCAACTTCCTTCTCGCAAATGCCGGGAAGTATGCATCAAACAGCAGCCCTGCAAGAGGTCAAGCTATTCTGATCTCGGTGCTCCAAGCACATTGAAGAAGACGTTTGTCTTTACGCATCGTAAACCCAAGGTTCGCAAACTTCTTACTTGTCTTGGAAAAAAAATATTTGTGAAATTGGTTTGACCCGAAGCAACTCTGATCCTGCTATATCTACACACCCGCAGCTCAGCCCACGCTGCACAGCGCACCAAAAGCTTTTGACGCTCTCTTATCGTCATTTCGTCCTTGATGCTTGCCGCACCTTCTGCTGCTGTCACCTCCCGTCTACCACCCATCGTCCACCGTTCCACGGCTGGAAATTGTCTCTCTATGCGAGGGGGTACGACGTCTCGGGGAGCGATTCGAGGTGCTTGCGGTGGTGCTCGTTGGCCTAGTATTTCATCAACATTAGCTCTCCGATTCTCCAACAGCCCCCTCCCGACAGGAATCCCAATTGCGGATGCCGGAGATTGAAGGGGGGATATACATACAAAAGGAAGACCGCAGTAGTTGCAGCTCGAAATCTCAGGCTTATCAGTGTTGATAAAGATTCTAGGATGGCCCGAAGGTCCGCCGCCGCCGTCGCACGCCACGACGCGGGCGTGAGTCCACCGGACGGGCTCCTTGTGCACGAGCTCCATCGCAGAGTGAGGTTGTGGCTATAATTGTCGTCGACAAAACGTCAGTCACCCAATTTCTTTTCAATCGCACCAAGCTTTCCATAGTCTCTCTCTCTCTCTCTCTCTCTCTCTCTCTCTCTCTCTCCCCTTCTGCCTCTCCTCCACTCTTTCTATAATCTCTCATTCCTCATCCCGGGTCGCTAACTCACCTGAAGGGAGAAATCAGTCTGCTCAAACCGCGGCCCAGTCATGGCTTCAGCGCGAGCCTTCTGGCTACGCGACCAAACAAGCGACCTGTTCGGCGCCTGCCCAACCGTCTCGGGGACGGTGTTGTCGGCCACCTGGGGCGTCGCGGCCTCGTTCTTCTCGACGACGGCGGGTCTCTCGGTCGTGCGGACCGTCGCCGACACGGTAAAGGGTCTCGAGGCGCCGACGCGGAGCTGCCGCGACAGGGCGCTCGTCGCTGCTCGTCTGGATGCCGATAACATGGTTGTGCTGGCTCAATTGAGTAGTGGGGGATTGATTCGGGGGTCGGAGGGGGGGGAGGAGGGGGGCGGCGGTCGTCAATTCGATTCCGGTCCTGGGCGGCTTCGACACTCGGGTTTCTGGGGATAGCTTGGTGTTCACTGAAGCAATTGATTACACCTGCTGTCATTCGTCGGGAAGAATTGATGCCCCGTCGACCGAGTTACAGACCCACCCACAGAGCACGGACCAGGCGGAATGTCGTACTGGGGAGTCACGGCAGTGTTGCTGTAAATCCGCTCTCACCAGGTACCCTAGAATGGAGACCTTGGTCGGCCAGGTCTGTCACCAAGTCTGTCAGTCGACAACCACTCCAAAGCATCATTCCCAAAAGCACACTATTCACATGCGAGGCACACAGCCACTTTGTTACGAGTTTGCCATATCCTCCTATAGCGTAACGTAATAATCAAAAGTCATACACACGTGCCGTCATGCAACCGATACTCCAATAAAAACCAACGAGGCTATGAAAGACTAGCCTCGTATATGCCAGGGCATGAGGGGGACTCTATCTCTATTTACGCCTCATTGTATCCTTTCTGCTTTTGTTTTTGTGTAATTCCTCCTTCGCTCCATGAACCAACCCCCCCTGGTTCTTGTTCATGACCCATGATCACATTTGCTGTGCTCGCGTCTTGGTATACGTTTAGGCGTCTCTTCATTCCCTCTGCGGTGCCGAAGCGGGTAACATTCTCTCCTCGAAATCACAATACGTCGCCATCATCTAGCAGATCCGTCGGCAGGAACTAGTGTGTCCGAGAAGTCTGCCCGTGCGGCTCCGCGTCATCGTCAAGGTGAATCTCGGCTGCCTCTGTGGAAGCGGCGTCGTCATCGGCAGCTGGCACAGAAATGACCTCGGCATTGTTCTGACGGGCCCACGCGGCAGTCTGGATCTCTGACAGTCCAACCTGAGCGCCAAAGTCGGGCGGCGGAGGCGCCTCATCATTGGCGGTCTCGTAATCTCCCATGGTCTCATCGAACTGCATATCAGTGTCGTTGCCAACTTCGCGCTCGTCTGAAGAGTCTGGTTGTGCGTCGTCGCTGCCGTAGCCGTCCAGACCAAGAGAGTTGTTGGTTCCCTCGGCGGAGTCCAAGGAATTCCAATTCCAGCCCTGCGTAGCTGAGAACGCAGTCGATTCTCCGTTGTAGTCCGTCATGCCGATGCCCTCATCCTCAATGCTGTTTTGGATGTTGTCGCTACCAACATTGGTGCCGGAGCTACCCTCATAAGGTGGCAACTCATCATTTGCACCCGCGTTGGCCGTGGACATTGTGTTACTAGCCAAACCACGATTTCCGCGCGGGTGAGTTGCTTCGGCTCCGGTCCCAAGTCTCGACGATCCAGTTAGGGAGGAGCCCCCGACGAGACGTTGATCTTCCCCCGAATCGGTATCCTCTTCATCGTCGTCTTCTCCATCCTTGTCGAACTTGTCGAAGATCTCCTTGAAGCGAGGGCCGCCCAGTGGGCCCTCGGACCGACGCCGGTAGAAGAGCAGGTAGGCCGCTCTAGTAACGACGCTCTCGGGCGAAGTCTTGCTGGCTGAGGTATCTGGGAAATGGTGAGTACAAGATATGATATTCCGTAAGAGTTAACCTACCATTGTAGTTGTACCACTGGCCGTCGACAAAGTTTCGTCCGTAAGCAGTGTAGTGGCCACCGCCGAGACCACCAAAGTGATCGTCAACGGCGATGAGATCGTAGATCTCCTCCTTGCCCGTCTCCTGGCAGAGAACGCGCTTGTGAAGGTCGAGACCCTCGATGGGAAAATCGACCAAAACGTCAAGCTTGTCGCGGCGCCAGCCAGCACTGCTGAATCGCTTCAGGTGAACAATGAGGATGTCTGGCGTCTTCCAGAGATCGAACTTTTTGCTAGCACGTCGATGCTCCTTGCAGCGCGGACAGTACCACATGTCCTGCTCAGACAAGACTTCGGCCTTCTCGAACTCGTCCAAGCACTCCTCAAGGGTGATGCCCTGCTTCTTCCTAGCCATCCGCGACTTACGCTTCTGTTCCAAGATAGGGTCCTTGAGCTCCTCCGGGTCGGTGAAGGTCTTTGAGCCGCGGTTGTCGTCAGTGTCGCGCAATGACTCCTTGCCAAAGACCAAGTCCCAAGTTTCTTCAGACCAATCGACGACTATACCCTCGTCCAGACGGACAAGCGGACCACCGCGGACGTCGTCCTCAGGTGACGGCTGAGGCTCAACGTCGACCACGTGGAATGGCTGCACTTTGCTGTTTCGGTTCTCTCTGTCGCGGCGCTTGCCGCCCTTCTTTCCATAGGTCTTGTTGCCCTTATTGTTCTTTCGGCGAGCTCCACCAACCTTGTGATTGCCTCTTCCTCGGTTCATAGGCTGTGTAACTAACGTTAGCCTCTGCCGCCTGTCATGCTGCCGTTTGAATGGTGAATACATACCTTGATCACGCGAACGGGCTCGTCCTCTTCCGACTCCTCTGCCATGCGAGTCTGCTCCTCAACAGACTGCGGAGTAGTCTCTTCGCTGACACTCTCGTGCTCACTATCTGCACCGTTCGTGGAGCCAGGGCTGTTCGACTCTTCGTTGGGAGGTTCCGGGGCGCGAGAAGATAGAAGACGGAAACTCTTGTTGTCGTCCACCGTATTCCAGCCCACGGGCAACCCATAGTCAGTACTCTCGCCGAAGAAGCTAAGTTCGAACAGGTTCTGGAGATGAGGTGGAAGGTACTCCTTGGGATCCGCCCACTTGGGGCGGCGAACGTTGAATTGCTTCAGGGCAGGTCGCCGGGTCTGCTGTTGCTCGCCTGCGCCGACAGAAACGTTGACCAAGTCATCCTCGCCTTCTACCGAGTTAGAGACAACCTTACTGTCTCCTGACGAATCAGCGTCTGACTGGGATGTGATGACCATGTCTGCATCTGTGCTCTCGTCGGTTTCCTCAAAATCGGACCAGGTAGAGAACGTTGCAACCTTTTCTAGAACCTTGCGACGAATGGCATCCTCACTGCGGGACTATGATGCTGTTAGTATCACACGAGTGTCACAAAAAGCTAGCGTCAAGCTTACCTCCTCGGGCGTGACAATAATGAAGTGAGGGGGCGATGCAATGTCATCTCCCCTCAATCGGTAAGTGTTGCCCGTCTTCTTGCGGTGAAGAACAGGGACCAGCATACGCTCAGTACGAGGGTCAACCCATGGCTCATCGCTGATTTCTAGCATCGAGCTGGGCGTACCCATCTTCTTCTGCTTAGGAGGGTAGTTGGTCGGCGACGATTCTAGCTCATGGAAAGCAGGGATATCGTTGGACTGGATCTCCTCCGAAACTGAGGTGGCGTCGGAGTAGACCTTGAAGAACTTGCCCTTGAACTCCTCTGCTCCCATCAACAACTCCACAGGCACGCCAGTCTTGTCCGAAAGCGCTTTCTTCAATAACTCAATGGCGCTGTGCTTGGGCAGCTCAACCTCAAACTTTACAGGCACATCGTTGAGCGGATAAAATTTGACAGGCCGGCTCCACATGTCCTCCATGGGCAGCGGCAAAGTCAGGTTGTTGAAAGGGTCGAAAGTGATGCTGATCTTATCGCACGTCGGGCACTTGAGAGTGGACTTGTACAACCCAGTGAAGAGGTCTGCGATAACGGAGTCGTCGCGCTTCCGAGTGATGTCCCACACCTCCTCGGCCATCTTGCGAATGGCTTCCTCGTCACCGATCATGTCATCCGTCGAGTCTGGCTTCTCAATATAAGGCTTCTTGTGAATACGACTGAGATCCTCTTGCAAGGCGTCGAGGAGGAAACCAAGGAATTCCTGGGTATCTTGTTGACCCCAGCCCTGGAAAGTAGCGCGAGCACGACCGACCGTATTCTTGAAGTCGCGAGGACTGACTGCACCTCTCGACTCGTTGTAAATCTCCTTGAGAAGCCCACCATAAGCCATGGCTACCTGTCCTTTGTAACCAAGAGGGTTGCCCTTATTGAGTTCCTCCTTGTACTTGTCCGTCAAGAAGTACTTTGTCAACTCCTCTACGCTGCGGACGCACTGCAGGGCTGAGTTCATGTAACAGGTGTTTCCAAGATTCTGAAGGCCTACGGCGCCTAGACCCCGGCCAGGTTTCTTCTTCTGCTGAGTTCGGCCTCGAGTGACGGGCCCTTGAGGAGCAGGGCTGCTTCTTCCGCTGCTGTTGGCCTTCAGGCTCGTGGCAGAGCCTCTGGATGCCAGAACCTTGTCGTTCTTGCCCCCCTTGAAGTAGTTTGAGACCCATGAGTTCTTCGCGATCTCTTCATCAACGACGAGAGTCATGTCCTGCATCAGTCCGTAGACCGAGAGAGGCGAGTTGCCGTTGTAGTTGGGGTTGGTAGTGTTGTCCACCGCAGGCACTACCTGTCGGTCTCCGCCATTGACCTTGGTGAAGTTTTGTACCTCCACGAGCATGCGCTGCCAGGGGCCCGACGAGCTCTCGCCGTCCTTGTCCGGGTTTGGAGAATCAGGCGGTGTGAGGGCGGACCTGGGCGACGACTCTTGCGCCACAGGCTGTTGAGTAAGCTGCCATACCCGCATCTTACGATCCAGAGATGCCCCGGTGAGCTCCTTCAGCTCCTTATAGAACGGGTTGTAGGGTGTAGTGGCACTCCGGGCCAGGACGAGGGGCTCCTTGCTCTTGAGCTCGTCCTTAATCTTGATAGGGCTTGACAGGGACCAGAGTCTGTGGATTGTGAAGACGGGCGGGTTTAGCTCAAACATGACGTTCTTCTCGCTCGTCGAGTCCGGCGCCGCGTTGATAGCACTGCGCACAATGGGCTTCTGTCCCTCGCCGACTCCGTACCACTCCGAGACGAGCGTCCAGGCGTCTTCCGGGAAGAGCTCGCACTCCTCCATGCCAGTACCAGGCTTCATCCGGACAAAGTCGTCACCGCCGGGCTGGGACAGGACCTCGAGAATGAGATCCGAATTGTCCACAGGGCCTAGCGGCTCATTTGTCGTCTCTTTCTTGGCAGACTTGGGGTCGCCGCCAAGCGCCAAAGCCTTTTCCACCCATGATCTCGACACAACGTATGCGACATCGCCAACTTTCGGGGGTTCGTCGTTGAAGGCCTTGAGGAGGGTCTGGATGGTCTTGATTTGATCTTCGAGAGGGGGGAGATCTACCGGGAAACCCTTGGTCAGCGAAAAGCCTTTTTATATAGTCTCACAACCGTAGATACTCGTACCCTTGTCATTGGATTTGCTGGATGCTCCTTTTGCAACATTATCGGGCAGGTCGACGCTCATGGCCCTGGGCAAGTGAGTGTTGGAGGAAGTCGGGGCTGACTCGGCATCCTCAGCTGACTGTTGCTGCTGCTGCTGGTTGGTGGAGGCCATCTCGACATCCTCCTCCTTCATACTGACATCAGCATCGGCATCCATACTGGAGGCTCTTCGTTTCAAGGGAGAGGAGGAACGCTGATGAGGGTTGGCATCACTGGTCATGATGGCACGGCGGGAGACGTTGAAGGGAGACCGGCTTCTGGCTGAATGGGACGTCAGCGCAGTGCCAGTCTCTGTGCCAGAAAGATCGCCTCCTCGGTCGCTGTCAATGGACAGGTCGGCAACACCACAGGGTGATGAGGCTGCTGTGCTCGAAGCGTACTCGGCAGTGACCAGGGAGCCAGTCTGCAGGCGCGCAGGTAGACTTGATGCTGGGTATGAGTCGCCTCGAAGGTATGTAGGAGTCGACAGCCCGTCGGTGGAGTGGGCGGCAGAGAAGGAGAAGGCGGGATCGTCGTTTGGCTCGCACGACGGCAGGACGGTGTCGGGAGACGATGGACTAGATGTGTCGTCGGTGCGCGTCTGGTTGCGAGAGATCTTTCTCTTCTTTGAGGAAGACGTGGTGAAGGTGAGCTGCCTGTGCAGCTCCGAGATGGCAGCGGGGGAAATTTGGGTGCGGTGACAGAGGGTGGTGGGAGAGAGCGTCTTGCATGTGTGGTGCAGCCAAATCCAGGTCCAGATTCGGGTTCACAAGAGGATCCGGCTCGACTTGGTTCGAGGTGAGCAGCACTGGACCTCGTGGGGAAGAATCGACGGTACCTCACTATAATTCTGTGAGGTAGGGCAAGCCGCAAAGCCGATGGGGGTGTGCAGGTGCAGGTGCAAGTGCAAGTGCAGTGGCAGGTCCTGTCGGGGGGAGGGAGAGAGAATTAATTACAGCTGAGGACCTCCAGACAGACGACTGCACTTTGGGGGTGGGCTGTGGGGTGGAGAGTAGAAAGTGATGGAAAGAGATGCAGACAGTGAAAGAGGGTAAGGTAAGGTAAGGTAAGGTGAGGACAACAGCAATCCAATTGCAACTGGTCGACAGAGGCTGAGGTGTGCAGTGTTTTGCTGTGCTGTGCTGTGCTGTAAATGCGCCGTGCTCTTGTCCAGTACGTCGGTGTCCCGGTGAGAGGTGTGTGAAAGGGACGTGAGCAGGTGACGGGAGGGTGAACGGATGTGGGTGTGTTTGAGTTGGGGCAGATTAGAGATGCCCCCAGTCCAGTGCCTTGCGTGTCTACTTTGTGGCCTACCTACCTTATTATGCCAGAGGGATGGGATGGGAAAGAGCGAGGAAGAGTGGTAAGAGAGACTAAACGGATTGAACCGAGAGAGGTGTGTGGGTTGAAAGGTCAAGGTCTCACTCAAGTCAGGTCATAACATCTGCTTGTCACGACTTTGCACGGCACCTCACCTTTTACTGCGTACTGTACCTTGTAGATACAGAGTGAGTAGGTAATGCTGTTACTGCCCTGCTACTAGTAACTTCATCGCCCTTTGGGGGGCCTATCAATCCAATGCAGCAAAGGCAACAAATTCTGGATGCGGACTTTCTATTTGGATTTTAGTCAGTGCGGGACAGAGACTCGACGCCCGAGTTTTTAGACCAATTCCACAACCCAAAGCATCTCAGTCCCCCTCCCTCTCTCTTTCTCTGTTTTCTACCTTATGTTGGTCTAGGATCGGGGGTGGGTGGCCTGGCCTGGCCCGTGCTGACCTGACGATTGGATGAATGACTTGCCAAGCACCCAGGGCGACTGCGGCTTGGAGGCTCCTTCCTGAGAACAAGTGATGGATGTCATTGAACTTGTTCATGTTCCTTCCCTCCGTCTGAACAGATGCTGTAATAGCACAATCATGGAAGACGTCTGGGGGAAGAACACTCCAATTCCTTCCACCACCTAGTATTGGGTTTGTTTGCCCTAATGAAGGCCAAATGAGATGTCCTGTCCACTCAGATATTCATAGGTAATAATGCTAGGAAAAGGATAAAAGAGCAGAATCACTCACACCAACTCCAATTCGTCCAAAATGGGACCGAGGAAAACTCACAAATTTTTTCTCGACTCCCCACCGGGAGGGAACGTTCAACACTTGCAAAATAAAATAAAAAATAAAACAAAATAAAAAAGAGACGGTCAAGATATTTACAGGGAAGGCACCTATAAGGAGGGGGACGGGCGGGGGGGGGGGGGGGGAGGGGGGGGGAGGAAGAGGGCAAAAAAATCAGGTCTTTCTCAGATCCCAGATCTTGTGCTCCTTCCCTTCCTGCACTTCAGGCGCCATCCCCACACTCAACTTCCCGAAAAACGGTAATAAGGAAGGAACGACTGGCATCGACTGAGGTGCACCTTTTTGTGAAAAAAATCAGTGCCATCCAGATCCGATGTCCAAGCGCCCTCACAGCCCCACTGCGCTCACATCTCCGTCCCGCCTGACGTCAGCTTGTCCATGAGCAGAGAAGATGGCAATGTCTTCTTCTCGGAAAAGGCGTCCTCTACTCAAGGTAAATTGGAACTCGACAATCTGTATACTACCCATAACCAGTTTAGATACCGTCATGCGAAAGATATCATCATGCCCTTGACAGTCTCACTTTCAACTTACCCGGCCAAAGATATACCCAGCCAAAGATATACCCAGCCAAAGATATACCCGCCCGGACACTCAGGCTGACTCGTACAGATTGCTTCCTCAAGCAGGGGATCCTCGGTAGTTGTTATCCGGAGTATTCATCACATCTCGTCAAATCTAGAGGTATAACATGCAAGAGCTTTTTCTCTATTCGACTTCTCTGTCCCAAAAGCAACCTCGGCTACCAATGGGACGAGGTAGTCTTCCTTTCCGTCTGCCAATGTGGACACACGGAACTAGGGGCCTTGGAGTTATTAGGGTTCTATCCTATGTCGTGAAGCCTCATAACGTCATGCTCCCTATATTCCAATCCATGAATGCCTGTACACCCCGGGTCCGATTCCGACGGCTATGTCTCTCCCAACTCTTGTTTGACTGAAGACAACACAGTGACACTGAGTCTGTTGTCTCTCTAGCAAATGCGTCTTAAAAAACACTCCCGAAAGTCTCAACGCCGCCTGTGTGTGTGTGTGTGTGTGTGTGTGTGACCATGTGTGCGTGAATATCTTGAACAACCTCCTACCACATTTCTCTCCTCATAGCTTGGCATCAGTGTCTTCGTACTCGGTCAAATCCTTGGCAGGCCGCGCTCCGCTAGTCGCAACAAGGCTGGCACGGAAGCTGCGGACATCTTCGATAACGACCGGCGGGGAATCACTTGTCGGCAGAGACTCGTCTTCTTTGCTGACGCCGTTGACCTTGGCCTCGGCGCCCTCCTTGGCCGGTGCCGTAGCCTGTGCGCGCAAGTGCACCGAGAGCTTCGCCCGCGTTGCAGAGCCGGGCTTAATGTACGTCTGGAAGAACTCCAACATATCGGCCTTGGTGAGCGTCTTGATGTGCGCAGCGTCTTCTTGAGCTGTTATTGGACGTTAGTAATTTGTATTTCCGACAAACATGTTTGACAACTTACGGAGCTCAAAGTCGTAGTATTCACTGGCAATCTGGGCCCAGTGTCTGCTGCTCTCCTGGTCCAGATTCTTCAACTTCTCGAGCCTCCGGACAATCAGACTGCGCTTGTGACCCTCAAAGTCTGCTTCAGACATGTTGTCCAACGTGTTGGAGAACAGGTTGAGGAATGCCTCGATTCTCGATTCAAGGTACTCGGGTGTCCGTTCACTTTGGATGATAAACCTGAAGCCGTAAGTGGTGGAGAAGCTTCTGACTCCACTAAAGACAACATAACCGAGCTGCTCCTTGGTTCGAAGCTGGTCGAAGGCTGGCTCGTGAGCCATCTGGTCTAGGAGCATCGTCTTGGCTCGTACCATTCTATCGCCCTTGTCACCGACATAGAGCCAAACTTCGATACAGTGGTTGACGTTGGCCGGATCCTTGAGGGTCTTCTTGTATACGTAGTTCGATCCAGGGGGGATGACCAGGGAGCGAATCACTGGCCATTGGGGTCGCGGGAGAACGCGGGGCTTCAAGACGGTTTCGATCATGTCTGTAAGCTTGAGAGCGTCCTCCTTGTAAAGGTTTCCGTGCACATAAGACTCAATGTGAACCTGCGAAAGCATCTGCTTCTTGAACTGCCGGACGTCTTCGGCGGTAATATTAGGCAGCTCGGCCAGGTATTCCTCCACAACGTAGTCGCGCTCAGAGTTCAACCACGTCGTGTAGTCGGAGACCTGGCTGAACGGTTGCTGAAGCTCCCAGTTGTTGTATCCACGATTCAGGCGCTCCTTGATAATGTCGAATCTCTCGTCCCTGATCTTCAGATCCCTGATCGTGATCAAAACCTGCTCCAGGAGCACCGCCAGCTTGTCATTGTACCCGCTAAGGTCAAGGAACAAACCTCTGGCGTCGAGCGAGACACTGTACTGCAGGCCTGCAAGCTCGGCATCGTACGAGTACGCCTCCAACGCATCGCGAACCAGATCGGTGAAGAATCTTGCCTTGACAGCATTTTCCGCGGTCGAGTAGATATTAGGGTTCCGGCAGCTGATGACCAGGTTGGCCTTGGGGACCCAAAAGGTGTCATCCTTCTTGAACCACGTCCGAGCGAGGCCGTCACTTCGGACGACACGCGGCGACAGAGCCGGCTCTTTGACCTCCTTCTTCTCGACCTCGAGCTTCGTGGGGATGAAGTTGTTCTTGTGAGGAAGGTGAAGCTCGGCGAGTCTCTCCGACACAGGGCTTGAGACGGCCTTCTTGATCTCGGCCATGAAGTCCTCGGGAATCTTTTCGTGGCGGTATTCGGTACCGTACCACTTCTCCTTCTGATTCCAGTCACCGGGGAACTTTTGTGACACAATAGTCATACGGAAGTTGTCTGGTCTCAAGCACGCCAAGCCCTTTTCGATCAACCCGGAATCGAACTTCCTCAACCGACTGTATCCGCTGAGTAGCCATTCCCGCGGGAGAGGCTTCTGCATGACAGAGCTGATCTTGCTCGTAAATCGGCTTGCCGGAGTCTTTTGTTTGAATTTGAAATCGACATCTGCCATGCCCTTCTGCTCGTCAAAGATCCATTCCTGGGGTGGCGACTCCTGAAGAAGCGCAACATATTGGAAGAAGACCATGACAATCTCCTTGTAGTTTTTGAGGCCCTGTGGCGTTCGTCAGCATTCGAGGTGGGGGAGCGTCAAAGCGGTATCGCATTGCAGGACTTACCTCCTCTGTCAGGCGAATCTGACAGTCGAAAATACCAGGAGAGCCCGGGCAGACGGGGTAAGCACCGGCACTCAATCCATTGGCCCAGCCCTTTTCCTTGACGTAGGCCATGATACTACCAGGGCCCTCGTGACCGATCAGGTGGCTCACATAGCGACTGGGCTGCGACTCGTACATCTTCTCCTCGTCGAGGAATGGGAAGAAGAGGTTCAGCTCGCGAGAGTCCATGACGGGCTTGGCAAAGACTTGCATACCGAGCTCACTCTCGCGGAAGGGCACCTCAGCCTCCCACCTATTGGGCGCCAGATCCTTGTTGGGAACTCCGGAGAAGAACTCGGCAACCCATGTCTCGAGAACATCCAAAGGCTCTCTGCCCAGAACGACCAACTTCATGCGGTTTGCCGAGTAGTGCTTGTCATGAAACTCCATAAACTTTGCGCGGACATTGACACCCTTGGACTCTGGATCTTCCTTGAGAACCTCGAGATTGCCGGTTGAGAAGTGGCAAAACGGGTGCTTCGGGTTGGAAAGAGACTTCTCCAACTGGTGGAGTCGCCATTGGTCATTCTGCAGGTTCTTCTTGTTTTCCGAATCCACCGCGCGCAGCTCACGATCGAGGGTCGACTCGAGGAACAGGGGCTCAATGAAGAACTGGGCAAAGCGATCGAGTGCTCCCTTGAAAGGTGAGGGGTTCTCGGCTGTTGGCTCTTGATCGTTGGCAGGCTTTGCGGAGACGTCGAAGAAGTAGTTGGTCGAGGTTGCGCCAGTGTAAGCGTTGGAGCTACCCGAGTTGTTGGAGAGGTACTGTGAGTATTCGTTTTCTATGGGGAACTTCTTGGTACCCATGAACAGCAGCTGCGCATATAAGTGTCAGCGTAACGGAACCGGGGCGGGAAAGCGGTCGGTCGTAGGGGGAAGGGTAGGTAGAGTCTCAGTCTTGGCAGAGGGTAGGAGAGGGGGCCGTACATGTTCGACGGCGTGGGCCATTCCTGGCATCTCCTCCTCGTCGCTGAAGTTTCCGACATTGCAGTCTAGGGCAGCGCTGGCCTTGTCCGTCTCCGGGTCGTGTACCAGCAGGGCCTCGAGCTTGTTGGACAACCTTACGACACGGTAGGTACGATCGTCGAGGGAGGGGGTCTCGAGGTGATCCGTCACCCGCTCGACGGATTGTTGCCTCGGCTCGCGGTGAGGGATAGAGAAGCCAGCCGGAAGCCCGGCGGCAGCGGTATCGGTGTTGGGCATGGCAGCGATCTGTTTGCCGTGGTCTGTGTGCGATGAGATAGTGGATTTGCTGCTAATGGAGCGGGAGGTCGTATAAGAACGGGACGAGATGGTGGTGTAGGTAGGCGACTTTTCAGAGCAGAGTGTACGGCACGGGGCTGCAGCAAGACGGTTCGGGAGACGACTGCTGATGGCCTGGCACGTTGAAAGAGACCAAAGCTCAGGGCGTGTATGGCTAGTGGGGGAGGAACGCCACTTTTGAAGTAAGAGAAAGAGGGACAGGGACGTGGACGCGGACGTGGACGTGGATGATGTCGGGCGGTTGTGGATTCGTCGCAGGCTCTGGCGCGGGCTCAGGTTGGAGGCTACGGGACGCAACATGCAGCAGATGCAGCCAGGACAGGAGAATTGGAGAAGTTGGAACACCTCAGGTAGAGAGAGTAAGGTGAAATAAGGTAGGGCAGAGGGTGAAAAAAAGATGCAAACAAGCCCAACAAGTGAATAAAGAAGGAGAAAAAAAAGGGCCTGCAAATAAGAGGCGGTATGCAGAGTATGTAGGTAAGGTAAGGTACGGATGGATACAAGTCGGTTGGTTTGTTGGTGCGAGTGCGAGTGAATGAGAAAAGTGTCAAGACGCGGGACTCAGGAATCGACTTGGAGGTACATGTAAGAATACCTTGGGTAACTAAGGTACCTTGAGTATATAGGTAAGGAAGGTATGGAATCCAGCCCTGGAGAGGTAATGGAGGCAAGAACTTAGCCGTGGGACCGGGGACGGGGACGGAGTAAGGTACCTTAGCAGTCGCAGTCAGTCGCAATCAGAGGACAGAAGGTGGGAGAGAGGACAAGAAATTCGTGACTGGGTGCGGCCGGGAAGATGCTGGCGGGTTGGCTTGCTGTGCGTGCAGTACAGATGCAGGCGGGGGGAGCAAAGAAGCAGGTGCAGGGAATCGGAAGGAAAGAGCGGAATCGTCTGGCTCAAGTTGCACCTTCCAATGACACAGGTCTCTCGTCGTCTTGACCTCCACTGTTAGTACCTACCTTACGCAGTACTACTTGCCGCAACAGCGCTGACCGGTGTGCAGCGTGCTTGCCTTCGACAAGTTTGGTGGGGTACCTACTTGGACCAGTCACCAGGCAGTGACCACACGGCAAGACAAGTACCTACCTTACTTTCGAGGGTCCAGTCCAGCGGGGGGGGGGTGGAAGGAGGGGAGGGGAGGGAAGGGGAAGAAAGCGAGGCGAGATGGGGGAGAGAGATCTCTTTCGGGGTGTTACTGCTACAGACGACACCTCACATCTCACTCATCTGACGCGAATAATGCCACGACTCATGGCGACTGGGCAGCGGCAACAACTCAATGGACATGTCACAACAGCAGTAGCAGCAGTTACAACTTACAGCAAGCAGAACGAACACCTCACCTCACCATGAAAGACACCACCACCACCACCATCAACACCACCATCACCGCCGCCACCGGCAATCTCAGATTCAGAACCAAAGAAAGGGACCGTGCCCGCCTGTGGGGACGCAGGGCAACGCCGCAACGCTACCGCCGTGCGACCCAAGGTACCGGCCAGACGGACTCTAGAAACCATGGACGGAAGCGGACACGCTGCTTGCTGATCTTTGAGTCTGGGCAATCCAACCTGCGGATATACTTGCGCTGCTCTGCTGGGAAGGTCACAGTTGTCAGTCAGACTTACCTTGCCAGGCAGGTAGGCTTGCGTAAGGACAAGGTAGGGTAAGGTATCATGGCGGCAGCGGCAGCGGCAGCGGCAACGGCAGTGGTTGCAGTCATTCACGAATCACCCCTCGTCTCCGCCTCCGCTTTGCCCTTTGACCTGATCTTCGGTTCAGAGTGACGGAACCATGGGTTCTATCTAGTTGGAGAAGATCATGGCAAGAGCCGGAGAAGACGGCATCGGCGAGAACATGGCCACAAGGTGCGACAAACCGGGCAGCCGCTGCTTGTGCTAATGGGTTGGCGCTGTTGCAACAAACGTGACGGGCCCCATTTTTTGTTACAGCTGAACAAGTTGATGACATGATACCTATTGATGACGGCTTGTCAGTCAAGAGAGACTTGAGACTGCGGAAGACCCGAAGGTGTGGGCTGCCGTCTCTGAAACATCCGCCTACTGTCGTTCCCGTTCCGTCTACCACTGTCCAGGTATCCAAGCTATTCGAAGGCGGGATCTTTGTAAAGCTGGAATGTGCTGAGCCCATCCTATTGCCCTGGGAACGTATCCGTATTGCCGCACGCAAGGCCGACGCAAAGCCCTTGCCTAGTTCCATGTCCTATTCGCATTCCACAACTCAGGCGTGGGATGTGCTGAGGTTCAGCTGGCTTTGAAGCATGACATCTGATATACGTGACATACCTCTTGTCGGGCCTTTGACTTACATCCCCGGCATCCGCCCTCTTGGCAGGGAAAGACCAAAAAATCGAGAGTCATTTCAGACAAGTGATCAACACGGCCAATTTGAAAGTGGCCAGTGGGGGACTGTTCCTGAGTAGGAAGCCGTGAAAGCCTCAATCCCATCACACCCTCCCTTCTCTTGGGATCCTATGGCTTCGTCGCCGGGTTACCCCAGCCGCCTATGGCTCCACGTGGGAAAAGAAGCGTTTGTCAGGTCCCTTTGAAACGAGGCACACACGGTGGTTCGGCGAGAGTAGCCAGCGCAGCTTATTGATGGTACACAATGAGCCAGGAACCCGGTGCTATATGAGCCGCATCTTAATGTCAGAGGTTAGAGAGAGAAATCCTTGGGGGCCATGCCATGTCAGTCCAGTCGTGGTTCGCGGGTTCGGAAAGCAAACATCGGGTCTCCGTATCCGTCCACCGGAATGTAGGATGCTACTAGTAGTCCCCTTGGTAGGGCCCCAGGATGTAAAAGCAACGCCGCCGTCTTTGGGGTGCAGGAAAGTCTTGCGTCGGCCATCGGGTGGCTTGCTTCCAATGGTTTCGCGTCTTATTCCCCTTTAACCCAATTTCGCCGCGGGTCTTTGGCGGTGGGATGATTAGATATAAAAAACGAATGATATCGACATTCCCTTGGGGAACATTTCTTGGGATTGTGGACGCGGACCGGCGGGAGCGGACCGGCCTGGGGAAAAAAGGGACGGGCGGCGACAAGGGGGCCTTAGAGCTGCCGCGGCACCGCGGTCACCGGTGTAACTATTGGGCAAGTCCATGTTGTACGAAGTACAGGGGTCGTTTTCGGGCTATTCTTTCCAACATGCCACGCATTGCCTCTCGGTATTGACTGGTTGCTGGTGCAAATACCGCTGTTCGCCTCATTATAGTTGTCTTATTGAGGGTCACTGCTGATCATACTCTCGCTCTACCATAGTTCATCGAAGGCCTCTTCTGCGAAAGAAGCAATGGGCGCGGACGGTAAACTCGGGCTGGCCCGCTGTCTCTGGTAATTTCCCCTGACAATCTGTTCTCGCCCTGCGGTCGATTTTGTTCTTTCTTATTCTCGATCCCACCCGTCTTCAGCAGGGTGCCATCCGGACGTCGAGTCGTCGACCGTCGCGCGGGATGGGAAAGTTGATGCTGAAATGCAAGAATACGTGGCGATGTTGGGGGTACAGAATGCTGGACCACTCCTTGAAAGCCTCACAAAAGGGACCGTGGTGCATGTTTCTGAGGTTCTCCCTCCCCCCTGTCAGATCCCGTCAGCCCCAGTTGGGTTTGTTGGCTGATGAGCAAGATCAAGGGCAAGGCGGTGACAAGGGAGAGTGAGAAAGCCCTTGAGCCCGTAGTCGGATGTTGCAGTTTTCGGGTGTCAATCGCCGAAGAAGAAAAACTGGCGAGACAGGTGGACAAGGGGGTGCACATGCGAATGTTTCGCCGTTCGGGGAGAAAACGTACAACCCCCCTTGTCCTGCGCGTTTCCCGGCAATCTGGTTGCGTTTTTTGGGTTCTCAGGGCCGTCATCACCGCACTACTAAACTTATTGAAAAGCTCGGACTTGGTTGGCTCACGGTGATGTCAACTCGAAAGTAACAGAGCCTGAGTAACGTCGAGATAAGCAAGACTGCGCGGGTTGTAAGCAACTCGCAATATAGTCAGTTCAGCTGATCAACTTGTCATTCCATCAGGGATGCAACTTGGATTACCGAGTGAAAGAGGGGTCGTCGGCAACTTACTGTACTATCATGGTTCAACATCCCATGTTCCATACCCATGAAGCCCCAAACTTGGATCGCCAGGACTGTCTGCTCGAAATACCCAAGCTATCACCGTGTAATACTGTTGTCAGCGCCGCCTAGGCTAACTACATATTCCTTGTCGACTTCGACTGACCACTTCAGGCAAGGGCCCGCCGTGGTAGGCCACGCCTGCGAACTTCGTGCATGGATGGAGCCACCGTGGTGGTTGTGTGTGCTGCTGTTCGCATTGGACGAACCTAGCCTGCCGCACTATCTTGCTCACATGCTTCGAACCAGACATAAGAGGCGATCGCCTGGATCTATTGGCATGCCAACCCACAATCACTCACATCTCGACTGGAGCAACGGACACCAGCACACGTGTGCCATGTAAGCCTAGACAGATTAGTGAGCATTAGCTATGCAACCCCAACCTGTGTGCGGCGATTCGGATTCGATCCGCCTGGCGGGATGCCATGCCGCCCTCATGCATGGCCGACTGGATTTCTCGGCATACCTGAACTTCGTAGACGTTTTAGTCAGTTTTGACAGACAGCAGACATCGCATTGATTGTTGATCTCATACTGGTTCCACAGCCTCCCGGTCTGCACCTCTGTAGGGGGTTTGAACTCTGCAGGTGTATAGATCGCGCAACCCACAGTTCGTGTTGATACCGGCTCTTATTATGGGATCGTCAGACAGAAGTTGTAAGAATCCGTACTGTGTAGGTTCAGTGACCTTCCTGGTGCCTCGAGCAAGCGATCCGCGGGTGGAACGGCGAACGCCCGCGTATGGCCAAAATCCAAACAAGCTGTGCAAGCCTTCTTAGATATCCACAAAAGTCGAAACTGATCGTTGTCCGCTAACAGAAACAGACCATGTAACCATGGCCCCGCCCTCGCTTCCACGAGTGAGTCTCCCGCAGCTGCTCTGACCATCAAACCTTAAAGGCGCCAATGACTTCGAAATCCCCCGATTCCAGAACCGATTCATTGCATATTTCCGGGTGACAGGAAAAGGCGAGCTGGGCGAACTGGTGTCCGTCGGAAGAAACTCCGAGGGCAACCGATTCGACCAAGCCGTCTATCGTTTCTTGGGACTCAAGTGTGTGAGCACCGAGAAGATCTTCTGGTCCGTCGTTCTGGATCGGCGAGTCATTCCGTCTTCCCGGGCGCCCACTTTGAGTATTTGTTGAACCCGCAACAGGCACGGCCTGACCTGTCCATCTTCCAGACCGCCGCCCGTCAATAACTGACCGCTGCTGACCATGTTACCTTTTACTCCTCCCCTCACGCCTGACGTTGATTCCTTCTTGTCAACCCCTCTTCACTGCGAGAATAATGAGGCCCGCTCGCCTAGCTCGCAAGCAAAGATGCGGCCGCGCTATCCTCAATAGGAAGACATGACCGTCCCTTGTCAGGTCTGACGATGTTGCACACTTTCGGAACTAAGTAGTCATGTTGCCGAGACGTCGGACTAACACGATCGTTCGCTCCTCACCCTCTAAGCCCGGTCTGTAATGATGATCGCGCCCCGCGCTTCGTTTCGCTAAGGAGAAAAGTTGATGGACAATCTGAGTAATCTCGAGCAGCCCCAATTGAGGTTCATAGCTCAAGACATGAAGAGCCGCGGTCGATATCGTAGGCGAAGTAGTTGATTCGCAAACGACTGCGTCCCATTGTTCTGCATCAAGTCCGATTGCCTGATATCAGGTCAAACGAAAAAGCCTCCCCTCGCCGTCGTCCCCGTCAAAGTGGCACCCACACAGAGACCGAGCTACGGAGTGCTAGCCCTGGCTATGATAACGGTCGTCAACTGCGAGTTAAAGTGCAATCTGCACCAAGATGTCCCACCGTTCCAGTGCCACTTGACCATCGAGCCAATCTGCCGATCAAGATCTTTTGCATCGGCCTAGCATGAGAAGCTGTGTGTTTCCAAGCTGTGATTATCCATAGGTCGTGACGGTGCTCTCCATGTTTTGATGCGAGGCGATTACTCCTTGACAGCTATGTTACACAAACAGCTCCTGGGGCGTTAAGCGTTAACTTCTGTGACACTCGTCGGTTCCGTGGTGTGGCAATGACAACCAAGAAGAGGGTTGCAGCTATGACTGCGTCGCCGCCGACCGTTCTTTACGGTACCCTGTACAGCAGATGTAAGCTTGCTTATGTGAGGACAACACGATCCCTAAGTACACGAGATTTGGTATAGGTAGAACAGATGGAAGGTTTTTGCGAGTCAAAGCATGTCACCCCACCATCCAAAGTTCAGGTTTCCCGGGGCGCCGGCTCGTAACCCCCAGAGTTTCCGTGGTGCCGTTTTGAGCGAGCCGCCTTTGACTACGCAGAAGATCGACATTTCACGTGCGGGCTTCTTTCCCGTGTCCGAGGAGGCTAAGAATCGAAAGGCCGGCCTACGCATTAGATCCCCATCGAGATGTAGCAAAAACGTGTCGACAGGGTTTCTGCATGTCTGATCATCCGCAGTTGTGAATGTTTCGCCCGGCTGCCATCCCCAAGAAGACGATTGACGAAGGGAAGCAGATTGTGTCGCAAGCCGGGCAAACGGTTGCGCTTGTTCCACGAACCTTGACTTCTTGGCAGTACATGCGCAGACGGCAAGCCAGCTGTACGTAGCCTGGTGCCTGGCTCGGGAGACACTCCATACTAAAATTCATTCAAGTCGATCTGATCCTAGAGCTTATAACGCGTAGCTCCACCAGACCGAGTTATTTCGTTAGCATCCGGACCGTCGTTCAGCCAGGTGGCTTCCGCGGCAGCACAAGAGATGTAGTTGATGGTCATTTCTTTTCCATTAAGGTGGCCGGTCCATGTCGGGATTTTGTAAACCGGCGTGATAGGCAATACGTAACTACGTGTCGCATTGATCGAATATCCGTCCAGCAGGATTCTTCAATCAATCCCATAACCCATTTCCTCCGTGATCTCTCGCAAGGCGGGAGCCTGTCGTAAGGCCGACAAGAACCTCGCTCCCATTTCGCAAAGCAGGAATAGAAGAACGGGTAAGCAAGCCCGATCTGGGCATAAAGGGTATCTCGAAAATGAAAAGGCGCGCAAGACAGAGGCTCATCGTGATCTATCAAACGACTTCCGCTTGCCTCCTCGTCGCTGTGGGCAGTCGGCGGCCCTGTGTCCCGGCTTGTTGCAGTTGTGGCAGTTGAAGGGCGCGCTCGGTTTTCCTGCTCCGGAGAAGCCGCCTGTAGCACCGCCGGAGATAGATGCTAGCTTGTTCAGTTTTATTTCCTTCTTCATTCGCTTCTCCCGGAATTCCTTGGCCTTCATAGACTCGCTTGATTTCTTCGCTTGGAGATTGACCCTTGTGCGCCCCTGGCCGCCAGACGCGAGGCCTTTCACGGCTTTCGGAGGTGTTTTCATCGAAGCCTCTTCGTCGCTTGAGGAGGAAGCTTCATCGTCGTCACTGGATCCATCACTGGAGTCGTCGGATTCGCTAGAGCCATCGGAATCGCTCGACTCGTGCTTCGTCTTTCTGGGTGTCTCCTTCTTGGCATTCTGACATTAGTTAGCTAGGCTATTGCAAGACCAATATGTTCGGCATCACCTTGGTAGCCTTCTTTTTGTTGCTCTCAATCTTCATTCTCCCGACCTGAGCTGTGGGTGTGGCTTCCTCCTCTCCGTCGGCAACATCAATGTCGGCGTATCCTACATAGACGATATTGGGCGGCGCATTCTCTGTCTCGGTAGACTTGCCCCAATCACCATCAAGAACCCAGTGCGTATCCGCAAGCTCTGCTCTAGACGCCTCTAATGCCGACAAGCGCTTAGCTTCTTGCTGCTTCAGAGCCGCCTGAACGGCTGTCTGATCGAAGGAGTGAAAGTCGCCAGAGAGAGGCGAGTTTTGGAACTTGCGCCGCTTGGATGAAGGCTCTTCGGGAGAAGGTTCCGGCGCAGTATCCGAAGCAGCAGCTCTCTGCATGAACTTCATCGTCAACAGACGAGAGGAGATACCTCTACCCGGAGGTGTTTCGGGGACCATGTTGGTGCTTGGAGGCATCGTGACTGTTACAATCTGGGTCGAGGTTTGCTAGGGTTAGTTGAGAGACAGCTGGATATCGTGTGCCAGTTCTAATTGTTTACAACGAAGAGAGGCCAAGTATAGTACTTTCAGGCTGTAACGGAAGTCAAAAGAAGTATGAAGAAGTCAGGTTGGGCTTTGGTGCGCAAAGATTGGAAGGAACCAAAATTCTGGTATTCTGCCGTTGTACATGCAGATGCGCGGTCACACCGCTCGCAGTACTGCGGTGGTCCGTGCGTGTTTCCCGAGGGAACCCCGCTGTGCCCGCCTCAACCTCCTCAAGTACGAACATCTAATTACCTAATAAAACTACTTTAGGTCATTGAAACCTGCCTCGACGATCGCATGCTGTCGTGGCGTTGAGGCTTCGGTTATCATCACAAGATTGAACCCTTCCTCTGTGTATCCCGTTGCCCTCATATCTTGGACGACTGTTTTCGCTGTTGTTCTCTCAACCTTTCGAGCCTCTCCGAGGTCATCTCAAAACACTCTGGCAACTCGGTATCCCGCCATGTTCCGCCTAAAATCATCTTTGCAAGGCCCGACGCACACGTAAAGATTCTTGCCATACCTATGGGACCATCGAGTCAGAAAAGGGGCATTTTGGTACAAGAGCATTGACGACTTACCATGACCATTGAACCCAGCACACACCCATTGCCCTGGGGAGCCATCAACTCTCCCGATGAAGGGTACCAAGTCGGGCGTCATGCCAATGATACCCGTCCATGTGTGTTGCAGTCCCTCCCCGTGGCGCAAATTCTCTGGCCTACACGCTGGTAGACAGTCTTGGAAGTTGGCGACGGCATCGTCGCGAATCTCCGCGCTGAACTGGCTGTCGTCGGCTGTCTGTCTTTCCGCATACGCCGCCTGACTGACTTTGGGGCTAGCTGATGCGGATCCAAGGATGATGACGCCGTCTGAACGGCGTTGATTGACTGAGTAGAACCATCGCAGGCCCCTACGCAGAGAGATGGTGCTCTGCAGGACCTTGCTGCCGGTGAGAGCCGCAGGAGGTACGAAAGCATGAGCTTGCGCGCGCTCTGGTGTGACGAGGGATGATAGCTGCGGCAGCAAGTGTGGTGCAAAGGCGTTCGTACAGTGGATGATTGTTGGCGCCGTCACTGTACCTCGTGGTGTCTTGACATCCCAGAGAATCTGCTCTGCACCAGATGGTGACTGTGTCACTGAGGTTGCCGGGCAATGGGTCAGGAACTGTACGCCTCTTCCAACACATTCGGTCAGAAGCCATTGGGCCAGTTTAGCAGGATGACCAGAACCTGCCGGCCATTCGTAGGCGCATAGAGCTTGCGGTACGCCGGTCTTTTTTCGAGCTTCCTCGGCAGGGTAGAACTTGATGTGGGAAACATCGCCGCCAGCGCTCCGGTATGCCTCGAAGCTCTTTGCATTGTGGTCTGCAAAGTCCTGAGTCAGGCAAACGTCGAATGTAGTTGTCGGGACAAAATCGAAGGGGACGTTGTGCTTCTTCATGAAGTCGTCGACTGCAAGGAACACGGTCCTCTCGTTGGCGATGATCTTCAGGGCCTGCTCCTCGCCATGGAATGACTTATAGACCGTGAAACCGCGAAAGGCGTCCGGTCGGATATGTCCTGCATTGCGAGAGCTGGCGCCGCTGGCTGCTTCCCTTGCTTCGAGTATGACGATGTCGGATCCTGTTACACCACCCTCAACCAGCTTGAAGGCTGCTAATGCGCCCGAAATTCCTGAGCCGATAATAACATACTTTGCGGTCTCCGGAACGAGGGCTTCATCGTTATGATTGAGGTAAGGATATGATCTAGTCGTCTGTTGCCAGAACGAGATGCAGGGATTGGTTACAGGAAGACCAGTCATCATGAGTTGACTCTCAAGAGTAAGCAAGTTTAGTTAAACTTGCGGAACATACATCAACGCCCGCGTACGCGACAGCTGGCCTTACGAAAAGAAGTTCATCATGAGCGGGCAATCTCCGCTGATGGCTACCTAAGTAGACATTCTTTCCCAAACCTGGCTTCTGCGAAACCGGGGGAAGATATCTGTAACTTGATCAACTTGAGCGAGATAAGCCGGACGATAGCCATGATTCAGCCTCTGCTCAAATCTGAGCGGTGTTGTCTGTGGTATATCGGGTACATGCAGGTGGGGACGAAGTCGGAGGCCCTTCCGATCCTCTGGCGGCGAACATCGCTCCGCTCCCGCACCGATGGGGCCACAACTTCTCAACCCACCTTCATGTCTTGAACCGAATATGGCAACCGGATCCATCAGCTGCTGCAAGTAGACGCGCACAGATGCTGTATTCTTTTGTGACACAATCATGATGGTCCGATCTACTTTGTGACAAGAGTAAGGATATCCCGAAGACCGATTAGAGCACGTGTTACGGAGTACATCCATAAATCGTTGCCAGGTTTAGGTCTCTCAAGAGCACTGGCCAGCCGCCAAACGGCAAAGTCCAGTGAGGAAGAAGTTAAGAGAAGCAATCTAGGTAACAGGAGGCGAAACTGCTTATCAGCTTACCAGCCCCGGGATATCTGCGGTCGTCGGAGGACCCGCCGCTCATCGGGCGGCCAAGGCCGCTCCAATAAGAGTTCGGCCCGCGTTTGTGCACCGGCATCCCTCCCCCTCTTTCCCGAACCTATCTCCAGGTCCCAGCGACACTGTAACGTCTCCCTATCAGGTGATAACGGAACTTCTGCAACTTGAGCCGGGGTCGGAGTGAAGACCGTGAGATAGACAGCTTTCAAAAAACATGGGGTAATAGTGTACCGGGAAACCTTCCCTGTCTTATCTGGAAAACGCGTCCCGTTGGCGTTGGGCAGTGAGAGAAGTGACGATCGGCGCTTTATATAGACCTGGCGGGAGAACGTTGCGCCTGCCGCCATGCATCAGTGTTCTTACCTGCGGTGTCCCCCATTCAGAGACGTTGGAAATCTTTGAACAGCCAATTGACAACATGATTTTTGGCAGCCTTGCCTTCGCGGCACGCCATGAGCGGACGCCAGAGGAGAGGAAGCTTGTCAGGAGATTGGACATCTTCTTAATGACATTCGGTTGCATTTCCCAGGGTGAATAGCTATGAAATCCTTAGTGTATGCGACTTAAGCTAATTCACTCTCCTAGTCATCAAATGTAAGTGACAGAGCAACTCGAATTCAAGAAGCAGGTTTGGTTAACGCTGGTACCAAGACCTCGACCAGACAAACATCAGCAACGCCTACGTCTCAGGCATGAAAGAAGACCTCAACCTTTACGGCAATGAGCTCAACTAGTACGTTTAACCCCAGTGACAGACCTTTAGAACCCTCATAAACCAACCTCTCATCTCAGCTTCACAACGTACTTCAACGTCGCCTACTGCATCATGCTCATCCCCTCCCAAATCATCCTGACCTACGTGCGACCGAGCTACTGGCTCTCTGGCCTCGAGGTCCTATGGGGCATCATCACAGGCATGATCGCCCTCGCCAAGAACGCGCAACAGGTATACGCGCTCCGCGTCCTACTTGGTCTCTGCGAGAGCAGTGCCTGGCCCGGCATGATGACTCTTCTGATGCACTGGTATACCCCGTCCGAGTTAGCCAAGCGCATGGGTTTCTACCACTCGTGCCAGGCGGTGGGCTCCATGATGTCGGGCGCGTTGCAGGTTGCCATTAGGAGCTCCATGCATGGACTACACGGTATGGCCGGTTGGCGCTGGCTTTTCGTCGTGAATGCCATCATGACCGTATGCGTCGGCGCTGCGGGTTTCTTCCTTCTTCCCGATACACCCAATAACCCCAACCCCCGCGCGTTCTGGTTCAAGAAGGGACACGCTGAGCTTGCTATGGAGCGGCTGGAGCGCCATGGTAAAGCAGAGCCCAAGAAGATGACATGGGCCGCTGCCAGGTTCGATGACCCCCGATCATTCTTTTCTCCCAGAGACAAAGAGCTAACTAGGAACAGGCGCGCATTTAAGAGTTGGGTAATCTATTTCGTACCCATTCTGTATATTGCGACTGTCCTCCTGTCGTATGGCAACAACTACTTCGGTCTGTTCCTAAAGGCCTTGAAGAATCCGGATGGAACCCCCAGATGGTCAACGTCCGAGGTGAATGCGATTCCCATCGGTGGAAGTGCGATCAATGTTGTGTTTGGTATGTTTGAACCCTTTGGAGTCCCTGAGAAGAGCCAAGGCTGACTTGACCTATAGTCTGGATATGGGCAATCTTGTCGGACTTGTTCATGACAAGATGGACTCTCATCGTTGTTCAGGGTAAGTATCCCTTCACATCCCCACACTAGGACAGCCCGCCTGACAATGTGTACAGCTGTAATTGGCATCGCATGCTGCATTGCGATGAGTGTCTGGTCCTCACACCCAACCACAACACCGCTCGCCACAGCCTACGCGTCCAACTTCATCCTCTTTACGGCAATGGGAACCGCGCCTCTCATCTTTGCATGGTTGGCTGACATCCTGCCCCACGACCCCGAGGCGAGGACTCTCATCGTCGGAGTCGCCATTGCAGGATACTATGCCATCTCCGCCTGGTCGCAAGTTCTGGTGTGGCCAGCCACTCAAGCACCGTATTGTAAGCCAAGAGACTCAAAATATGATGATTATGGCTCTGACATTTCAAACAGACAAGTATGCATGGCAGTCAGCCATTGCCATCGGTGTCCTCGTCATTATCATGACGTGCGTGCTTCGTTACATTGATGCAAAGCATCTCGAGTATGTACACCTAGCCGCCTGTTCGATACCTAAGATGACTTCTAATCACTCATGTAGGCCCAAGAGGGAGCAATTCAGAGCTACTGTCATTGAGGCTGCAGTGGCGGGTGACAGGGATGCGGCGGAGTCGATTGCCCGTGATTCCGTCGACCGGAAAGTGAAGTCAGCTGCTATTGTACCAGAAGTCTGAACATGTGTCACTTGCTGGGGTGGGGTAAGCTCTAGACATTAGAACCCCGAGTCCTCTCAATGTTGGCTTTGTTGTGCTTTGACGACTGTGACTACAATAGATATGAAGCGCTAGAGATAGATTTGGCTCAAACATATTGTGCTTCATCCCACTTGAATGTACCAATTCCCTGTCAGATTGTTCGGTCATGAACGTGCCCTCCTGAATTTTACCAAATATGATCAGGAGTTTCCATCATGCAAAGGATTCAACATGTAAAGGGTGGATTTTACTGGGATCAAAGTATTCTCCTGATGATTCCTATTTCCATACCCCTTCGATCATACTTAATGAGCCTGCTCAAACTCATGTTTTGACATGCTTCTTCACATGCCAACCATGGTCATCGGCGACAAATAGCTGGAGTATACCGGTTGAAGCCAGTCATCTTCTTTGGGGCGCATTCCTAGTAGGCGAGGCACGATATTTGAGCTTATGAGATCAAGGGTGTGCATAAGGGAACTCCCGATATACTCAGCAGCCATAAAAAGAGAACAGCCGATTCAGTTCTTCAGTTCCGAACCTGCGGCCGGCCATAGGAATCTATACCGTAAAAGGGGGAAAGGATGCTCTAAATATGAATCCATGCGATACGGGCTTCGGTAACGGCTCTACTCGCCTAAAGGCACGTTAAAAAGCACATCGCCTTCGTCACACGGCCAGAGCATACATGTCTACATACATCGACACCTACAAGGAAAAAAAATATCTGCAATCGCTCAAAAAGGAAAGAAGGAAGGGCTGGTGATGACTGACCTTATAATTCACGCCCCTGCTCGGATTCGAACAGCGCGCCCCTCGGACCAGCACGGCTTCATTGGAGTATTTCATTATGTCGACTCTGCGTCAGAGTCGAAACCACTCGGCCAAATGGCCGGGGGTGCTGGTGACAGGAACGATGATGAGATCCCTTGAGTAGGTAGGTACGTTGACTGGACAACCGTGTCGAGGAAGGAGGGACGTGGAGATGGGATGAAGGGAGCGAGGCAGGTGCCGGTGGTGGAAGCTGTGACTGCTGACCGCACTTCACACGTATCAGAATGACTATGGAGGAACTCTGGCTTTCGAGTCTAGCGGTGACACTAGGTTTCCACTGCTTACAATGATTTTGTTCTGTCATAGAGAATGCTGGGATGCTAGAATCTACTTGTAAGTATCGTCGTTCTGCGGTGTGAAGATACTTGAGATGTGGCCATTTTTAGACCTTTCAGAGTAGAAGAAAGAAGGAAATATACTGCCATCGAGACTGCATACCCCTCAAAGATCTGCGGACTCTTGAGTAAGGCCTCCAGGTCCTTTTGCCTCCTGGTTATGCGGGTATATCACTCGAGCTTGGGCGTCCCTCTTACGTTATAACCAGCTCTTTCCGTGGAGTTGGCAAGCAGCTATAAAAGCTTCGTTGCGGGGTGGCAAAGTGCAGGCAAGCGCAGACATTGTCCTGCTCAGAGTGACTTTCCGCGGCGATACCTCCTGGTACTACGAGTCCCTCCCTGGTTGACCTTATGGCTTGGTCCTTAAAGGTTCGAGCGATGTCTATATGCCTCGTTGCCGGGACCAGCTTTCCCAGAGCCCAGCACCCATGTTCTTCTGAGTGTTCCTTCAAGAATAACTCAGAGGTAGTGAGTGATATTGTTGCCGTTTTAGTTTAATTCCGAATTATCAAAATAGGGCGGTATATGTAAGAACATCATTCATTAGGTAAACGTGATGACGAAGGTGACAGTACAAGCTTTAAAAGCTGCCCTTTAAGAAGTCTTGTTTAATTAGAAAGTTTACGTTCTCAAATTGTCTCTCTGGCCTACCCTCGGTACTAAGACTATGATTCATTCAACATGAACTTGTTAGAGTCCACTCGGTACTTTATTGCCTTTGGCCCGTCGGCCTCTTGAAGGCGTATACGGATTGGGGTATAAGAGAGTCCTCCACAGCAACTCCAGCCCGTCGGACCCGCACTCTATCTGTCGAAGCCAGGGAACTTCAAGGCTTCAGACGTGATGTTATCCGTTCGGCGGGTCAAAGAAAATAGGTTCTCATTGTCGTCACCCGCAGGATGCAAATCCTACACGTCCTCGAGGCCTACTACATCTTACAGCCTAGAACCATATTCCTAGACTCCCGTCTACTATCTTCAGTGTATTCAACCCATATTATATAGAGAGCAAATAAGTTATATAGAGAGTAAGGTAGTTAGCTCAGCATATTCACTATTCGTCCTATGTATAATTTGACAAGCTGGAGAACACGAGACGCACCTATGGGGCTGGGTCGAAGACAAGATCCATCCGAGGATTTGTGAGAGTCCACGAGCAGACATCAAGAATTCATTCCTCCATGGTCTTCTTCCTTGTGTGCGTGATTCCGACCCGTTTCCACGTGTGCTGTTGTAATCTACTTACCATCCACGTTCTTCCCTTTTGAATACGCCTGCCTTCTCTGTGGAATCTCTGACGAGAGGGCAAACGAAGGGGGGAAGATAAACCACTCTTTCCGCATGTCAAGCTACAACGGCGCTGCTAATCACAAGTAGGGAAATATCCTGTCATGGTCTGTGTTCCCTTTTGAGACTTTCCCCTCCTCACAAGAGCTTGCCGAGAGACCGATGGTCGATAGCTACACTGGATAGCAGCGCTCTGACCGGCCATAAGTCGATCACACATGCATTTGCTCTTGCCAACGTAAGGTGATCGCAAGTACGACATACACGAGAGGTTCCGAAAGGTATATAGACTGGCTGATTAAGTCCCATCGAACCTCGACAACCTCATCTCAGTTGGATCTCACCATGAGCCTGGAAAGCCATACGCGACAAATGCCCCTCCAAAGTCCATCCATCATGAATGACCCCCAAAGCTTTACTCTCCCAATTCATTGCCATCCTCAAAATGTCAAAGGACGAAACACGGCTTCGCCGTCACATGTATCCTTTCGTACGACAGAGCCCAAACCACCGCAAAAGTCGGCCCGGCTTCTTGGACTCTGTCCAAAGCTCGAACCTCACCGTCTACCGGCTACCAGCACGATAGATTACAAGATGTAACAAGAACACTCAAACAGAGGAAATACCCTCAGATCGTCGAGCGGATCTAGCCCACGGTAAAGCAAAGCAAGCAAGCACTCTCACTTTATGCGCTTTTCCGGTGTGTATACTCCGGTGAGCATTCGACTCTACAGAACTACAACATGTTTGCGATTTAAAAAGGAGAGAGCACAACCGCAAACTAGGCCACCAATGCAGCGGGGGAATTATCGCACACGCGAGGTGGTGAAGGAAAAAAAATTCCTGCCAAAGCGAAAAAGGAAGAAACTTCTCCCGTTGGTTCCCCTTGGTCAAGCGTCTCACGAGTGCTTCTAGATCTCGAGCACTGATCACACCGGTTCATGCTCACACCATGTCGACTAAAAACCTGTACGTCGTGTAAAATAACCCCCAACAAACCAACTGCTAGCAAACCTGGGTGAACGAACCACCCCGCGGCACAGACGACCTTTTTCTCAAACCCCCGGGCCTCCCGTCTCTGGGAAAATCATCCTAGCACAGCCGATCTATCAAAGGACCGCCTTCTCACCTACAGAGAATTTTTTTTTAAACATCTGAACTAGTAACCGATCCCCCGAAGGACGGGGAGAGAACTTAGAAGAAGGGGGGGGGGCGTGGGGTGAGATGGGGGTTCATGGAACCGAAAGAAATACTCCGTAGAGAGATGGAGAGAGACCAGGGGTTTGAGAGCAAGGCCCCCTTCCTCTCTCTTTCTCGGAATCCGCGCCGTGAACCCCAGTTCTCAAACGAACATGTCCCCGAAACCTCGTTCGGAGGGGCCGTGGGAACACATTATCTATATCTTGTATCCGTACAGAGATCTACCTATGAACCTTGACCGGGCCCGTTGAGTAAAGAACCACGTCGCGTTCGTGATGCAGCGTACCTTGCATCATGTATGCAACGCGCTAGGGGCTATTTAGAGTACACGAATCCGAGGAAAACGGATTCCGACATCATTTAGCATTTCTCGCTCTTCAATTTGACGAACAAGCTAATGAATTAAAAAGACAAGAGGTAAGTGCAAGACCGGGCAGAAAAAAAAAGGAAGGGGGGGAAAAAGGGAGCATGGGAGTATGAGACGTTTGATCGGATGTGCCATCCATAGTTAGGGCGATCTTAAGGTGCGGGTTTCTAATTGAGGGGGAGGGGACTACTCCATTTAACTTGTTCCAGTCCCTTTATTTTCTGCTTGGACCAGGAAGCACGGACAATGACCACTTTACAAGCATAATCAACCGGACAGGCTTTCCTTTGGAAAAGCCCGCTCTTTTTCGAGTAAGGGTAACGGAGTAATAGACAGCTATTCTCAAATAAAGGGCGGCAACATCTTTTTTCTTTACGTGACAGGGCTGAGTCCGTTCGTCGGGTTGTAACTTCTCCGGACAAGGCTCCGGTGTAAACCCCACGGGATGTTCGTGGTGCCAGGGATCCTGGAGGGCTCGGGTACTGTAAGTGAGAGTGGACAGGGCTGAAACGCGGACTGTAGTCTACGGGTGACGAGCCATCAGTAATTCCTAGAATACTAATCATTCTAGGGTCCTTCAGTGACCTCGGCATCTGTTCGCTCACCTGCAAGCTCATGTCGCTTTGTCAGGGTTGAAAGCATAAGCGCAACCGTGCCGTAAGGCTTAATATTATACCGACATCCAGTACTTCCTCTGCAACAACGGAACTACTCGTCCGAGGAAGTTGCCCTTGGTGCCCACGCGACCAAGTGTGAATACCGAGGGTGGGATAATGGGGTTGTAGTCTGGTCCCGTCTGGCAGCCCGCGAGGCACGAGAAGGGGGAAAGCATTCTGGATAGGCAGACTTCTACCAAAATTAAGCATGGGCGATGGCGATATCTGCCTGCCCTATCAGCGGTATGAGCGGGAATGGTGATCAGCGTGCAGGAACGAAAGGCGCGCGCGTTGTTCTCAGGATGGTGCGATGCGCCGAAGTCATGTCCAGTAAGAGGGCAGAAGGGATTCGGTGCTGGGTGAGAAAGCCGACCCGGAAGCTCATAGGACTAATCTGGTCAAATTTGGACGGTAATACTGTCAAGCAATGCGGGCGAGGCGACCATTCACGGAAGAAAAAAAAGGAGTGTAAGACGGGCGGTGGAAGGTTGATCATGAGTCGTTCAAGTGAGGCTCTTATTCAGGTCTTTTGCCACC